TTCGCCCAACCTTTCAGCTCCTAATTACTTTTCTGAGAGAATATCTGAAGCGGGTGTAAAAGCAGCTCTAGGAGACTATCCGTGCAGAAATTCAAACGCTAGAGCCTCAAAGATTAACCAATGGTATGGACAATGCAATCGAAAGAGCCCAACTTTGCAAAGTCGCAAATCTCATTTAAAGTTGTCATCCGACCTAGTCAAACAAATCTCCATATATTAAGCATTTATTGTAAGTAACATCATAACAAAGTTATTGACTCCTCCAACCCTACTCTGAATTTTGGCCCACTCTGTTTTAGCAATTTGGATAATATATGTAGATTGCTGTATGTGTCTGGTAGTCTTGATGTAACATCTGGGTTGACCTTCTTGGAAAAGCATTGACAGGAGAGTGCCACCCGTGGTTGGTTGGGGTAGGATAGAGAAAGGGTTGTGCAAAAATAAAAAGTGTAAACATACTTAACAGTCCAATAAGTCACAAACAACTGTTGCCTCTGGTAGGAAGTGCATGCAAAAGCCCCTAATATAATATTGTAATAACAAGAGCATTGTAACATTTGCTACCTATGTTAGTAACTATATAGGAGTATTTGTTCTGACTGGGGACAGGCCAGTGACTTATGCCCTTTACTTGTCTGATACAAGGACTTGCTTCTCTTGACTTAATCATAAGTGTGACTGAGCTCCCATGCTCCAACTGAGTACCTCCACCAAGACAGCTTCTAGCTGCCTACCAGGGACCCTGGAACCCTTCAGCCCCAGCTGCTGAAGCATGACTGGGGTTGCTAAGGACTTCTTTCACCATTGACCAATTTGCTGTGCTCTCCTTCCAGGCAGGTATCATCCCCTCTCTTTAGTTACTGCCTTTACAAAGGCACTTGTGGTTCTCAGGCCTAGCTCTTTTTAACTTGTCTCAGAAATCATGGAACCAATGCAGCCAGCCAACAGTTCCTTAGGCTCTGTTATCCATGAATAAACCAACTGGACATGGTTTCCAATGCAAAAAACACACAATGCTTTATTTTCACTCGGGTCTAGCCCCTATCTGCATTACATTTAACTTATGGTGACACATTTAATCTAAAGATAATACCAAATGAGGAGCACAACCATAGAGATAAAAAAATACTTTATTAGTTGGGTCCAGTACACTAGGTATCCCAAGTGTATACCAAACAACATTAGCAATAATGTCAAAACAATGCTCAATACAAAAATTATACAAGGGGGCTTACTAACAGCTGACCAGGACAGTCGCATGATACTGGAGCTCCTTTAGGGAAATCTACTGCTATTGCCTAAAATTGAACTTTATTGATCTTTTTCGGGCTAAATCTTGCTCCTACTCTTGGGGAACAACCTACAGATCATTTGGCACCCTTAAGCCTGTAGCCGGTGGATGCAGCACATGTTAGACGTTCCTGTGGCCTGTTGCTTCAGTTGAGGACTGGCAGGCGGCTGATCCACAGCCTTGATGTGAGGCCTGGTACTTCTGAGCCCTGCTCCTCCACCTCTAGGGGGTAACCGGTGTAATGGCACCCCCAGGCATAAAAAGGGGTTAAAAACCATTTAGTAGACCTTCCCTTCCAGAGACACAGGCACAGCTACTGTAGACACCAATCCACCGAACCGGAGAAGCATATGAATGCTCTCCAGCATATGAATGCTGTAAACAGCTGAATAGGAAAAAACATACAAATAGGTTTACACTCCTAGCAGTCAAACTGAAACAGCATAAATCCCCCAAAGAACGAGACAAGGCTCTGTTTTGAAGGTCAAGCAGGAACAGACAGAGCTGTGGGTTTATTATTCTTATGTACACATTCTTACACAGTACCACCCACAGGGTTTTGGAAAACAACCAATAAACACGTACAATAAACTCAGACACTCCCACACAAAATTCTCCCCTCTGCCTGTGATACAATTACCTTACACAATGGGTAATGTAATTATCACAGCCAGAGAAATACAGTTTTTCCACATTATTCATAACTTTAAAATTATGCATCACATTCACATAAAACTTTCAGAATCAGCATACTCCAAATACAAACATATGTCAAAATCATCCAAATTGGTCCATTGGTTCAAAAGATAGATCGAAGTCCTTTGTGACCAAATGAAGCATGGCTTTTCTGCCCAAAACCAGTTCCACAGAGTCTTCTATCCTGGAGATAATTGGGAAGTAATCCAATTATCTCCAAGGATAGAGGAAAAACTCCATAAAGCACATGGCAGTAAAAAGACAGTAAAATACAATAAAATACACAAGGTTACATTTATGACATAAAATACAGACATGCAACATATGCCCAGATAGCTTAGGTCTGAGCGCACATTAATACTGAATGGCGCTCAGACCACACACACATACAGTTCAATTGCCATGGAGCCAAAGTCTTTTATTACACGAATAGGCTCCAGGGCATAGCTATCTGGGTTATTTGAGTTCATTCAGTAAATCCGAGAATCTACCGAACGCCAGGGCAGGAAACATGAATAGACCTTTCTGCATAGGAAAATAAAGTATTTAAATGCCGGTCTATAGTCAAAAGGCAGCAGGCAGGCAACCAGACTCCTCCAATGCACAGTGGTGAGATTGGTCTCGTCACAACCGGGCTGTCAAAAACTGTTGTGAGGAGCTGTCCCTCGGCCAGGAGATCGGCCTCTTCTCTCAGCCATCGGGCCTACTTCCGCAGTAGTCTGCTAGGCCGGAAGTGATAAGTACGTAGAAGATAGTTGGGATCGGTTAGATAGTAACGTAACTTGCTGAGATGTTGATCTGTCGATTTGCCAGTTCTGAGTCCTGGTTAGCAAGATTTTGGGCTCTGTAAGCAGGAGCTAGCACGAGGCATGTCCAGGGCTCTTAGGCCCCACACCTTTTTTTTTTAAAAACATAGAATGTGACGGTAGATAAGAGCCATTCGACCCATCTAATCTGCCCAATTTTCTTAATACTCTTATATCTAGGACAGCCTTATGCCTATCCTACACATGCTTAAACTCTGTGACTGTGTTAACCTCTACCACTTCAGCTGGAAGGCTATTCCATGCATCCACTACCCTCTCAGTAAAGTAATACTTCCTGAAATTATTTTTAAATCTCTGCCCCTCTAATGTAAGACAATGTCATCTGTTGTGGTAGTTTTCCTACTTGTACCCTCCTTTACTGTGTTGATTCCCTTTATATGTTTAAATGTTTCTATCCTATCACCCTCTGCCTTGTCTTTCCTCCAAGCTATACATGTTAAGATCTTTAACCTTTCCTGCAAACCATGAATCAGTTTTGAAGCCTGTCTCTGAACTCTCTCCGTAGTATTAACATCCTTTTTGAAATACGGTCTCCAGGAATGCGTACAATACTCCAAGTGAGGTTTCACCAGAGTTCTGTACAATGGCATGAGCACTTCCCTCTCTCTACTGCTAATACCTCTGCCTATACAACCAAGCATTCTGATAGCATTTCCTGCTGCTCTATTACAGTATCTGCCTACCTTTAAGTCATCAGAAATAATTACTCCTAAATCCCTGTCCTCAGATGTTGAGATTAGTAGTGTTTCAAATATTCTATACTCTGCCCTGGGTTTTTACGTCCAAGATGCATTATCTTGCACTTATCCACATTAAATGTCAGCTGCCACAACTCTGACCATTTTTCTAGTTTGCCTAAATCAGTGGTAGTCAACCTTTTTCTGCATACCGCCCACTAATGCATCTTTCTTGATGGAAAAATTTCCTTACTGCTCACCAGTTTTCACGCAAGTGCAGAATATTTTTTAGAAAGGAGGGTGTTTTAAAAAAATTAAATGTACGTACATTTATCTTTTTATTTCTACTTTATGCATGTTTATAATGTTTTTAACTTTATGAAGTTTAATGAGAAAACAATAAAGTAAATTGAAATCACCTTTACTAGTGATTGAGATCCTTGAGGTTGATGCTGCAAGACTAAATATTTGATATCTGGTTCAATTTTCGTAAGGAACAAACGAAGGTCTCCTCTTTGGTGATATTCAGACAATTTCTCTGTTTGCACATATGATTTCTCATCTGTGCGTCAGCTCCCCTACTCTACCTCCTCAATTCCCCTTCCCACCTCTTTTTCCCCCTTTTTTCTATTTTTTAACCTTCCTTATAGCAATGCCCAGTAGGAAGGCTGAGCTAGGTAGCCCACTTACTATTATTAGCCAACAACAATTCTCTCCTTTTCCTTCTTTCTCCTTTTTACAAGTACTCTGCTCTTTCTTTCTCCTATTCTACAAATACTCTGCTCCTTCTTTCTTCTATTCTACAAGTACTCTGCTGAAAGACAAACACATACACATACTCACAGACAAACACGCACACATACACTTACAGACACACACTCACAGACAAACATACACACACACATACACACAAATTATTTATATTAAATGTCCACCCAGCCTCCCTACCTGGAGAGCTGGTGTGGATCTGTCCCTGGGGTCCAGTGGGGCTTCACTTCGGCGGGCGGCAGAGTTCTAATCCGAGGCGGCGAGGGAGCTCTAACTTCTCTGCTCTGCTCCCTCGCGTGCTGTCTACTGATGCCAGGAGCCGGAATATGACGTCATATTCCGGCTCCCGCGGCATCAGCAGACATCGCGCGAGGGAGCACAGCAAAGAGGTTAGAGCTCCCTCGCCGCCTCAGATTAGAACTCTGCCGCGCCAGAGGGTCCACAAGGTGGCCTGACAGGAGGGAACGCTTCCCTCCTGCCGGACACTGAAATCTTGCGCCGCCAATGGCGTTCACGCCCACCCGCCCACTCTAAAAAGGAGAAATCCTCTTAAAAAGAGGATTTAGCTGCCGAAATACCTACCGCCCACCTGGAATCCTGAAATGCCCACTAGTGGGTGGTAGGGACCAGGTTGATGACCCATGGCCTAAATCAACCCTGTTTTGTTCTTTTTTTTTAATGGAGTTTAATTATCTATATAATGCATTAACAAATGCTGCGGAGGAGGAAATATACCTTTCCCTGTGCTAGATGTTTACACTATAAAAGCAATGTAAAAACATAAAACATGCAAATATTCCCTTCTGATGATATAGGGGGCTACAAGACAAGAAGTAAAAAGAAATGCACAGTATATTTGTATAGTTTGTTTAATGTAAACCTATATCACACATGTGTGTGCACTCACATTTTCTTGAGCCCCTATATCACAAATGTGTGTGCACTCACATTTTCTTGAGCCTTGACATTTACACTGCCTTTGGAGATGCTAAATTATACAAACATTTTGGAAATAAATCTAAACATTCACTATTTCAAATGCCATGATCTTTTCTCAACACAAAATAACCATTTTTCCTTTACTGTGTGTCTTACATATATACCATTGATGCTTCCCTTTCACATAAAATTAACTGACATTGATTTGAGGTCACTAGTACCCATTTCAAGTTCTTTTGTAAATCTACTATACAACAATTGAATGCACAATTTAAAACAAGAATACTTTTCTATAACAATTTATTATTATAGTCATTTTATTTATGGAAGACATACAACGGTTTCCTATTTACCATTTTTAGTCCTTTTTAAATTTCTACATCACGTTCACATTGAAATGGCAAATTACATAATTACAGTGTCAATAGAATCTGTAAATTACATTTTAATAAAAAAATTTAACAAAAAAAACAATTTATAAACGGAAAAGAACACAGAAAAGTTCACTGCACTATAGTGAAAGAGAGGAGCACCTCCTAGAACAGATAAGACTTTTATATTATTCTTTAGTACAGTACACTAAAAGGTGCCAAAGGGAAACCAAATTTAGCAGTCATGGCTTTAAGTTTTGCCATTCCTTGCTCTAGAGGTGATAAGCGCTTATGTCAGGAGTGTCAAACTGTCTTTGTAGAAAAATCCCTATCATCCTATAGAAGCCATAACCTGAAAGAGAATTGTGGAATTGTCGTCCAGTATGATCTGTAGCACCACTGTTCAACAACCAGGGATTGCTGGCATAATAGTTTGCAATAATGTAAAATCCGGATCTTCAAGTTAAAGGGACACTGTAGTCACCAGAACAACTACAGCTTAATGTAGTTGTTCTGGTGTCGAAAGCCTGCCCCGCCCCCTACAGGCATTTTTTTGTAAACACTGCCTTTTCAGATAAAAGGCAGTATCTACATTGCTGCCTAGGGACACCTCTAGTGGCAATCACTCAGATGGCCACTAGAGGTGCTTCTTGGGAGGTTCAGTGTCTCCACGCCCTGCATGGAGGCACTAAATGTTCCTCAGATAGATGCCTTGATTCAATGCATCTCTATGAGGAGGTGCTGATTGACGCATTGCAACGTTTTGCCGTGTGCGCATTAACCTACAAATGCTTTTTTATGTGAAAGAATTGGATTGGCTGAGATCATCAGAACTGATAATCTCAGCCAAGTAGGTGGAGTGGGGGCGGGTGTTCTACATCTATAGTGAAAGGAATACACCAGAGGACTGCAGGCACTTTAACCAATTCAAGGAGATTAAATGGGTATAATGCCCACGGTGTGCCTTTAATATGTAGGTGCAATTACTAGCAGGTCTAAGAGAAATGGTGTTATGAATTGTCCATGGAAAACTGTGCTTACGCAAGAAATCGTGACTCCTGGGTCTCTCCTCACTAGGATTACATCAACATATCCAATAAACATTTCTAGCTGTTATAAAAACAGTCCAGAGCAGATATAACATAGGAATATTAAATCCATACTAAATGTGGAAACACTTAGTCATCCAGCCACACTGTACAATATACTTTGTACATCAACAGTACCCTGAAACCCTGCATTATACTGATGTCTGGTGTTACCCAACTATGTATACCAGGAAATGCCCGGTGGGCTGCGATAGCCATGGGCCGAGGCTGGCAGGGGAGGTCACAGGACCTTCCCATACGGTCTATGCAGGGCCCACGCTATCCGAGCACTGGCCCTGCAGTATTCCATGATGGGCCAGTGGGGAGATCAAAGATTTTTCTCACCGGCCCACTTGCACAGACATGCGGCTGGGGAGGGAGAGGACCCGGCGGAGCTCTATCTTGCAGCTCCGATGGATTCCTCTCGCAAGATCTGCAGTGTTGCCAACGCCCCTGATCTCGTGAGAGTGAACTCTAGCCCCACAGACTAGAGTTCACTCACCACTAGGGATGACAGCACGGTCTCCCCCTTCCAGGCTAAAGGTAAGAAGGGAGGGGAGATATAACACCTCCCACACATCACTCTCACACACATCACCTCACACACATCACTCATCAACCCTCACTCACACACACACTTTACCCCTCACACTCACAGCACCCTCACACACACACACAGCACCCTCGCAGCATCCATCACACACTGCACCCCTCACACACACACACACACACACACTGCACCCCTCACACACACACACACAGAACCCCTCACATACACACCCACTGTACCCTTCACTCACACACACAGAACCCACACACTGCACCACTCACACACACAATACTTCCTATCCTTTGTTTATATATATATATGGAAGTATTGTGTGTGTGTGTATATATATATATATATATATATATATATATATATATATACACACACACACACACTACAGCACCCCTCACACAAACACTGCACCCCTCACACACATACTGCATCCCCTAGACACACATGCATTACATTACACCACAAACACAACACAACTAAAACCGACCTTATTACAGAATACCACACCACAATCAGCTCGATCTACACAAGCAGGCTCCAAACATTTGCCCAATACTTTTCCCTGGCCCTTTTGTCTCCTGGTATCTCATTTATAAAGACACCAGAAACAAGATGCAAGGAAACACAGCGCAAGGATGTTATTAAATTTGCTTACACTGTGCAGAACAAATACAGGGCCTCTTTCTCATGGTAGAGCTCTTCAGCAGAGCTCTGTGCATGGTCTGCCCTGGAAGAGCATTGAACCAAAATGCTTACTTTGAGAGGGGGTGTGCTTGTCATTGGTGATGACAAAACACACCCTCTCTGCTCTGTCCCGCCCCCTTCTTATTGGGCCACCAAGATTAAAAAATGCCCTGGCCGAATTTTTTTTCCCAGTCTAGCCCTGATGTATACCAATAAAAGTTGACCTCTTTTTACGGAGGAATGTGTGTAACAGGGTGCTCTACAAAGTGCAAGTGATTTTCAGGCTGCTCTCTACACTTGTGTGGAAATATCCTCTATCCCACTTGACAAAATAATAGATTTAAATACGGTGTGAGTAACAGGGACCTACACCTATAAGTGGAGCGCTCAAACTCATATATTGCTTACCAAGCGTTGTTTCATATCATAGTACATGTAAAAGAATACAATATAGTGCAGATGGTATATACAAAGTGACAGTGCAATAATGGTGGTATAATCTTAATGGCTGGTACACTCACATTCCAAGGAGCCTGTATATGGAAACACTGGCTCCGTATCAAAGCTTGTGTGCTTATAATGGTAGCACCACCCTTCTACTTCGGTGTGGAGTGATTCTCAAAAACAAAAACAGAGGGAAAGCGTACCAATGTGTAGATATTGTTCATGAAAGCACACATATATATATATACACATATACAGGCTCCTTGGAATGTGAGTGTACCAGCCATTAAGATTATACCACCATTATTGCACTGTCACTTTGTATATACAATCTGCACTATATTGTATTCTTCTGTATTCTTTTACATGTACCATGATATGAAACAACGCTTGGTAAGCAATATATAAGTTTGAGTGCTCCACTTATAAGTGTAGGTCCCTGTTACTCACACCGTATTTAAATCAAGCCCTGATGTATACCTACACCTTCTGGCCATTATTCTCAAATAAATACATTGTATAACATTGTTATCTCGATTTGTCACAACTAAATGATAAGAACTGGATCAACGACACTAAATGTCATCATGAAAAATTAAGACTAAGCAGCTTCTCTATTGACATGGAGTGTCCTGTTTATTTAGCACCAGCAACTCAATATATGGACTGATACTGTCATGAGGTTTGTTTGTGTTTTTTAATTGAATGAGCAGCTTTTTATGACAACATAGGTTGTTACAGGCCCTGAACAAGCTAATAAAAAGCACAGTTTACTATCAAAGCATTGTTACTCTCGGTGACAGTATGAAGTTACTTATGGACTGCTTCCATAAGAACACAAATATGGTCCTAGAACCCTAAAGTTAATATGAGCTTCTTCTTCACTGACAGGGAGGAATTAATCTCTAATCCAACTTCTTGCAGACATGGGATTAACAGAAATGTGCTGTTTGAAATAAGAAAAAATAAACGTTACATTCCCTTTAAAAAGAAGAATGGACATCCCTCATTAATACGTTTCCAAGAGGCACAAAATTAATCAGTTAAGATACCACGGTTTTCCCAGAAATCTAGAGGTAGGCACCATATAAATCCCTGATAGATTCCATTCCCCTTTATTAGAACATTAACCAATTTAGCACAGGTTTTGATAACTATAGTCTTTTATAACCTGGTAAAATGTAATTCCAGATACCAAGTGTGCAACAAAATTACTGAGACGTTGTTTCATGTGATCTTCATGCACTGGAAGGTGTAAGTGATAAGACAACACGTCCACACAGCACAGATTCACATAGTCGTTCAACAAATCTCTCAACCAAAAGAAGAGCTTCCAACTAGCCAGGTCAGTAGTGTGGGTCACAATCTTCGACCATACTGTCAGTGATGTAGCTGCTATTCAAGATGTTTTCGTAATAAAATTTTTCAGACGCATTGTTAACTGTCCATGCCACAACTTCAATACCTCTGAGGTTCCACTGGTCAACATATTCTCTGTGAAGAGAAAACAAAATACCACAACATAGACAATACGCTCCAATTATTTATCTACAGAACAGTGATCGTTAAGAAATTAGTATTTCATAAAGATTAAATTTTTGATTAAATACTCACATTGATTGAATGCAGTAAAAATATATAGCAAAGAAAAAGTAGGGATTAATTATGTGAAGACCACAGAAGGTGACCGAGATGTTTTAAGTCACTGGACTACTTTAGATAGTTTGCCTATACTTATGGAACATTTCTTGTTTTGCCTTAAACATTACCTCACTGATAAAGTCTATATTCCAAAGTTGATGCAAAATATTCAACCTGTGGGTATAGTAGAGTTAGAGAATATTCCAAAAAAGCTATTTTGGCCTCAATCTTGCCATTTGGTTCTTAAGGTTCAGTGGAAAACACTTTGAGCATCTGAGAGCTGACCGCCTGCCTTTACACTTTGTGAAGCTTGCCTCAACGACATATGACGTTTTTACACACTTCTAAGTCGAAGCGGCAAAAACGCAGATCTGGGGCCTGCTATCCACCTCTGGGCTTTGATTTGGCTACCGTACTCGACGGCCTGATCCCTGCATGGTTAGGGGTGCACTAGCTGATAACCTGATATTGTACCTACTGGTATTCATGATCGTGTATACTACCCGAAATGCCAGGTTTAACCTATCCACTCTACCCATTCCCCAGGCTACTCATTACTATCTGTAAAACCTTCCTATTTAAAAAATAGCTAATGTTTGATTACCATGTTTATGTGATTGCTACTCTGACCATGTCATGTTATGTACTACTCAGTATTTGCGTTTATATCATGCAACTGTACTTTATCCAAAAATTTACGTGAAATTTTTTTTTTTTCAGGAGTTCCAATTCAATGTAAATTTCATATTGAAGGTCAAAAGTGAAGAACTGGAATAAATCTCCATGTCAGCTATGCTTCCACTTTAGCTACTTTGGCTTTATATTTGAAATAAGTTCCTGACAATTCTCACATTAGTGAATAACCCTGTCTGTTTTGCTGCTTCTCTGATTTAAAGCATTAATTTGTTTGCTCTTTTTTGTGAGCTTAACTCCACGATAATTTCGATTAAAAAATTATCTGGCCAAAAATAAATCTCTGGTGAGTCTACAAATAGTTTTTTTTTGGGGGGTGGGGGCAAGGATATGTTTTATTCAACATGAAAAACTAACAAAGTATGGCATTTCAACAGCAGTACTTGAACACTGCAGAAAAGTTAGCGCTTTTAGAAAATGCTTCTTTCGATCTTCTGGCAACTTGGAAGTTCTAGATCACCTGCCATGATCAGATTCAGAACACCTTTTACCTTTTTTACCACCCTGCTATTTTACTAGCTCTGCTTGTAGAACCTTCACTTTAGATTGTTGTTGTTCCAATGAAACATGCAGTGCTGTGATCTGGGTGGTCAATTCGGCTTCGTATTTGACCGTGTGATTTCTGGTATCCTGACCCGGCTTCGTATTGACCTTGTGATTTCTGGTATCCTGACCCGGCTTCGTATTGACCTTGTATTTTCTGGTATCCTGACCCTGCTTTGTCTTGACTTTGTGTATTTCTGTATCCTTGACCTTGATTCTCGCCATGTTAATACGTTAAGTCCGGCCTCTCTAAGGCTGGGTAATAATACTTTTGGATCCACCTTTTGTGGGCTTCCTCTTTTCTGCATTGGGGATCAGTTCCTATGACATTGTGTTGGTGACATTACCAACTCCTTAACACCTTCAGAGGGAGAAAGCGGTAATCCATTTGTCATTTTGGTCTTATAGAACTGTAAATCAGTGAAAAGAGGCTTGATTGTCTTTATCACAGTTAGCAGGACGTTTTCAAGAAGCAGGTCAAGTCCTCGGGATGCTCCCAGATATAAAACTATACAAAATGAAGCATATAGTTTCATCAAAATTATTCTTAACCCTGTAATTCAAAAGATTCCTCTAAATACGCCAGCATAACCATAGTCTTCCTTAATAAAAAAGTTAGAAACCATAAAACCTTAAAATATAAACATCCCTGTGTGCTTTAGTTTAGTTTTTTTTTTTAAATACCATTATAAAACTAAACTTACTTTGAGATGTAATTCTTCTGCATTAAGAAGGCGGATATTCCACAAAAGTTCCAAAGAATGTTGTGCTGTCCCCAGTCGAGCAAAATGTCCAGGAACATGTACCAGTAATGTTTCCAAAAAGAGTCAAATTTTTTTTTACCATCTCCGAAATGACTGAGACTCCAAGGTCTGTGTGTTAGAGCGGTGATGACATTTTGGTCGGCTTGCCTTATCTGAAAAACAGTTCAAGAAGCATCGCTACTTCTTTAGAAATTATATCATTGAATAAAACAAATTAAATCACCTACAACATATGTTAACCTTGAAATTTCAATGTAATCAAAATATATCATAAGACAAAGTAGGGATTACTTCGTCTTATGGGTTAGGTCAAGGTTGAGAAAAGTTTACAGCCATCAGCTATGGTCAATTTCTAGTAGCCATAGTTAGCACAGAGAATAACAGATACATGGGCTTTCAATGGATGACGCACTAGGAGATAAAGACAGAACCCAACAGAAATGACGCACCTGCGAGAGGGAGCTCCAGGTAAGTAAACCCCCTGTTTGCTTCTCCCCTTGCTGCCACAACACCAAAACATGCAAAAACTCTGAAAGTAGCACAGCTATTTTTCAACAAAATTAGGATCCTATGTTATATGGATGCGCACAATACTATAATCATAATAAAAATGCCTTTATTACAAAAATCAGCAATAACAGTTAAATAACGAATAAAGTAGTGACAAGGCTTTCACAATACAACAAAAGTACAAGTGAAATCTCAAGCCTACCAGAAAGTGAAAACTGTGCCACTAATCTGGCCCGAAATGTATTGGCAGCCACAGATTGCTTATTTTTTGTAATAAAGTATTTTTATGAAAGGGATTCCATAGTATTAGGAATATAAATCTGGTCTATCCCTATTTAATTTACTATATTAACGATTGTAAATCATCAATTTTAAAATGATAGTTGAGACATGTAACAATGATGAGCTTGATTACATTCCAGTATTTCTCACACCTGTAGTGGAAGTACAGGATGCCCTCAATCCGATGTGCTGGCAGTGAAGCCAGCATGTTGCTGTCATTAGGGATGGTTGTACAACCGCATCTGAGAGGGGGAGGAATCACAAGTTGGTGGTTACAATAATGTAACACCCATGGAGCCTCCTGGAATGGTGACACTGGAGTGACAGGTAGCAGGTTAATACAAAGAAATATATATAATTTTTGACTAAGAAAATGTACTGCCTTAGGAACTGGGAATATAGATGACCTTCATATGTGCTCATTTTCAATATCAACAGACAATTATTTCACAAACCTCTAAGATTTCGTATAAAAAGTCTCAGGCAAGAGTAATGCAACTGATAAGTAATCTGAAGCTTCTAGATTTTTCTGAGAATTTCCCTTGAACTGGACATCTCAGCTCTACACTGATTCCAGTACTAGAGTTATAGATAAAATATCCCTTCCGAATGAGAAGCAAGCTGCACCTCAATGTACACAGACAATATGGAAAGATAAAAATCAATTTGAATTCTAACTACTTTTCATCTGGTGTCCGTTCCCCCAATCTCTGGCCAACTCACTCTTTAAGGCCCCTTTTAAAATTTGTTGGAGGAAGTAGTGTAGTTTCACTTACTTTATAAATAACACTTGGTTCAAATGAACAGACAATGCTACTGTTGTATAGACGAGGGTAAGACACGTACAGCTTCCTCAGAGCTTTGGCCGCCTAAAGGGAAAAAAAAATATAGTGTGAATCATTATCAATAAACATTACAAATGTTTAATTCGTGAAAAGGGATGCATTAACATTCACCTTGACATGAATGGTTTTGTAGGAAAAATAGGACTTCTCTTTTTGTTAAACTTTTTAACACATGCTAGCAAAAGTACTGTATAGATCAGAAAGTAAAGTATATTGAAAAGAGATTTAGTCACATTAAACAGTGCTGAACGAAAGCCAAGTTTAAATATTTAGGTCATAATAGGTTGAGTTGTGGAAAATGTCTCACTCAGTTCTATTACAAAGCCAATCTGAATATTCCAGTGCAGGAGTGCATTTGACAAAGCATTTCTTCTATCATATCAGATTCATCTGTATAGAAATTTTATGGATAACTATAGTTCTTCCATAGTGTTTCATTAAAAGCCGCACACTGTAAGACTATCATTGGCGAGATTGAGATATTATGCATTATAAAAAGGTTAGCCCAGCCTGGTCCTGGAACACCAATGCTGAAAATCTTATATGTCACTATTGATCTACTAACGATGTTAAACTCTTTATTAGAGCATATCAGCTATATCTAAGTACAGGTTATACAGCTGAGTCTAACTATAAAATGCACGCGAACCCAACAAGATAAAAGGTTTAACAAACGTTTAATTTTAATTCAAGCAAGAAAATGTAAAAGAGACCAGACAAAGGGTGAAGCTCTCTTTATTACCTCATTAGCATGGCCCTTGACATCAAAGTAAATAGTCAGGTTGTAATTTATACATTCTCTTACTGCCTCTTCCAAGGTAGGAACCTTCTCGCCCTGGAATTGATTCCTATGACAGAGGAGGAAAAAAACATTTTACTGCACTGGTTGTTTTATGGCTCTGCTAATGATTTCCATTTATAGCAACAAGAAATAATAAAAGCTTAACTTACGGAGAGTGCACTTTATTCTCATAGTTAAGTAACGGGCTACTAAACGATTGAAAATTACAGAATGTTTTCTCAACTGCGCTGGGGTACTCAAAATAAAATCATTTGTAGGAGTAGAGCGTGAATGAAGTAGCATATTTAAACACGGCCTTTTTATTTAGCAACATCATCGTTATCGTAATACATATTTCCTTTTAAGTTATTCCTATGAAAGTTTAGGTTTCGATTTTACTCCTGTCTCAAACGTACCTTTACCCGGCAGCGCCCGCGCCGCTCCTCTCCTCCGGCCATGCGGGCAGAACTAACCCCGTGGCCGCATTGCCTCAGTCCTAGGACTGCGCGGCCCGAATGCTCCACGTGGCCGTGCGGCCTGAACAGATTGCTTACATTTGGTCCCACGAACGGCTCCCTCTGCTGGTTCGTGGGTCAAACTGCAGCACCTATAAATAAAATATTGCCTGGACGTCATGACCTTAAAGAACCAAGTCATCTAGGCAAGTGTTCCCCAACCCAGTCCTCAGGGACCACCAACAGTCCAGGATTTATGTATTTCCCTGTTTTATTCCAATGAAGATACTGACAAAACATGGACTGCTGGGGGTCCATGAGGACTGGGTTGGGGAACACTGATCTAGGCAACCTAATGCTGTTTAGGGTTGCAGAGATGACGTGGACCAATGGGTACTCTTTTAAACCTATCTAAGGCTTGTTTTAGCTTCCATTCACTGCCCTATCGTGGATTATTGTTAGATCCTCGTTTAGTGCTCCTAGAGATTACCTTCTGATGTCCTATGTTTGACCTCGGCTTCATATTTGACTTGTTATTTCTGGTATCCTGACTTCAGCTTTGCAATTGACTTGTGATTTCTAGTATACTGACCTCGGCTTCATAATTGACTTGTGATTTCTGGTATACTGACCTCGGCTTCGTAATTGACTTGTGATTTCTGGTATCTTGACCCGGCTTTGTCTTGACTTTGTGTATTTCTGTATCCCTGACCTTGATTTGTTCTTGACCTTGAGTCTTGCTAATTTAAAACGTTAAGTCCGACCATTCTAAGGCTTGGTAATACGTCTTTTGAATCCACCTTTTGTGGATATGAAATAACTGTTGCTTTGATTGCTTCTATATTTATATATTACTTTCCATATGAGTCGGCATACAAAATTGCCACCAGGGACAGATGTTTATCCCTTTGAAACATTAGGTATCCCCGACTGATATAGCACACTCACCGCAGACGGTGTTTAGCTGCAGCATTCATCCTCCTGAGGTCAGCGTATGAGATGTCTCGCAGACTGCCAATGCCATCTGTGGTCCTGTCTATTGTGTCATCGTGCATTAGAATGGGGACTCCGTCCGATGTAAACTCTACGTCCAATTCCACCCCTGTTGCCCCATGTTCCGCTGCCTGTGGCAAAATCAATACCATCATTTATCATGTGCTTAAATATGTCATATCACTGTTAAGAAATAGAAATGATTTATAAACAAGGTAACACAAATATGATATATATATATATATATATATATCTACATATAGATATTTATACTTAATGAAATGTTAAAAACCAAATACACACACCATGCAAGCCATAAGACTTGCTTTGACCACAGAAATCTCACTTTAACAGTGCTCTCACTACTGCAAGGGATTCTGGGTAGGTGTTTGCAAATGAGCTCAACTCATTGGACTAATTGGACTAACATAACATATGGTGTACATGATACAGTGTACAGTGTGTGACAAAGGTTGCTACATTGGAGAAACTGGCCTTTAGCTGCAGCTCAGAATGAATCTGCACAGACACTCAATCAAGAACCACAAGGAAAACGGATATTGTACCCATGTTGGTCATCATTTCACCCAGACTGGTCACTCCATCCAAAACCTCAGGATTAAAGTTCTTAGAGGGAATTCCAGAGACTCTCATGAACGAAAGACATTTGAGATGGAAATGATCACATATTTCAACATCAGAAATGAAGGACTTAATGTAGACTCTGGCTTTCTCACACACTACCAAAACTTTTTATAAACACACATCTTAATGTCTTATATAGTTCAATATATAATATATACTTTTTCAATATTCTCATTTCACCTTTATTGGATCAATTTATATACATACATATATGCAGCTATATGTTAAAAAGACTAAGATCATGGCAAACAGCAATCTCTGTTCCTGGAAAATAGATGGGGAAGAAGTGGAGGCAGTGACAGATTTTATTTTCCTGGGATCCAAGATCTCTTCAGATGGTGACTATAGTCATGAAATTAAAAGACGTTTGCTTCTGGGGAGGAAAGCTATGGCAAGCTTGGACAAGCTGGTAAAAACTAAAGATATTACACTATCAACAAAAGTCCGCATAGTCAGAACTATGGTATTCCCAGTAGTAACATACGGATGTGAGAGCTGGACTATAAAGAAGCCTGAGCGTCGTAGAATTGATGCATTTGAACTGTGGTGTTGGCGAAAACTGCTTAGAATCCCTTGGATTGCAAGAAGATCCAATAAATCCGTACTACAGGAAATCAAGACAAACTGTTCACTGGAAGCTATGATCATGAGGCTGAAGCTCAAATATTTTCACCATATAATGAGAAGGATTCTCTAGAGAAAACACTGATGCTGAAAAAGATTGAAGGCACACGAAGAAGGGGACGACAGAGACGGAGATGGGTAGATGAGGTCACTGAAGCCACGAACATGAAGTTGTTGAACCTCAGAGGAGCAGTGACTGACAGATGTACCTGACGTGCTATGGTCCATATGGTCATGCAGAGTCGGACAAATCTGAACAACTAAACACACACACACACATTCAGCTATATACTTCCATGTCCTGCTCTGCTGTTTTCTTTCTTTTTAACTAGCTTTTTTACTCTCCTCTGTGTATTTACTTTTTCTGGCTATTCTCAGCCAACTTGCACCTTTCACTTTCAGGCACATCTTCTGCTGTTTATCACACCCCACTCACTCCCCTCCCTCCTCTTCTCTAACATCAGCTGTTTTAAGGGTTAAACTCTTTCAGATTGATCAGTATTGCTTCAGACCTGAGGAAGAGAGGAAAACTTGTCCAATAAAAAAAGGTATCATTGCACACCGCAATACTCTGGTATTTCTGGCATCTTGTCTACTGGACTAATACGGCTAATCCAAGTGTGTGTGTGTATACAAGCAAACCACTTCATTTTCAGCCCACTGGGTGGTGTAGTATATCTTCATTGAGAACTCTCTTGTTAATTAGAAGGTCAGTGTGGGCAGAATCAGATTGCTCAGAAATGTGCCTACAAATAAACATTGTTTCCAAATTGCAAGGTAAGGCCCTTCAAACATAAAAAAACAACAAACAAAAAAACAAAAAGAAAACACCAGTAGCGTTCTCAAGTCTACACATGGCTGCACAGCAACTTGACTGCCCAAGGGGTAGACATGTTTCCAAGCAATGAGCAGGGATATTAAACAATAGATAAAATGCCACACTAGACAATGCTATGGTGACCATTCTGTTATTTTAACACTTTAAGGACCAGAACAGTTTTAATATTTCTGCATTTTTGCTGTTTAGTGCACTACACAATCTATTTTAAGAACTTGCAGGGTTTTCTATCGATTATCTGTACCAATCATCATTTATATAAATAAAATACATAAAGAAAAGTGCATGAAGAATATTTTTTTTCTGTATGGCAAGGATTATTTTTAAAACTACTAATGCAACTGAGCATAGATTTCACAAAATATATTCAATTCCTTGTCCTGAATCTGAATACAGCAAATTAATATTTGTATGTTTTTTTCTGCAATTCCATATCAAAACAATTGTTGCTGTCTATTATTTATTTTTTTTTATAATCTGAAGAGTTTTTACAAACTCGTTTTCCTGGCACTATAGTGTTAATTAGTCCCCCCCCATCCTCATGGCCCTCCTCCCGCCGGACTCTAGGGGAAGGAAGGGGTTAAATGTTTATCTTTCTCCAACGCCGGGCTCCCTTGGCGCTGGGGGCTCTCCTACCTCTTCCGACGAATGTGCATGCGCAGCAAGATCCGCGCCCGCATTTAGTCAGTCCATAGGAAATCATTTCTCAATGCTTTCTTATGGACGCTGGCGTCTTCTCACTGTGAAAATCACAGTGAGAAGCACGGAAGTGCCTCTAGCGGCTGTCAATGACACAGCCACTAGAGGCTGGATTAACCCTAGTGTAAACAAAGCAGTTTCTCTGAAACTGCTATGTTTACAGCAGGCAGGGTTAAAACCTAGATGGCACCCAGACCACTTAATTGAGCTGAAGTGGTCTGGATGCCTTTAGTGGTCCTTTAAATTGGCCTGCAAATGTAGTAATAGTTACAAAACCTAAATGTTTACAACGAAGTGGATATATTTCCTAAAGGGATACTCTGGGCACCATAACAACTTGATATAACTCAGCTGACACTCTCAATCAATGCCACCTCTTCACGTGCTCTAATACTTCCTCATTAGCCTGAAGGGGGGAAGACCGGAACCTGAGGACACACCTAAAAGGGTTACTCTGACTCTTTTTGACAGTCTAGTTTTTTTGTCTTACATTATTGGGCATTGCTAATTCCACCTTAAACCATAAAAAAATAAAAGGGACACTGTAGTCACCAGAACAACTACAGCTTATTGAATTTGTTCTGGTGAGTAGAATCATTACCTTCAGGCCTTTTGCTGTAAACACTGTCTTTTCAGAGAAAAGGCAGTGTTTACATTACAGCATAGTGATAACTTCACTGGCCACTCCTCAGATAGCTGTTAGAGATCCTTCCTGGGTCATGGCTGCCTAAAATGCATCCAAACATTCATTGTCTCCTCCCTCTGCATGTAGACACTGAACTTTCCTCATAGAGATTCATTGCTTCAATTTATCGCTATGAGGAGATGCTGATTGGCCAGGGCTGTGTTTGAATCATGCTGGCTCTGCCCCTGATTTGCCTCCTTGTCAGTCTCAGCTAATCCTATGGCGAAGCACTGTGATTGGATCAAGCTACCACTTCTGATGATGTCAGCAGATTACTTGTTTTTCTGAGAAAAACAGCATCCAGAGTTACAGCTTCAGGCTTGAATACAGTAAGATATTTACTATATTTATGGAGACATGAGGGGCCCTGGGTGGGTAGATGGTGGTTTTAACACTATAGGGTCAGGAATACATGTTTGTGTTCCTGACGCTATAGTGATCCTTTAAAATTAAAAAAAAGAGTTAAAACTTCCTGTAACCAGCACCGGTGAAGCTCCCAGTGCTGATCATCCTCCTCCAGTTGATGTCACCAAGGGAAAACTGTGGTCCAATCAAAGGCTTCTCATAAAGAAGCCTGTGATTATACTATTTCACTGGGTCACAGCATATGCAGCAATGGGAGGGAGCGAGGAGAGATTTTCAGTAAGAATTAAAGCAAAACAAACAAAACTTGCGTTAACTAACATGGTTGCAACAAGTCCCCAGCACAGAAGTGCAAATATCCCTGAATGTTTAGCGTTTCAAGCAGAAATGCTGCAAATCTAGACTCCTTCCAACATGACCACTTTAAATCACTTAATCATGGTGGTTGGATTCAGCCATACAATAATAGCTTAACACTTAAAGGTTAGACGCCCGTGGATGACTCCAGGAACCATAACAACTTGCTAAGGATTCCTTTAAATGTAAACAACTCAAGTATTTGTGTTCTATTCTATGGCAAATCAGTACAAGGGTGAAGATGGAAGTCATTTTACTTTCCATCTATAAAAATGTGCTTGGATGCTTTTGGTGGTGATTTATTTATTTTTTTTGTTCTTTATAATGGTGGTTGATGTAGTATTATAACTGGTATAGAATGGATTAATATGTATTTACTCTGCTGCAATGTAAGGGTAAAATATTCTAGTTTTTTTTAGCTGGGAAATAACAGAGGCTTGTTATTTAACCAAGGTTGCTTGACCTTAAGTTTGGTCCTTAAGGGGTTAAATAAGAAGACATTTACTAGGCCACAAAATCAATTTAGGAGTGAAAAAATAACATCACACAGCCCTCTCTTGTGTTCTTTGTAACAGTTGCTAGCTGTTAGTAATGGCTAACCAGGTCTACAAAATGTTTACAGTGTCTATTTAGACATGTAATGCAATAATAAGACACATCGGTGGCAACATCTAATATGACCATCTAATCATACTATATTCTGCTTTTATAACGAGCCTGCAATTCCTTCATTTAGATGAGAATGAACCCAGTGAACTAAATTGAAATAATCTGTGAATTTCTGACCTGCATTATTGTTGTGCTAAAATTGGTTTCCAATAGAGATCTCTAGGGAACCTGCATATACAATGGCCAAAAAAGGCTGCTCGGTGTTCTGCAAATAACTAAAGGACCACTATAGTCACCCAGACCACTTCAGCTCAATGAAGTGGTCTGGGTGCCAGGTCCCCCACGTTTTAACCCTTCAGATGTAAACATAGCAGTTTCAGAGAAACTGCTATGTTTACATTGCAGGGTTAATCCAGCCTCTAGTGACTGTCTTCCTGACAGCCGCTAGAGGCGCTTCTGCAACGCAGAACGTCCATAGGAAAACATTGAGAAATGCTTTCCTATGGGCATTTTTAATGCGCGCGGCTCTGGCTGCGCATGCACATTCCACTTCACTTGGGAGCTGATGCCGGGGGGGGAGGAAAGGTCACCAGCGCCGAGGGAGCCCGGCGCTGGATTAAAACAAGTAGCTAAAGGGGTTTTAACCCCTTAAGCCCAGCGGGAGGGGGGCCCTGAGGGTGGGGGGACCTAAGGGTTATATAGTGATCCTTTAAAGTCGGGGTTTCAGAGAGTTTTAGGGGCAAATCGGTGAGTTTGGAAATTTACTGTTAAAAGAGCTTTGTTTGCTTCAGTGCTTTAAGTGTAGAGAATGTGTCCCCCTCCCCCCCCCCCTTTTTTCTTTGAAAGACTATGAGCTGCGATCAGAAAAGCTGCATAAACAAAAAACTGGTCTGCAAGGGTATGAGAATACTATACCTGCAGTTATTGTGCGCCAAGATTTCATATGCTTCTATAGAAACAAAGCGAAGATGAATTGTAAATCTACTAAACTCTTATTTTATGATTTTTTCACAAAGCTTCTTCCTCTCCATGAAGGAAGTTACCAGTCCCATGAAAGTTAAAAAAAAAACTATTGTATTGCTACATTGTATGCTACATGCCTTTAAATACATGTCTAGATGCCCATTTGAGCAGGGTCCTCATCAACCTATTGTTCCAGTAACATTTTGTAACTGTCTCATCTATTGTTTAATTCCCTCCTTCATAAAATTGTAATGCGATGCGGAATATGTCGGTGCCATTTAGAAATAATAAATAATAAACATGTAACAACGTAATAATATACGCTCTCAAGAACATTACTGAAAAGGAGAGAAATCTCAGTGTATCTATCATGGTAAAATATTCTACAAATACAAATAAATAAATAAATGTGAGACCAAGGGGTACTTGATGACATAACATATACAGCGAGATACCAGTCACAGCAATGGTAACTCGGATAGTATGCAAACAAGCGATGCACTGGGTTAATTGTTAAAGTTCGATTTACCAGGTAATTGCCACAACAGCGGAAATCCCCCCCAAAAAAGAAAGAAAATCTTCAAACTAGGTATGTTTTCAATATGACTATTTCGGTCTAAAATTAGAAATTTGCTTATACGATTATTGATAAAAAAATTTTTAAAAATCCACAATTTGTAAAAAATTTTTAAATCACCAACTCACCAATTATCACAGCTTTGGCTATTTTTGCCTCAATTCTGATTTCAATTCGTGGTTTAGTAAATAAACCCTTGAATTATTAACCCTTTAACCTGAAACCCCAATATTATTCTCTATAGGAGTGCTCTATGTAAGATCATGGTATGGCAGCCCTGCAGGGTACTGACCGTCCTGATGGCAGCCAGGGTGTTCTCGGGGGCATCGTGTGCACCTCCTCTATGGGCGATCACAGACACCCTGCCCCGGGGTTTTAGCACCTGCTGGGCCCGGGAGCGGGGCACCGGCTGGAAGCGGGCGGCGGACAGCAGGAAGAAGAGGGCGCACACCAGGACGGAGGAGAGCACGGGGCTGCGGGTCAGCAGCAGTCCGAACAGGAACAGGGTGCTGAACGAGGCCAGCAGGCTCTCACCCCACAGCATGGCGGACACCTACACAGCCAGGGGAGCCGGCCCTGCAAGCCTAGACCTGGCCGGGATTTCCTGCCACGCAGCCCCGGCGATCAGAGGGACACAGCCGGTGTAACCTCACCCCAGCCAGGCGGGGAAAGACAGGCCCCTATTACCCAACATACATTGATGTCACTATACAGAATAGGGACACATGTAACACTACATGCTGGCTGCTGCCCTTAAAATGTTATATATATATATATATATATATATATATATATATATATATATATATATATATATTATATGTATTATTATTAATAAACTATATTTTATGTACATTATGTGTATTCTAATATATTACATATTGAAAAATAAAAACTTCAATACATCTCTCTGGGTGTGAGAATATATATATAAAAAAAGCAGGGTGAGATTCACTAAACTGGGATCTTTATTTGGAGAATTTACAAAGGGATTGGGACATTTTAAAGTAAACTGAGTTGAAAAAAAATTAGATTGTTTTTTGGTCACTCAATTCACTTTCACATTCCCCTCTAAATTAACCGGAATATGCAGTTTTGTGAATAAACCCTGGCCCAATTATAGATGGGGAAAAAATGCACACATAGCACAACGTGAAGGCTGGCAAATGGCGACCCATTTGAATGAATCGAATTTCAGTTTGACGTATTCTTGGAACATACTCCAAAACTATACCATATTCCAATACGTCAAAACATGTATACACACATTCATCATTTAGGAAGGAAAGGTTTGCAATTTGTTGATATATATCAGACCTCATTTTTGGTGGGGAAGTTTTCAAAACATTGCAATATGGTATTAACACAGTGCTGTCACTTTAGAGATTTTCATACATTTTCGTGAATTTCTTTAGAATTTTAATGCAATTATGAGTTACTCACTAGACAAAGTAGAGACTTATTTTTGGCAAAATGTGGTAATGAACGGGGCTTCCACATTTTGCAAACATACATCTTCTTGTGCCAAAAACAATAGATACTTATGACATCTTATTGCACTTGCGTGAGAAGATGTACGGAAGGTCCCAGATAATAAAGAAAGATAACAAAGAAAGGGACACTAAGTAGAGAGAGCATTAGGCAAGTGTATAACTCCTTAACCCCTTAAGGACCAAACTTCTGGAATAAAAGGGAATCATGACATGTCACACATGTCATGTGTCCTTAAGGGGCTAAAGGGGGACATGCCAGGAAACACAGTAAGCCAATCATAATGAAGTTGTTATTCTACGAAAAGGTCTCTGGCACTGGCTTACACTCAGGGGTTAAACCATTAACACAAAAGTCCAATATATGGTGCTTGTCAACTCTGCAAACAGGAAGCCTTAGACTGAGCACTGCTCATAGGCTGAGAGCATAAGAAAATGTCGTCTAAAAGGTACATGGCTTTCTCTGTCGGGAATGGGGAGCTACTGAAAGGTTGAGAGTGTCAGCTGAAGTTTTCAGTGGCGTCCAGTACAAGGCTTTCTGATTAAATCCTCAGTTGAAATTAAAATTTAGGATCACTGCTGACATGAGCTGGATTAAAGACATTGGATAAACTGTTTGTTAACGGTTTATCAACCAAAAATGTTACCTGCGCAGTAGGCCCAATTCCATTGCTCATTTAAATGACTGGAAGATTTTTAGTATCACTCCAATGGCCATTAAAGTGTACACTCACCTGGTTCCTAAAGGCAAACCTCTTTTGTGAGTCCTACAGTACCAATGTCCATTAGAGTGATCCTAAAAATCTCCAGTTATTTAAATGTACATAGGGATTTAGAGTAGTGTGCAGGTAACTTTTTTGTTGTTTTTATTCTACGTCTTGGGACTGATGCGTACTATAGTTCTTGCTGCCTCCCAGGAGAATTGGGAGTTGGAGTGCAGGGCTTAATTTTGCATGTTTGTTAACAGTTTAACCCTTGGGAAGTTGGTTCCAGGACCTTCTCATACCATAAGAACTTTGTTCCAATGAAGTTGTTATGGTGGCTAAAGTATTCCTTTAACTACTTCCGTTTAGTAACATCATATAAGCAAACATGTCACTTTGGTGTTTCTCTGCAAAAAAAAAAAAGACTTGTCCTTCAACATTGGAAGGTCTGATATCACGTGTGATAAAGGGGTAGGGCAATGATTGCTGTTGAGCATTAAATTGTGTCATAGACAACATACCTCCTTACAAAGGAATACATGTAAACAGGGCTGCCTGTACACTGAATACACAGTAGTGAATGAATTTAAATACTCAGAATTTTTAACACAAGTGCAGAGTGAGCATGTTTAAAAGTTCTCTTGCTGCATTTTCCCTCAGCCCTCCTGACACCAGATGATAACGCTGGTCTGTCTGATGTGTCACCCAGAGCTACAAAGTGACTTGGCGCTTCTGACCCGATATATAACAGTCCTGTTTTACTGTCATTTATTTCTACGAATGCATGAATTCCTCACTCTGTGTTATCAGTAATTAGTAGTCCGGGCCGGACTGGGGAAAAAATTCGTCCCGGGCATTTTTTATTCACAGCGGCCCCCTGAAAAGGGGGCGGGGCCAGATAGGGTGTATTTTGTAATCCCCAATGACAAGCACGTCCCATCTCAAAGTGAGCATGTTGGTTCAATACTCTTTCAGGGCATGAGAAAAGGGCCCTGTATTTGTTCTGCACAGCGCAAGCAAATTTAATAACATGCTTGCGTTGTGTTTGCTTGAAACTTGTCTCAGGGGTTTCCATAATTGGGATACTCACTGTATCCCATTTATGGAGACACTATGTGTTTGCTTAAATGGAATCTAGTGTGTGCATAGGGGATCCAGAGTGTGTATGTCAGAAATGTAGTGTGTGTGTGTGTGTAGGGGATCTAGTGTGTGTTTGAAGGACTCAGGAGTGCGTATAGGAGATCTAGTGAGTGTGTGTGTGAGTGGTGCAGCGTGTTTGGGGGCTGCTGTGTGTGTTAGGGTGCTGTATGAGTGTTAGGGTGCTGTGTGTGTGTGTTAGGATGATGTGTGAGTGTGTTAGGGTGCTGGGTGAGGCTGATGTGTGTGTCTGCAAGGATTGTGTATTATGGGAGGCAGGTAAATGCCAATATTGATGTCTTTTTTTTTAATTATAAAAATAAATACATTATACCCCCCCTTTCCCTTATTACCTGTAGCCTGGAAGGGGAAGGGGGGGAGTCGTGCTGCTGACATCCATCATTGGTGGTCCTTGTGGTAAGTGAACTCTAGTCTGTGGCTAGAGTTCACTCTCGCGAGACCCGGACGGTTGCCATGGCAATGATCCAGATCTCGCGAGAGAAACCCGGTGGAGCTGCAAGTTAGAGCTCCGCCGGGTCCTCCTCTCCTGGCTGGCTGTCTCCCTCCCTCTCTCCCTGCCGGCAGCCGCGTTTGACAGCATGTGGGCAGGTGAGGGAGATCTTTGATCTCCCCACTGGCCCTTCATGGAACACAGCGGGGCCAGCGCTTGGATAGCGCCAGCTCTGCATGGACCAGCTGGATCTCCCCGGCCTCGGCCCGTGGCCATCACGGCCCACCGGGCATTTGCCCGGTTTGCCCGATGGCCAGTCCGGGCCTGTTAGTAGTAATCATTATTATCTGTAGTAATGTTAATAGCTCCCAACTTATTCCTCTCTTGCAACTGTCACTACTCTAATACTAACCTTTTTGTGTCATTTTACCCCACTCCCTCTAGCATGTAAGCTCATTGAGCAGGGCCCTCAACCCCTCTGTTCCTGTGTGTCCAACTTGTCTGGTTACAACTACATGTCTGTTCGTCCACCCATTGTAAAGTGCTGCGGAATTTGTTGGCGCTATATAAATAATAACATAATAATAATAATAATCAGTAGGATTGCCATATATATGGATCATGGTTTCCTGGACTCATGTAATTCCTGAAAAATGCAGCCCTGCGATATATGGAATTAATATGATGCTGCGGTTAAGACATTAGTTCCAATCTGTAGTATTTCATTTCTGAATACTGCAAGCCAGCAGCACTTTGTACCTAATGCCCATCAATAAGCGATATACATACAGGAAAACATGGTGGATCTGACAACCCTAGTGTTAAATAATGCAACATATTCAGAATCTATTTATTTGTTTATAAATACATTCATATATCTCTAAAGATGAAGACTTGTACCACACCATATCTGTCACTCACACACTGAATATTATCAATGCTGTAGTACAACAAGACAACAGGATTTTTTGTGTGTTTTTTTTTCATATAATATTAATAGCCTAACTTTATTGAGATATTTGTGACAGTACGAGCACAGACTGGCAAATGGCAGGTTAGCCTAACCTGACTCCGCCCACACCCGGAAGTAGTTGTTATACCAAGCCGAGCTCCGCCCTTAGTCCTGCCCGCAGTGGGCGTGGCTCCCAGCCGTTGCCAGGCGCTACCGTTGCCGCCGGAGACCTAAAATATGGCGGGGGGGAGGAGGGGCTGATCTGTCAGCAGCCGGAGCCTTGCCTTAGCTTTGTTTATAATTAACGGCCGGAAACTGACAGTTAGGGATCCAGCATGTCCCACTGAGAACCCCGTGCGAGGAACTGTGCTGGCTGCGGGGTGAGTGCACTCCATGGATATAGTAAATAATATAATATAACATTAATATAATATAACATTATTATAACATCATATAACATTAATATAATATAACAACATATAACATTAATATAATATAACAAAATATAACATTAACATTAATATATGGGATACCTGGCATAGTGTATAATATAACATAATATAATATAACATTAATATAATATAACATAATATAACATTATTATATGGGATACCTGGCATAGTGTATAGTATAATATAACATTATTATATGGGATACCTGGCATAGTGTATAGTATAATATAACATTATTATATGGGATATCTGGCATAGTGTATAGTATAGTATAATATAACATTATTATATGGGATACCTGGCATAGTGTATAGTATAATATAACATTATTATATAGGATACCTGGCATAGTGTATAATATAACATAATATAATATAACATTAATATAATATAACATTATTATATGGGATACCTGGCATAGTGTATAGTATAATATAACATTATTATATAGGATACCTGGCATAGTGTATAATATAACATAATATAATATAACATTAATATAATATAACATTATTATATGGGATACCTGGCATAGTGTATAGTATAATATAACATTATTATATGGGATACCTGGCATAGTATATAATATAATATAATATAACATTATTATATGGGATACCTGGCATAGTGTATAGTATAGTATAACATAACATTATTATATGGGATACCTGGCATAGTGTATAGTATAGTATAACATAATATAATATAATATAACATTATTATTATATGGGATACCAGGCATAGTGTATAGTATAGTATAACATAACATTATTATATGGGATACCTGGCATAGTATATAATATAACATTATTATATGGGGTACCTGGCATAGTATATATAACATAGCTATCAATCATAAGGAATGCCTGGCATATATGTAACATTGTACCAGCTAAAAGGGATACTTGGCATGGTATACAGTGTGTGTTACACTATATGTAACATTATACATTGTACCATCTGTAAGGGATACCTGGCATGGTATTTTTTTATGAAATATATCATATACCGGAAATGGCACACATCACCCGGTGAACCATCTGCATCCCGCCCGCTCAATGTCACCGAGCCGCAGCACACCGGTGAGGAATGTGCAACCCGCAATACTGACTGTGGGGAACACGGGGAGCGAGAATCAGTTTCAGACACTGAGCCTGGGCACGCAGATTGAGAGGGGGTGGAGTCAGAGATTGCTGAAGGTCGCAGGCTATCACAGAGCCATAGCGGAGTCACAGAGATTACCGAAGGTTGTGCTTGTCATGGCAATCTCCAGCAAATGCCTTGTCAGTCGTAAATACACCGCTGATTGCAGTACCGCACGCGGGGGAAGTGAGGGAGTGTTATTTTTAGCAGATTTTATCCTTGTTCGGCCGAATTGAAATACTCCCATTTTCAGCCGAAATTTCGGAACATCCCTAGTTGCCTTATTACTTGGGGGAGAGAGCTTGATATTCTTTGTATCCATTTCTCGTTATAGGGAAATGGTGTCTTGGAAAGTGTTGAAGTCAGCACCCAGGAATGTCATCTTCGGAGCTGGTATGAGGCTGCTTTTCTGAAACTGTATCTACCAGCTGAACCATTGGAGCACTAAATCTTTGTGTATTGCTCATTGGACATCTGGGGCTACTAATAGTAGAGCGTCCAGGTAGTGAAACAAAGAAATATCCTGCATACTTATTTTTTTTTTTTTTTCTTTCTATGAGGTTGACCAATACCTTTTTGAAAAGGTCCTGGTGGCGGTGCTCAGGCCAAATGGTAGTGCTTGAAACTGGAAATTATCCTTTTCTTTTGCAAATCTGAGAAAGCAATGGGGTCCTGTGGCAATTGGGATATGGTGGTATGGATCCTTTAGGTTGATTTTGACACAAGAAAATGTGTTCCTTCCCATTGCTGGGGAGATGGATCTGATGGATTCCATCCTGAAGGATCTGACATCTAGCTTTCTGTTGACTCTTCGAAGGTCTAGGATTGGCCTCTAATTTTCTTTTCTCTTCTGAACCAAAAAGAATGGTGAATATTGCCCCTGGAACTGTTCTTTTTTTAATGATGCTGGGATGATGACATTTTGGATCATAAGTTTCTTCACATATTCCCACATGTTGGCCAAAGGAAATGCTTGCCTAGGGTCCAATCAATATTAAAGATGGCCTTGTCCAAAAAGGAACAGCTATAATAGCTAAAATAAGAAATCTCAGGTACAAACAGAAAAATCAAAGGGGGGGAAAAAAACCCAGTGACTTTAAAAAAAAAAAAAAAAAAAAAGGGAAGGGAAGGGAATAGCAAAGGGAGCGAACTGCTCCCCTTCCTAAGTGTTGTAGGGCAGAAAAAAGACTGGGGAGCTTATATCTGGGTCCTCCTTCTTAAAACTTTTTTTTTATTCCTGTCCTATAGACTGAAAGGGGCGGGGCTCACCCATTTATATATGCTGCAATGATCAGGCAGGAAATATAACGAGTTACAATGAACCAGCTATAAAGTCATTCATACCCCTCCAGCAAAGGGGAGTGGAGCTAATAGAGGAGAATTGGGCTGCAGGGAAAACTTGGCTACGGTGCTAGCACAGAGGCAAATTTTAGTCTATGTATTTTTTTTTTTTTTTTTATTGTATAATCCTTTAAGAATAGTTTCTCTTTTGTACAGTAGTTGCATTTCTACAAACCTTTTTATTTGACTTGTGTCAACGGACAAGCAACTGTTCCATACCATTAAGATGCCAGTGTGATTGATCTGTTCTAAAGCGGAGTTACATTTATTTGACCTCAGTATTTTGTTGCTAGTGGAGATTCTCGACACTAAACACCTAAAAAATAAGGACATCAAAAACACAAAAGACAAATTATTCAGTAATTACAAAATATAATGTTGTAGAACTTTTGTAATCATGCTTTTTAAAAAAAAAAATTTTTATTTTATTACACGTATGTTAATGAAAGTTCACTACATACATAATTTTATTTATGGTCTAATTTATCAGTTAAAGACTGTCTCTTAAACCCTACAAATAATCTGCTTTTCAGTCTGGAGTACAATGGAGGCGTATGAAGACTTTTGCAAAGAGCAGTTTGCCAGAATCCAAGCAGAGGCCATTCCCTGTGATTCAGTTTCCACGGATGATGGCAAAATATCTTTTATTAAGTTTCATGGAGTTGCAGTACTTTCTCCGCTGGTAAGTGATTAGTTATGTATGAATAATCCTTTATATTAAGTCCAGGCTCGACAAATTCCGGTGGAGCATGGGAGCCGGGGGGCCGTCCACGGGAGCATGGGAGCCGGAGGGCCGCCCACAGGAGAATTGTAGGCCGCGCGAGGGAACCGTAATCTACCTGCAGCTCCGCTCTGTTCCTTTGCATTGTTTAATGATGCTGAGAGTTGGAATATGGCATCACTACAGAGAGATGCTGCAGGTAGATTACTGCTCCCTCGCACGCAGGAAGAGAAGAGCCCCACTGGACCCCAGGGGAAGATCCACTCAGCTCTCCCTAAAGTAGGGAGGCTGGATGGATTTCTTTTAAAACAAAAATCTCAGTTTTTTTTTGTGTTTGTGTGTGTGTGTTAGTCTGTCAGAGGTGTGTGTCTGTTTAGGTACCTGCCCCACTCCAATCACAGTAGAGGTGTTTTTACTCACCTTTTTTCCCACGCCATGCCTGTTTCTCTGTGGCTGGTCCTGCCTCCATGCCTGAAATAATCAGTCTTTATGATCTCAGAGAGGATATTGTGCATGCACAGCAAAACAATGTGTCAATCAGCATCTACTCCTAAAGATGCATTGAATCGATGCATTTTTATGGAGAACATTCAGCACCTCCATACAGAGCGTGGAGACACTGAACGTAGGTGCTGCACACTGCGCAACACTGACCAAGGGCTCTCTAGTGGCCATCTGAGTGACTGTTACTAGGCAGCAATATAAACACTGCCTTTTCCAGAAACCACAATGTTTACATTGGAGGATTAAATCCACCTGTAGTGGCTGTCTTCCTGCACAGACTGAGTAAAACTTGGCCTCTATAGGAAAGCATTGATGTGGTGCTTTCCCATGGGGAAGCTTGGATGCACATGTGCATCAGGATTTGACCACACCGTAGAAGGCCATGCCTCCTCCATGACGTTTCGAGTGATAGAGAGGTAATGAGGACCAAGGGATCCACGGGTTATCCGCAGGTTATTAAAAAGCTTAATTTTCTTATTTTCATGGCAAATGGTGGGGTGGACCTGTGTTCAACTAAGGAAGGGACACTAAAGTATTAGGAATATAATAGAAAAGAATGTGCTGCTACCCCAGTTAAAAGAAAGAAGAATAATACTGATAAAATCGAAATAAATAAAAATAGTCACAAAGCATAAACATTTCTCAAAACGTTTCTCACCTGTATAGCAAAACCAAAGTAAACTTTGGATGTGTTTTTCGTGTGTGATAACAGATGATGTTGAAAAAGCAAAACGATTCCAGTGTATCCTTAGGTTTTGTTATATTCCCCTCCCTTTATTAAGGCACATATAAAGTATTCCAAATGCAAAAATTAGTTAATCACCTTTTAAATGTCTTCTCTATGCTCTGTGTAGTGGGTAAATCTGCAGCTACACCACTCTCGCATGAGGAAGAAACGTTCTTATCCGATGTACAGCAGAGGTTAAGGGATAAGTAGTTGATTCCCAAGACCAGTTCCACTCATCACATAGGATGAGGGTTAATGCTCTGGAAAATTATAGCAACCTGTACTGTGGTTGCTATCAGTTTGCATATATTCTGGTTCACTGAATCATAAACTAGGTTATGTACAACAATCAGCAGAGCGTAGCTGATGTCTATGCACTCTACTTGGAGGAGAATGCCCAAACACATTCATCATGCACACAAAACTTTCATATAATTGACATAGCTGTTTGGAAGCAAAGGTTTATCTGGTTGATTGACAGGATCTGGTGGTGGGGTAATAATCCTTCAGAACTGGGAACATGTTATGAGGGCTGCCTTGGCACTGAGAAAACAAGATACCTCTTGAAAATATCACCTCTGATCTGTAATGACTCTTCCTTGTTTTATTCCAACTATGTATATTTTATTTCTCATCGCTATACTGACGTGCATAGACTTCCTGGTGTAGCTGCATATTCATGATTCTTTTAATTCTTTCAGCTGGTAGAACAGGCTTATTATATATGTCAAGTTTCAGATCCGCAAATCTCTTGTTATTTTAGTATTATTGGTACTCACCTGAACACATGTACATTTAGAAGGAAATGGTTAACCTTTGAAATGTGTCACTGCTTGAAAACAAAATGCATTATTACAATTTTTTTTATTTATTTTTTTAAATTTCTTCCAGCATTTAAAATTTCCCCTGATAATACACCATATGCCCAAAAGTATGTGAACACCCCTATTAATTGTTGAGCTCACCTGTTTAAGCCTCACACTAAAGTAATCTCCATAGACAAACCTTTGCAATAGTCTTGGTTATTCTGAAGAGCTCAGTGACTTATCTGGCATTGCTGTGTTTGCCAGTGCATGTAACCACTGCAGCTTAATGTAGTGATACTGGTGATTCAGTTTTTCTGAGAAAAGCCAGTGTTTACATTGCTGTCCAATGTCACCCTGGTTGCGGTATTGCAAACTTTTGCAGGACGGCGTTCGGCATCATCACTATAAATTAGGGATGCACCGCAATTTTCGCCCGAAAATGGGCCTATCCCATTTCGGCTGAAAAGGAGTAAAATACGCAGAAAATATGGCAGAGTGATGTCAGGTCCTCCGGTCCATGTCTGAGGACCTGATATTGGGAGGGGGCCTGGCGGCTTGCCCTGTGTGGGAGGGGGCCTGGCGGCTTGCCAGAGTGTGAGGCCCCTCCCATCTGCCTGGGGAGAGAGCCAGCACAGTCTGCAGCTCTGCCAGGAGTGAGCTGCAGAATGGGTTGTATCTTGCGATCTCTGGCCAATTAGAGCGTTGCCTCTGGTTACCACGGCAATGCTCTGACCTTTTTTGGAGCTCACACTCGGCGGAGCTGCAGACTGGAGAGACAGACCACCGGACCATTAGGGAGCCAGGACACTGGATCGCCAGGGAAAGGGGAAAAAAATAATGTATTTCTAACAACCCTTATTCTGTCACCAGTCACCCCTTCCCTCGGTTGCTCTGTCACCCCCTCCCTCGATCGCTCTGTCACCCGGTCACCACCTTACTCTGCCATCTCTATTCCACCCCACATTATGTCCTTCCCATTCTTCATAACCCAACATTAGGTTCCCTACACACAAACTACATCCCGGGCCCATCCCACACTGTACACACACATGTACCTTACACACTCTACATAACCTACAAACATACAAACTACATCCCTGTCCCACACTTCACTATATTTTATACACACTACATAACCTACACAAATCATTTGGGGGGGGGGGGGAGAGTCGTTTTCGGCAAAGGGCATCCTGAATGTTTGGTTTTGGACCAGAATTTTCATTTCGGTGCATCCCTACTATAAATACATGCTGTATTCCTAACAGTCTGGAATGGGATATCCAACAAGCTTCTATAGGTGTGATGGTCAGGTGTCCACATACATGTATATATTATTATCACTTATATAGCTGTGACGAACCGTCCACCAATCGATGCTCCTAGCACTTACCAAGGACCATCCGCACCGGACACCATAGATACCGCAGACTCCACAAACCGCCGTAGCTGGGTTGGGGTCTTGCCGTCTCCTTCCCATCCTGGTCCAACCTCTGGATCCAGGACCGTGTGGAAAGGACCTCTCCTACAGGAGAGTATAGCTGTAGGAAGGACCTCTCCTCCAGGAGAGAGTAGCTGTATAGCTGAAGAGAGCTCTTACAAGAGCTAGCAGTGATTATAGCTGTTATAGCTGTTCCCTGCAACACGAGACGAGGCTGCGAGTTGAGGGTAAGAAGATCTGGTTTAATGAGCACAAAGGCATTTCTTATACACATTTTCAGGCCAGAGGCACACCCCCTGGACCTTGTGGTACACAGGGACACAAACCAATAGGAACAATAATTAACACGGTAACACTCCCACATACAGTCAGCAAGTCCTCCCCTCTGCCTGTGATATAATTAAGCTAGCTAATGGAATAACCTAATTATCCACAGGCCGAAAATATAAATTTTTACATAAAAAACACCCCATAACACCACGTATCCCCACTAGTATACATCCCTGGATAGCCCTGATCTGGGTGAACAACATATCCAAAAATCACCCAGATCAGAGCAGAGGGTTCAAAAGTTTTGTGGAAGTCATATTTGACTGACCGCACGCACGCACATTTTCATGCCCAAAACAGTTCCAGAGAATTTGGCTGTGTGGCTGGTCTATTTCCAATAGTTCAAATACAGTGGAACCTCGGTTAACTAATGCCTCGGTAAACAAAAAATTCGGTTAACGAATGAGAATTCGTGTAAAAAAAAAAAAAGCCTCGGCTTACAATTTTTTTTCGCTATACGAAACAAGTGTCCCGGTTTATAGCTCCGCCCCCTGCATACTAGAGTCTGGGTAGCACGTGAGTGTGGAGCGTGGAGGTGTTGGAGAGGTTTTGGAGCAATTTGCAGCAAGTTGTGGAGCCATTTGCAGCAAGTTGTGGAGCCTTTTGGAGCCATTTGCAGCAAGTTGTGGAACATTTTTGGTGCATCTCAAGAGGTGAGCTTAGTTGTTTGCATGCCTTTTACTGTGTGTTTTGCATTGTGGGTTTGCTTTCCATGCCAGCTCATGTGCTGTGCATGCCTGTCACAGTACTGTACTGTGTGTTTTGTAATGTGGGGTTGTTTTCTATGCCAGCTCATGTGCTGGGCTTGCCTGTTACAGCTCATGTGCTGGGCATGCCTTTTACTGTGGTTTCCATGCCAGCTCATGTGGGTGTAAAGCATTTTTTTTTTTTTTTTTTGCATACTGCACCCAAGAAAGCAGCGGAAGCTGGGAAGAGGAAGAAGGAGATGATTCTGCTTGAGGACAAGAAAGAAATCATCAGAAAGCATGAAGGAGGAATGTGATTGACTGACTGACTGACCTTGCCAAAGAGTATGGAAGGAGTGCATCCACAATCGGTAAATCCTAAAAATGAAAGAGAAGATAACTGGGAGAGATGCAGCCAAGGGAGTCACCAGGGTCTCCAAGCAACGGCCACCTGTTCTGGAGGTGGTCGAGAAGTTGCTCCTGCTCTGGATTGAACAGAAGCAGCGTGCAGGGGACTCAGTGACCAAGGCGATCATCTGTGAAAAAGCCTTGCACGAAAAAGCCTTGCATGCTGACCTCAAACAATAGCCAGGAACGTCAGCAGATGCAGAAGGCTTCAAGCCCAGCAGAGGGTGGTTCGAAAGGTTCAAGACCAGATCTGGCATCCACAGTGTGGTCGGGCATGGAGAGGCTGCAAGTTCCGATGTTGCTGCAGCTGAGGAATTTGCTACAGAGTTCCTGGAGGTCATAGTTTCAGAGGGCTACCTTCCTCAGCAGGTCTTCAACTGTGACGAGACTGGACTCTTCTGGAAGAGGATGCCAAAGCGGACCTTCATCACAGAAGAGGAGACCTCATTGCCTGGCCACAAGCCGATGCAGGACCGTCTCACCCTCCTGTTCTGTGCCAACGCCAGTGGGGACCTTAAGATCAAGCCCCTGCTTGTCTACCATTCAGAGAACCCACAGGCCTTCAAGAAACACAAGGTGAACAAGGAGCAGTTGAGTTTTGTGGCAGTCTAAGCCAAAGGCTTGGGTCACACGCCTCTTGTTTGTGAAGTGGGTCAATGCGGTTTTTGGTCCTGCTGTGAAGAAGTACCTTGTGGACAATAACCTGCCACTCAAGGCCATGCTGCTCATGGACAATGCTCCTGCCCATCCTCAAAGAAAGACTTGCTGGAGGACTTTAATTTCATCAAGGTCATGTTCCTTCCGCCTAACACCACCCCAGTACTCCAGCCAATGGACCAGCAGGTCATCTCCAATTTTAAAAAACTCTACACAAGGGACCTTCTCAGGCGATGCTTTGAGATGACAGATCGCTCAAGCCTCACCCTCCATGAATTTTGGAGAGAGCATTTTGACATTGTGAGCTGTCTGCAGATTATCACCATTGTCTAGGCCGGGGTCAGCCAACCTAAATTCTGCTTGGCGCAACCTGTGGCCAGACTGTGAAACCTGCCTCCAGTGCTTCTGCACCTGCACCAGAGTCAACAGTGTTGGAGGAAATTGTTTCCTTGGGGAGGACCATGGGCCTGGAGGTGACTGAGGAGGATATCTATGAGCTGGTGGAGGAACACGACCGTGACCTAACCACCGAGGAGCTGGTGGAATTGCAGAAGGAGGCGATGGAGGAGCAGACCGCATTTGAGGAGGAGGAAATGAGTGAGGAACAGCTCTCTTACACGGAATTCAAGGAGGCATGCCAAATGTGGGTAAACCTACAGACTTTTGTACAGCAGCACCACCCAGATAAGGCTCTAGCCAAAAGACTTGTGAGCAGTTTTGACTGACATCATGTCCCCTTTCCGAGGGATGCTTAAAAGGCGCCAGAGGCAGCAGACAATGGAAAGGTTCTTACAAAAACAGCCTAGACATGAAGAAGAACCTGCTTGTGTTAGTGCTGCCCAGTTGCCCTCGTCCTCCTCATCTTCCAAAAAGTGTTAACATTGTTTTGAAATTTTCCATGTTTTCCCTGTTGACGTGTGATTTATGTACTGTACCATGTTACCAACAGTCTGCCATGTTTTAAAAGTTGATGTGTGATGTTTTTAAAACATAAAGTTGGATGTTTGAAATGTTATTGCTTGATTAATCATGTCCCTGTACAGTATTTATGCCTTTAAAGTGCACTTTATAAAGAGTTTTGAACAGGTAAAATACCTTATTTGACTTTTTTCTCACCTCCGGAACGTATTAATTGGTTTTCAATGGATTCCTATGGGAAACCGTGTTTCGGTTTACAAATTTTTCGCAATACAAAACGTCCCGGAGAACGCATTAAATTCGTAAACCGAGGTCCCACTGTACTAAGTTCCGTTCTAATGCAAATACTCAAAGTTAAAGTGGCGTTTGAATTGTCGAATGTACTTCGATTTCCGTTGAAGTCTGGAGAAGGTAAAGTTCAGCGGTGTTCGTGCCGTCGCGTATCCGATTTGAGTTCCATGAATTCAACGACCAAACACAGCTAATCGCGTTTGACTGAATTAAAATGGCCGCCGCCTCGTATGTTGCATGGCGGCAACTTCGGCTGTATCCGAAGTCTCACTTCGAAAGTGTAAATCCTTTCCAATAGTTTTTTAAAGTGGCAGAGACAGTACTTTAGAATCCAGTCTGCACAAATGGCGTTTTTAAAAGGCAATACAACCCAGGTGCCATAGTCACAGGGCAAGAGGTTGGCAAGCAGGCCTCTCCAAAACCCAGTGGCGAAGTGCAAGTCGTCACAATAGCGCCAACAGATTCCGTAGCGCTTTAAAATATTATGAGAGGGGTGATTTAACTATAAATAGGACAATTACAAGAAAACTTATAGGAACGATAGGTTGAAGAGGACCCTGCTCAAACTAGCTTACAGTCTATAGGAGGGGGGGTATAAAACACATTAGGACAGGAAATATCAATCAAATATGGTGGGAGTGAAGCAGAGCTGGAGGAGAGAATAAAGTGTTGCCCTATAGGAGAGAGCAAAAGACAGGTATGTAAGGTAGAGGTTACTCTTGGAGGCCATAAGCTTTCCTAATGAGATGGCTTTTAAGGCACTTCTTAAAGGATTGAAGACTAGGGGAGAGTCTGATGGGGGTAGGCAGGCTATACCATAGGAAGGGAGCCGCCCGCGAATTGGCCATACCGGTGCGAGCAGCGGTCAGGAGAAGGTCATGGGCAGAGCGGAGGGGCATACCTATGGATCTGTGGGGCTAGAATTGTTCAGTGCTTTATATGTATGGGTTAGCACTTTGAATTAACTCCTACAGGAAGCCAATGTAAGGACTGAGAGAGGGGTGAGGTGTGAGAGGCCCAACTAGAGAGGAAAATCAGTCTGGTGGCGGCATTCATTACAGACTGTAGCAGGGTGATACAGCTTTTGGGAAGACCAATCAGGAGAAGGTTACAATAAACCATGCGAGAAATTACTAGAGCATGGACAAGCTCATTGGTAGCATCTTTTGTAAGAAAGGGGCGGATGCAGGCTATGTTTTTAAGTTGGAATCTACAGGATTTGGCAACAAACTGGATGTGAGGTTCAAAGGTGAAGCCAGAGTTCAGTATGACACTAAGACAGCGTGCTTGCAAGGATAGATTTATGTGGATACCACGGACCTTGAAGGGAGAGAGAGAGAGGAGGATCAGTATTAGGAGGAGGAAAGACCAGGAGTTCAGTTTTAGAAAGGTTGAGTTTCAGAAAGCGTGAGGACATCCAGTCAGAGATGGAAGAAAGGCAAGCAGCGACACGTTGCAGTATGGGAAGAGAGCTATATTTGGGTATCATCTGCGTACAGGTGGTAGTGGAAAGAGGCAATACGTTTTCCAAGAGAGGTAGTATAAAGAGAAAATAGAAGGGGACCAAGAACAGCGCCTTGGGTAACTCCAACTGAGACAGGACTAGGGGAGGAGGGATTCTTGGAAAAGGAGACACTGAATGAGCGTTGGGAGAGATCAGAGGATAACCATGAGAGGACAGAGTCACAGAGACCGAGCGATTGAAGAGTTTGGAGGAGGAGAGCATGATCAACGGTGTCAAAGGCAGCAGAGACGTCAAGAAGCATTAATATGGAGTAGTGGCCGTTGGATTTAGCGGAGATTAGGTCATTAGTAACTTTGATAAGAGCAGTCTCCGTAGAATGGAGAGGGCGGAAGCCAGACTGAAGAGGGTCAAGGAGAGAGTTTGAATTGAGAAAGCGAGACACACGGTAAAGACCAGTCTTTGCAGAAGCTTTGAGGAAAAAGGAAGCAGGGATATGGGATGATAGTTAGTAGGGGAGGATGGGTCAAGAGATTTTTTTTAAATTATTTTTTCAGGATAAGTACTACAGTGGCATGTTTAAGGTTAGCAGGGACAACGCCAGAAGAGAGAGAGCAGTTGAAGAAGTGTGTTAAGGAAGTCACAAGACAAGGGGAGAGAGATCTGATGAGGTGAGACGGGACAGGATCGATTTGGCAAGTGGTGGGGCGAGCGGAAAGGAGAAGCGCAGCCACCTCTTGTTCAGTAGCTGGGGAGAAAGTCTGAAGGGTAGGAAAGGCATGATCTACTTGTGGTTGACAAGCGAACGGCAGGGTGGGGTGAATTCTTTCCTTAGCTGTTCAATCGATAAAGTAGCATGCAACGCTATCGGCTGTAAGGTTAGTTTGGGGGGTGGCCACAGCAGGGCGACAAAGAGAGTTAAAGGTGTCAAACAGACTCCTGGGATTGCGGGAGCATTAACTAATGAGAGAGGAAAAGTATGACTGTTTGGCAAGGGCTGTGCTGTATGAACACAATATGAATCTATAATGAATATAGTCTGCCTGGGTGCGGGACTTCTCCAGGAGCGTTCAGTACAACGGGAGCAACTTTGCAGATAGCGTGTTGATTTAGTATGCCAAGGTTGGGGGCGTGTCCTCCCCGAGTTGCATGTTTAGAACGGGGCTACAGCTTTCAAGGCAGAGGTGAAGGTAGTGTTATATGTGGAGATGGCCAGTGAGGGACAGGAGAGGGAAGGGATGGATAGCAATTGTGAATCAATATCAACTGACAGCTGCTGGAGGTCAATAGAATTAATGTTCCTCCTGTGTTGAGGGGGGGGGGTTAGGCTGTGGTTGTTGAGTGATGGGGTACTCGAGAGCATACGATAAAAGGTGGTGATCAGAGAGAGGAAGTGGAGTGTTGCAGATATTAGATACTGTACATGCATAAGAGAACATAAGGTTGAGGGTATTGCCAGCTACATGGATGGGAGAATTAGCCCACTTCAATAGCCCGAGGGAGGAAGTAATTGAAAGTAGTTGAGAGAGAGAGTTGTGTTTTGATACACTATCATGCCATAATTTTATTTGTTTTCCTCCACTGTGAACTGCATTAACAAAATGTATCATTGCATTGTTATTTTAATTTAAATGTATATAAAAATATTAATAATAAAAAGACAGACATACTGTAGTCATAGTGCTTGGAGTGACCCTTTAATGCACTTAATGATTTTCGTTTTGCATTGGAAATGTGTTGTGCTATTCCACACGGATGCGTGTTGTTTTACCATTGTAAATGAAGTATGCATAAACAAATTCTTAATTGACTTAAAGGATCACTATAGTGCCAGGAAAACAAAACTAATTTTCCTTGCACTATAGGGTTATTAGGTCCCCTTCTCCTCCCTCAGGGGACCCTTCCTGCTGGGCTGAAGGGGTTAAAACCCCTTCAGCCACAATGCTTTCCTATGGACGTCAGCGTGCCCTTAATGCGATTTCCGCATTGAGGATCGCATAAGCGGCCTCTAGAGGCTGTCAGGGAGACAACCACTAGAGGCTGTATTAACCCTCAATGTAAACATATCAGTTTCTCTATGTTTACAGCTGCAGGGTTAAAACTAGGGGGACCTGGCACCCAGACCACTTCATTGAGCTGAAGTGGTCTGGGCGCCCATAGTGGTCCTTTAAGTGATGGTGATTTAGTAATTATCTCAATTAACACATATTCAGTTGAAGAGACTTCTTTTGTTACCTAGATTATACAAATAATGATAATCTTACTTTTTGTACGAGACTTGCCCTGCAGGTTGTCTGTGCCTGCAGGGATTTATAAATAACGCATGTTTGTCAGTTGGGAGAGTCTAGAATGCCTTAAGGACCAGTGTCAGTCTATGCTGTCGTTCTGTTTTGCTGTTGAAAAGCCTTGTTTGTCATCAGCAATTCTGAAGACTCTAAACAAGTAGGACAGTCAAGGTCATGATATTTTTATGATGTACTCATCCCATTATATAAAATGTTGCCATATAATTGAATTGGGATGGTTTTATTGCATACTTGTTTAAATATGTTTAGGTTCAATATGCTAAATTTCTGTATTGCTTTTTCTTTGTAATGTTTTGATTGAGTAATCACTTGCGTATTTCATCTGTTTCTCTTGGGAAATATTTTCCTGGTTGTAATGTATTTGTTGTCTACAATAAATGAACACCAAACTGCTAAATTCTGGGTGATATAAGTAAGCTGTGTTAGCAGATTTGGAGAAGACTCCTCCCCCATATAATTGATACCCAAGCAGGACCTAATTCACTGTGTAAGTTCCCTGTCCGCTCACCAATTACTAAGAGTATTTTAAACACTCTATTTTAGACGCTCTTTTCTAAGTGGATATCTCTATACCTTCATATATGTTGAAAGATTTCCTGTGTTGCGGACCATTGCTGCCCAACCAATCCAGTCTCTTTCATCAAGTCCTCTATATGTATGATGACTTCCTACAATTTTTAAAGGAACACTCCAAGTACTATAAACACTACAGTGTGCTATAGGGATTATAGGCTTTTTTTTTTTTTTTTTTAAATGGGTACAGCTCCATGCCTCCTCTCAGCCTTGAAGAGCGACAGAAATGTTTGCTTAGGAGCTCCTCTTAGCTGTCCTAGGCTATACCCTGTAGTGCAGGACCAGCTCATTGGCAGAGAGCATCAGATGATCTGCACAGCTAAAAGCAGGCAGGGAGCAGTGCCCGTCTGTAGCGGTACTTACCCGGAGGCCGGCCGAGGTCCTCTCTTCCCGCCACGCGCAGCTCTCGAATGAAGGCGGGCACGTGTCCTGCCTACCTCTAAGAGCGTGCCGCGCGTCTCAGGCACGCTCTTAAAGGGGCAGTAGGAGCCAAAAAATGCAATGGTCTCCCATTGGCCCCTGTCATCCCACATTCCCCAGACACTCACATTTTGGGGGCGTGGATATGACAGGGGCCAATCAAAGTAAGTTTAGGGTATTTATACTTACCTCTCCCTTAACTCCTTGCCCTATCGTGGTTTCTGTTTCAGTTCCCTTTAGCGCTTGTTGTGTTCAGTTGTGATTTTTTTTTCGTACTTGACCTTGGCTTTGTATCTGACTCCGTTTATCTCTCTATCCCTGTTTTGTCTTGTTTGCCGGCTTACTGACTACCGTGTACCAGACCTTGGCTAGTTTTTGTTGTCACAGTCTCTTTGTTCCCTTGACCTCGGCTTGTTCTTGACTCTGTCTATTCTCTGCTATACGGCGAGTCCGGCTATTCTAAGGTCCGGTAAGTCGTATCTGCTCTATCTCTCGATTTGTTGGACTAAGTCTTGCGTGTAGGGGTAAACTACTGTGACACCGTCAAACTTCAGGTAAGCAGTTAAAACTCTATTAAATGGTTTGACTATTTACTTTGCTGCCTGAAAACTACTGGCACCATAACCACTATATATCAATGCAATGGTTATGGTGCTTGGAGTATTCTTGTAACAAAAGGCTATAGAAAAATGCTAACTGGATTCATAGGTTTACGCATGGTCAGACTTACACAATGATTTTTTTCGCTTTTTAGATTGCACCCATGTCATTTACTGCATATACATATCAATATGTCTTTTGTCTAATTTTAGCTGTCATTAGAGCACTTCAGTGATTGTTTAATGATAGGACAATTAGCTTGTCAGCGTTTTGGAACAAGCATGTTTTTACTACCTGATGATCTGAATCGTTTCAATCCCTGGCAATATGTAAACAAAGCCTCACTTGTTTTGTAAGAAGTACTAGTGTTACCTTGTCACCTAGCATTTTACTTTTGCTCGAGCTGATCGTCATTACTGACTACACTTTCCCGTACTGAGGAACGGTAGAGATTACTGTAAGCCATCAGTGCAAAATGTGAAGGCAAAGGTCCTTTTTTCACTATCCTTTTTGTATTCTTGCAAGGTAAGTAAAGTTGAGATTTGTGAAAAGCTATCAATTTTATTTGTATTTATTTTGCTTGTTTATTCGGGGGGGCAGGGGGAGAGGATTACTCACACACATTTAAAGTGTGAAACAATTGTGATTTGTGTTATGTGGAATGCTACCTGGCTAAAGTAATAATAAAAGAATTGTGTGTTTGTGGTTTATTTTTATTTTTTTAAACTAGTAGTTATTTAAAAACGGTTAAATGCAAAATTTATAATATAATCCCTAAACAGTGCTTATTTTTTTTTTATTTTTTTGTAGCTGACAATAGAAAAAAGAGAAGAAATGCAACAATATAAACTAAAAGCTATTGAGCTGGATGAGAAGAGACAGTACTGCAAAAAGAAGACCTTGCTCAATCGCGTCCAAGAGATTTTGGAAAGTGTCCAGGTAAATTATTTCAAGCATGATTTTGAAATGTTGCTTTGGTTGTATTTAAATTATGCTGATCAGTAATAAGTGGTTATCTTCCTTTAACTTTAATGGCTGCATTAGATGGCTTTAAAAGGCTGTTTTCTCTGAATATGCTTTTGGGTGCAACTTGTGCCAGAGATGATTGCTTTATAAATACAGAACCATTCGAAGTTATCAAAGTGTAACAGAAAAAGTAATTTGGCTTGCATTGGGTTATTCGTGCTTTTAGATCTTTGACCCACAGTTGCTCTACATGTGCAACGTTTCATGAGTGTATCTAGGGTATGGGTGAAGTCCTTTTCTGCCAACTCAATGTATATTGGTTGAAATGGACACTATAGGCACTCTGACCTCACGTTGAAGTGGTCTGGACGCAGTGCCTCTGTCTGTTGATCCTGAAATGTAAAACTGCAATGGCTAAATTGCAGGGTTAACTCCACCTCTGTTTGCTTTAACAGATGTTGGATGTCATCATGCTTTGCATGACGACGTCTAGCATCTTTTATGTTCCCCATAGGAAAGCATTGATCAAAAGTAATTTGGTCCTATTGTCACCGTGACCTGGTGGGGAGAGACCTAGCCAGCACCGAGAAATGCTTGGAACTGGATAGAGGTACGTTTTTAAAAACAATTAGGGAGGGCTAGAAAACTAAGGATACTATAGCGTTTGGAATAAAGGTTTGTATAGTATTAGGTATTTGCTATAGCATTCCTTTAATATAATTTGTAGCACAATCCAAAACAGCAGGGGGGGTTTTTTGTTTTTTGTTTTTTTGTCCCTCTGATATTGATCTGGGCCTTGCCAATCAGATTAAATTTCTCAGCAGAAGTTCTAGTCTGTTCTTCTGCCTCATGGAAAGGAACAACACATGAGGTCTTCTTTTTTGACTTTACAGGATTCCACAATGATCAGTTCAAACTTAGTGTTACTGCAATAATTATTGTATGCTCCAAAATGAACACTCTTCTTACTGCAATGATTACTATGAGCCTGTTGGAAAGAGCTTGAGGCATTGGATTCGATAAAATCTTCTTAATCTAAAAATTAATTTTGTTCTATAAATCTTATATTTTTAGATTTTTTTTTTTTTTTTAATGGGACTGATTTTTTTAATTAGATGTAAGTATTAGTTGCCACAGAAAGTTTTCCATGACACATAGGTTGAGATCTATTCTAAACACAATTGTGTTTATTTTGCCTATTTATCTTTAATTTTGCTTCTATGTTCTATCCATTGATACAGATTTTCCAAGTTGTAATTTGTAACTTCTTTATTTGTTCAAGCAGCAAACTTGTTTTGTATTCATCAAGTACAAAAACAGAATCTATTTCATACCCCATGATAACCTCATGAGATTAATTATTTTTTTTTTTAATTCCCTAGCTAGCATACTATATTTTAGTTGTCTTTTATTAGTATCATTAGAAAAGGAAAGGGCCATTTGAGCCAAATTCTAAATGAGTTTTGTAGATTTTTCTATATTTGCATGACTCGAAAATGTATTTTTTGTTTATTTAGTTGTTAAAGTAAACATTTTGCTTTAAATTCCCCCCCTCCCCCCCAGCTTTTTTTTAAATTTAATTTTTTATTTTTTTGAGCAGCTATGTTTCCATTGCAACACTTTACAGAAATTATGACATTTTTAAAAGAACAGTGAGTCTGAATATATAGCGTCCTTTCCATGGATCGAAGAGCCTTTAAAAAGGTTTTAAACCCTTTTAATACCTGTATTTTGTTTTCTGAATTGAATCAATTGTTCTGTGTTGCGTCTATGTGATCATGAACTCACTGCGAGTTTGAGTCATGTTTACTACCAATCACCTAGTTACCATCACATGGCTTGGGAATGTTTCCACCATATAGACAGGACACATGACAACAAACACTTCTCTTTTTGCCCCCAGCTGCTAAAGGACTATTCATATAATGACTCTAACCAACCATACTGCTTTAGCTGCCTGCAACCTGCTCACTATCCCATGTAAGAGACTGTAAGCCAGGGGTGCAATTATATCCTTTTGTTTGATAATTGATGTTTGTTTAAGCCCCCGTTGGTTTTACATTGTTTGTGGTTTAATAGATATGCAAACAAATTAAAAAAAATTGTTTTAGTGGCTGGAAATGGTCAGCAGTTAGAGACTAGAGAGTTGAAATTTATTTGCCGCTTAACTAAATATACCGGTAGTTGATATAAAATGTGTGTGCACATGTGTTATCTTGTCATTTGACTTGGATGTTTACCTAAAGGGCTATTCACTTTAGTGCAAAGTGGGGGGGTCTCCATGTTTAGCTGTGTTTTCACCAGTTAGATTATTACAGATAATATTTATTATTATAGATAGGGGTGGGGAGGTGTGTTGTGGTTTAATACCTTGAATTTAATTTTAATTTAATTTTTTGTCCCATAAATGCGTATTTATTTATTTTTGAATTTTAATCTTTTTGACAATACAGGTGAAAAACACATCATCAAATGTAAATGTTCTTCCCATTACTGAGAACGGCGTAACCGATCAGACGTCCGATACTAAGAACATGAATGGTTTTGCACTTCTGCCAAACATTATCAACTTGCCAATTAAATCTGCTCAGAATGCATCTGTGAAGACTGAGAAATTATTGGATGAATCGCAGGTGAAGACAAATACAAAAACAAAACTTCTGGAAGCTGTTGATGATGATTTGCCTTTAAGATCGACCACGAGCCCCATATTAAACCACGCAAAGGTGCTACCTTCTGAAATTGTGCAGAGCCCACAAACCTCACCGTTCAATATACTGCCTCCCACCAAAGAAGCCCCAGATCCATATGTAATGAGTCTTCAAAATCTCTTAAAGAAATCCCGGGAGTACATAGAAAGAGAACAAAGCAGGCGGAACATAAAGAACAATTCAAAGGCAGTAGCAAATGAAAGCAACTCTGATAAAGAAAATGATACCATTAAAATAAGTGACTCTTTAAAAGAAAAGGCCAAGCTTTTAAACCGTAGTAGATGTTCCAGCCCATTAATGGTTGACAAGCCAGCACTTAATAAATCAAATTCACTCCTTCAGGCTTCATCTAGTCAAGGTCAGAGCCTGAATTCCACTGCATCGTCGGCGCTTTCTAAAGTGGACTTTCCGGTAAGATCGGGAATTTGTTCAGGGGTTGATATGGGATCTGATGAGGACCTAAAGAATGCTGGTATCGATTATGAAAGCGGCATTGTAAAAAGCCTTACTGGGTCATACGCCAAATTGCCAAGTCCAGAACAAAGCTTAAGTCCTCAAATGCACAGAAGACGACCTAGGACCTTATCAGCTGGACACATATTTATCAATAATCCAGTAAATGCTTATGATTTAAGCCCTAATAAAAAGGGCAACGGAATGAATTGTGGGTTGCCTACGACTGCAAAAATGTCCTCTTCCGAGCCTATACCAGTAGTTGGGTGTAATGCTGGTATTTGTTCATTTACAAACTGTTCGTTGAGTAAAAATGATATAAGTAGTTCCTCAGGTGCAGGTGATAATTTACAAAAGTGCTTTGTAAGCTCCGTAACACACGTGGACAATAAAGCAGCAGGTGAATGCACGGTAACAGGTGGCCCTGCAGTTTGCAAAGGAGAACAACCAACAAGTAACATGATCACCACCGGAAAAGAACTTGAACTTGGCACATTGAGTCAAGATGTAGATGTTTCAATGTCTTCCACAGAACAGGAGATTAGGCCAAATGGCTCAACAGAAGAGATAAAGGGCAGTTCTCCTGCACCACTCAATAAATCCTATGATGTAGAAACCCCATCTCCCATTTTAATTCAAAGCCAGGTCACAAACCATATCACAGACACTCCTAGCACATCCTTTGCAAGGGAACAGTATTATGAGAACAGCTTTGAGGTAAAACGCAGACTTGAGCCTGATTTGGACAGCACACGGAAGGATGCTGGTGTGATTCCTGTCTCAACTGATCAAGAGAAGAAGCTGCTTCAGGAAAGGAGGAATCATCTTGGGTCCCTCCACTTAAAAAAGAATGAAGTATTGGCTGATAGCACTCTAGGTATGAAATTATTATGGGTATGTTTTGGTGAAAGTTAGAAGTTGGTGACACTCTTGGGTTGCACTGTTTTTAACACTGTAGGGTCGTTTTTAGTAAATGCCAAATTTGTTTTTGGAAATTCGGTTGATATCACTTATTTGGATGTTAACTTTCCTCTGTGGCCTCTGTATGCATTGACTGAATGCTAACCAAACTGAGTCAAATGGATGCCTGTTTAATAAACATTAAAAAAAAACCTCACTTTTGCAGAAAGATTTAAGTTTTAAATAGGTTAACTGAATTTCTCTGCTACAAAACGAAAAGACTATAAGAGTAGGTGGGGGGGATTTAGAGTTGAGATACCTTTTATAGGGCTAAATTGGGTTTGGAAAGCATTCGGATTAGGGGGTGCTTACTGGGTAATGTGAATTTCCAATTTAAGGACAGAGTAGCCAAACAAAGCAATTAAGGAATTTTTCCAACTCTGCTATTTTGACCTTAATTTTGAAATTCACCTTTAATTGAATCACTTTAGTGATTAATCTTGTTAAAGTTTTAAGTGCTATTCCAATAGTCTATATCAGGCGAGCTGGAGGAACTGAATGAAAGTAATTACCGTATATACTCGTGTATAAGTCGATCTCATGTATAAGTTGAGGGCAGTTTTGTGACCAACAATTGTGAAATATGCTATGCCTCATGGATAAGTCGAGGGTAAAACTTGGGGCTATGAAATTCTGTGATTTTTATTTATTTATTTTTAAATTATTTTTTTTAGAATTATATATACACACACACTCTGCATAATACACACACATACAATCTGCATTCTACACACACACTCATACAAACACACACACACACTCTGCATTATATACACAGAGTGTATATAATGCAGAGTGTATGAGTGTGTGTGTAGAATGCAGATTGTTTGTATGAGTGTGTGTGTGAACTGGGTGGGAGGAGGGCATTTTTATTATAATTTTTTTATATATTAAGTTTTTTATTATTATTTTTTTTATATTTTAAGTTTTTTTTTATTTATTTTAATATTTAAAGTTTTTTATTTTAATATTTTTTATTGTATTTTTTCTTATTTAATTTAATTTTCGTCCCCCCTCCCTGCTTGTTAGCTTGCCAGGGCGGGGGGCTCTCACTCCCTGGTGGTCCAGTGTATGGGCTGTGTAGGAGGGGGGGCTGACAGTGAGAGGTTACTTATCTTCCTGCAGCTCCTGTCAGCTCCCTTCTCCTCCGTGCAGCTCCTCCGTCAGCTCCCACTGGAAGTCTTGCAAGAGCCGCGGTGACCCCGCGGCTCTCACGAGACTTCCAGTGGGAGCTGACAGAGGAGCTGAACGGAGGAGAAGGGAGCTGACAGGAGCTGACAGGAGCTGCAGGAAGGTAAGTAACCTCTCACTGTCAGCCCCCAACAGGACCGCCGGGCTTGTAATGAGCCCTGCGGTCCTGGTCTGTATTATGGCAATGTAAATTGCCATAATACAGACATTAACTAGAGTATAAGTCGAGTGGGGGTTTTTCAGCACAAAAAATGTGCTGAAAAACTCGACTTATACTCGAGTATATACGGTAAGCAGTTTGTTGAAATGAACTAAATAAAATCTCCACTACATGGGTGATTTGGCTTTTCTCAGACCGCTGAAGTGCAACCAGTTGAAGCTGCCCAAATGTGATTTATAAGAACATGTTAAAACAGTCAAATTTTGACAACTAAACAGTGTTCGATTGCATGTAGCGTATAGATCCCTGTATGCAGTGTATTTTAAATTGTGAAGATCTGACACAAAATTATATTATTGGCTGAAACTAAACTAGTTTGATCTTTATTTCAGCTTGGTTTAAGCATCTTGTCTTTTTATTTTTAGTAACTGACACTATAGGCATATAACCATTTAATCTCACTGAATTGGTTATAGTGTTTTGCAAGCACTGTTCCTCCATTCAGCTTTAAACCATTTTCAAGCAGTTTAACATTGAATCATGGTCTCTGGTCACTCAAAGCCTGGCTACCACTGACGGTATGGTTAAGGCAGAGATTACAAACTATTGTAGCCAAACAAATTCATATGAGCAATGGATGTGGTATTTGGTTAAGTCAGTTGACCTGCTCAGCCAATCCCCATCACCCATTTCTGCTCAGACTAATGCTTCACCAACAGTCTCACCTGCATCTAATTCACCTTGACTGTCCTTTTCAAACATTGTCCAACCAAAGGTGTATGTAAATGGCAGAAGAATCGGGTTGTATACATAAGGGGTGTTTTGGTTGTTTTTTTGTTTTTTTTGCAGTCTGGCTCAGACTTCTTTCAGCATTGGTGACATATATCCGGCTTCTGCAGAAAGTGTATGTCAATGTAGTAGCCGTTTGCTGACTGAGCATGTCAGCTGATCACTCTTAACCAATGAATGCATAGAAATATGCACAGAATTGAGAGCCAGCCCATAACACTTGTTTAAGGCTGGCTAATGTTGCTCCTGGAGGTGGAGTTACACCTCAGGCAGCAAAGTGGTTAAATTAATTGAGAAACTGTGCACAACGAAACTATAGGCACCATGAAGTGGTCGTGATGCGTGGTCTAACCCTATAAGTGGTCAGATAATCAGATACACACTTGTATACCAGGGCTTGAAAATAATTCAGCCACCTAACGTGTTGTCAACACTACAAGGTCAGGAATACAGGTTTGTTTTGTTCCTTTAAGCTCCACCCTTTTGTCAAGATTTCGACGTGTAGGAAAAATACATGAGACAAAACAGTCCCTATTTATTTTAAAGAAAAACAGGTCAGAAAAGAACATATTCTGAAAGAAGAAGAGCAGAGGAAATAATGTGAGAAAGAGAAGTATGAGGTGGCAGAGCCACCATTTTCCCTGGTAATGGTAATATGGTAATTGCACGTCAGCAGCATTGTTCCTGGTGTTGGTACGGCTTCAGGATTACGCTTGCTTTCATGTGGAGCATCCAGACTTGCAATATGTGGTGTCATGTCCCTTCCTCCCAGTATAGCGAGGCGAGATGCTGCTCAGGAGTGCAAGGGTGAGCAGTGAAGCGATTCCAGAGCATGCTAGGAAACCACTTTCCCTTTACTACTTATAGGGACAGTAAGGGGTAATTGTATTTTTATCTTTGTGTTTTTTTGTTTTTTTTTATAGCACAGGATCAGTGAGGGTTTTAATGAAATCAAAAATCAAGTTTCCCATAATAAAAAAAAGTCCCTACTCTGATTCCTCTCTGACACCATAACCTATATTTAAGACTGATCAACTTGTATTTTCCCATAATGTCTTATTTATCTCGGTTAGGTTTATAAATATTTGGCATACACAGCCTGATTCATTTGGCCGAGGTAACATCGCTTTATTACTTCTGTATTTGAAACAGCCATGTACATCTGTAATGTTTAATGAGATCAAATCTAGAATTGTGACAATTCCTCATTAATCTGAGTACAAAATATTTTAACATTACTTTGATATAGCCACTTCATGTCCAGGGCAAGGACGTTGCAATAAGAAAATTGGGGGGAGGGGGAGTGGAGTAAACTAATGGACATTATTAACTGCCGTAAGGTGATCTGTTTTTACCTCTTCCATGTAGATTAGTGCAACTTAAGTTATTTGAATTCCAGCAAGTTACTAAACAATTTTGTGCTTTTTATTTTTTTAATTTCTACCTCTGGTTTTTGCAGAGGAGAATCTGAAAAAGAAAATGCTGGCTTTTGAAGAAATGAAGAAGAAACTTGAAGAACAGCACACACAGCAGCTTTTACTTCTCATTGCCGAGCAGGAGAGAGAGCAAGAGAGATTGCAAAGGGTGAGTGTGTAATGCACTAGCAGTGTGCAAGGAGGGATTTACTAATGATTATTATTACATGACTGGAATGTGTGTGTCAGCCTGTGCTTAGCGGTTTCCAATGCCTCTGATATTGACATACCTTGCATTTCCTCATTAGCCAGGATCTGTCCTTGATCTTTCCACCTCTGTGAAGTTGATCCGACTTAATAACTTCTGTAATGTGTTGCCTTTATCTTGGCTGCTAGCCTTAGTCTCCATGTTGGGCATTGTTTCTTCTTTAGCCTGATCTTGTAGTCAAACAGTTGGGGGGGGCCATTAATGCTGTGAAATATATGAGCTTGTTGGTCTCTGTGATGTTGTTGTTGTTGTTGTTGTTGTTGTTGTTAGGGATTGTGGACAGTGCCCCATTAACCCCTGTTGGCATACTGTCTGGTGGTAGTTCTTCAGTGATCTTTTGTAGTCTTGTCCGGTGGTCGGACTGCTAGATGTTCCTTGATAATCTTTTAATATGTTCTCTCTCTGTTGAAAATAATACATAACTGATATGTCAGTCAGTCCTAGATAATTTATCAGCACCAGGGCTCGAGTCCTGCAGGAACGCATGGGAACGGCGTTCCTGCACTTTTTCCAAAGCAGGAACGCCGTTCCCGCTTGTGATCCTGCAGGTGTTCCCAGGGGGCGCAATGTCGCTGTGCTGCCTCATTCCTCCCATCCCCAGCATACTGCCGCCCACAATACACTGCTGTCTGCTGTTGGTGGTATAATGGCTGTCACGATGCAGGAGATGTGCCTGCTCACACTACTCTCCCCCGCGGTAGTTTACTGAGGAGTGAAGCCTGCAGTGGGCGGGGCGTTTTACATCACTTCCTGTCAGGCCCTGCTAGAGGATTACCGAGCAGGGCGAGCTAAGAACATCTTTTCAGCTACTTACACCACCAATGGTAAGCAGCCATGTTTTATTTATTTTTTCATGAAATAATAATGTACCTAGCACAGAGCTCCACAGAGCTAAATCTTATAGTTCATGTGGAGCTCTGTGATTTATTGGTCCAACAGTGCCACCTCACTTCTATTCCTCTTATGCTTCCTCTCCCCCATCACTAGATGCCATCCCTCACACACCCCTATCCCTAGAAGCCATCACTCACACACCCCCATCACTAGAAGCCATCCTTCACACACCCCCATCACTAGCAGCCACCCCTTCTCCCCACCAGCAGCCATCCTCCTATTTCCAAGACTAGCAGCCATCACCTTTGCCCCATCACTAGCAGCCATCCACTTTCCCCCATCACTAGCAGCCATCATCCTTTCCCCTATCATTAGCAGCCATCCGCCTCTCCCCATCACTAGCAGCCATCCTTCACTCACCCCTATCACTAGCAGCCATCCCCTTCTCCTGCATCACTAGCAGCCACCCATTCTCCCCATTACTACCCACCATCAATCTCACCCCTGTCACTAACAGCAATCCTCCTTTCTGTTACTAGCAGCTATCATCCTCTCTCCCTCCCATCACTTGCAACCATCCCCCTCTCTCCCTCCCATCATTAGCAGCCATCCGCCTCTCCCCATCACTAGCAGCCATCCTTCACTCACCCCTATCACTAGCAGCCATCCCCTTCTCCTGCATCACTAGCAGCCACCCATTCTCCCCATTACTACCCACCATCAATCTCACCCCTGTCACTAACAGCAATCCTCCTTTCTGTTACTAGCAGCTATCATCCTCTCTCCCTCCCATCACTTGCAACCTAGCAGCCATCACCTTTGCCCCATCACTAGCAGCCATCCACTTTCCCCCATCACTAGCAGCCATCATCCTTTCCCCTATCATTAGCAGCCATCCGCCTCTCCCCATCACTAGCAGCCATCCTTCACTCACCCCTATCACTAGCAGCCATCCCCTTCTCCTGCATCACTAGCAGCCACCCATTCTCCCCATTACTACCCACCATCAATCTCACCCCTGTCACTAACAGCAATCCTCCTTTCTGTTACTAGCAGCTATCATCCTCTCTCCCTCCCATCACTTGCAACCATCCCCCTCTCTCCCTCCCATCATTAGAGCAGCCACCCCTCTCCTCCTCTCACCACTAGCAGTATATGTCTGTTTATGTATGTCTCTGTATGACTTTCGTCTGTTTGTCTCTGTATGACTGTGTGTAAATCTCTGTATGACTGTGTCCATATTTCTCTGTCTAACTGTGTCTGTATGCCTTGTTCTGTATGACTTTATCTTTATGTCACTGTATGACTGTGTCTTCATGTCTCTGTATGCCTGTGTCTTCATGTCTCTGTATGACTGTCTGCGTGTCTCTGTATGACTGTCTGCGTGTCTCTGTATGACTGTCTGCGTGTCTCTGTATGACTGTCTGCGTGTCTCTGTATGACCGTCTGCGTGTCTCTGTATGACCGTCTGTGTGTCTCTGTATGACCGGTTGCCTGTATGTCTGTGTATGACTGTCTGTGTGACTGTGCATGACTGGTTGCTTGTATGACTGTGTTTGTTTGTGTTCCTTTTATGACTACGTGCCTGTATGGTTGTGCCTTTGTGCATGTATGTATTTGTACCTGTATATCTATGTCTGTATGGTTTGGGAGGAAAAAGCCAGGCAAAGGGGCTCATGGTGGGAGAAACAGACACAGAAAGGGGCTAAGGGCAGATAGAGACACAGAAAGGGGCTAAGGGCAGATAGAGACACAGAAAGGGGCTGGGGGAAAGAAAGAGACACACAAAGAGGCTGGGGGGAAGAAAGAGACACAAAAGGGCTGTGAGGAGAAAAGAGACACACAAAAGGAGCTGATGAGGAAGTAAGAGAAACACAAAGGTTGTGGTAGGAAGAAAGAGATATACAAAGGGCCTGGAGAGGGAACACAGAGTGTGCTGGGCCCCCGTGTGCAGCGGCTGTCTCTCTCCACCATACCACCAGGCAATCTCCCCCCTCCCTGGCAAGGTTAGAATATAAACACATACATTTAAAAAAAAAAAAAAATGCTTCCCCCCTTTCATCCAGCACACACACACAAACATCATCCAGCACACACATACGCACACACACACAAACATCATCCAGCACACACATACGCACACACACACAAACATCATCCAGCACACACATACGCACACACACACATACACATCATTCAGCGCACACACACACACACATATCTTCCAGCACACACACACTGCATTCATTACACACAATCTGCGCTTACTACAAACACACTAAATTCATTATACACACTCTGCACTCATTACAAACACACTACATTCAATATACACACTCTGCACTCACTACACACACTGCATTCCTTATACACACTCTGCATTCACTACATTCACTATACACACTCTGCACTCACTACAAACACACTACATTCACTACACACACTGCATTCATTATACACACTCTGCACTCACTACAAACACTACATTCACTATACACACTCTGCACTCACTTCATTCACTATACACACTCTGCACTCACTACAAACACACTACATTCACTACACACACTGCATTCACTATACACACTCTGGACTCACTAAAACACACTACATTTATTATACACGCAGCACTCACTACAAACACACTACATTCATTATACACACTCTGCACTCACTACACATTACATTTAGTATACACACTACATTCATTATACACACTCTGCACTCACTACAAACACACTACAGTCATTATACACACTGCATTCACTACAAAAACACTTCATTCATTATACACACTCTGCACTCACTATAAACACACTACATTCATTATACACACTCTGCATTCACTACTAAAACACTACATTCATTATACACACTGCACTCACTACAAACACAATACATTTATTATACACACTGCACTCACTACAAACACACTACATTCATTATATACACCCTGCACTGCACTATATGCCTAGTATAAATATATCAAAGAAATGTACACCATTGTGAATGCTTGTCAGTCCATTGGGCAGGTCAAATGAGGCATTTGTGTTGAATGAAGTGGCTGCAAAATGAACATAGATTATTAAGGTTTCATCAGTGTCCTCGTTTTGATCATCTACAGCAACATGAAAAAACAATAAACTGGTGGAGTACATTTTAGTTTCTGGTCATCATCCAGAACACTTAAATAGTTAACCCTCAAGGTAGCATATGGTTTGCATGCATAGAAGAAAGTTAAGACAGATAACATGTTAGAAGTTACACAAGAAATATATTTCTACAATGTGTGTGTTACCCCTTTCATGTAATCACCATTTTTTATTTTATTTTTTTACTAGACTTTTTCTTTTATTTTTTGGGGATTAAGGTGTAGGTGTTTATCATTTTCCTTCCCTCCAAGGATTAGAGCATTTTGTACAGTTTCTAAAAAGAACTCTTTACCAGAATGCTATTGTTCTCAATTGAAACAACAACAGAGAGTCATCACTATAAGTTTTCTGAAGGGTGTTGATTCTTCAGATATTATACTTGCGTTTGAACCCTCTCTTGGAATTTATTTATTTTTCTGCTTTTGATTCAAAGTTGTTGCTTCAGTAGACAAAGGCAAGAGACTTCTTCACTGGATAAACTATTTTTAAATTCTTTACTGTATCTTTTAGGAATTTGAGGAAGGAGGGAAGAAACTAAAGTTTAAGAATGTTGACGCAAGTGTTTTGTCTGGAAACATTGAAAACCGAATGAGACCTGATAGGACAAATATGAGTGAAAGTGGTATGTCACAGAGTGTAACAAGTCACATGGACCCGCTTCATTCCTCGTCTAGCCACAGCACTGGTAAGCATGGGCGGAATGTGAATACGTCCGGTATCTTTTTTGTTATTTTCTAGCAATTTGATTTCTGTGGGGCCAATTTCCAATGTTGCCATCATTTGTTTAAAATTCAGGGTGTAATATGGAGCATATTAACAACCAATATTTATTCAAAACCGGATTTTACTCTTATCTCGACTACATTACTCACCCCAGTTATGTCATAGATAAAGGTAAATAAAGGGTTAAAACCCTTTCCTTGGTTGTCATTCCACGTCTGAAAGGGTTAAAAGTTAATTTCTTCACTTCTGCTTCCATCAGCAGTCTTTGCAGTACATTCCTTTCCATGAAACCATGAAATGTTACTTTTGTTTTAACCTTGGTATTCTAGCATAGCTTAGATAACACTTTCTCAAGTAAGTAATTGTTGCTTGTTTTTATGTAAACATGCGCAGTAGACTAATGCTATAATAAACATGCAATGCTCTCCCAATTAAAGCTGAGATGATATTGAGCTACAACAAAGTGAGTCTGTGGTTTTATTATCGGTTCTCCCGAGCGCTCGGACATCTAATTAGGAGTCTCTGGTTATCTCTTGGATGATCTTATCCATGATAAATTTCTATATCAGTTAGAGCTTTAATACAGTTTACTGTAAGGAGGGGTCTCTTTCAGAGAAGTGACCATTAAACTTTAAAATATAATAAACAGTTCACATGCCTCTAGTGTTAGCAGGGCAGACACTAGAGGCACTTTTAACCAGCAATGTCGAGTTAAACTCTTTCAATCCGTCTCAGAGACCATTTGATGCAGCAAGCCATTTTGACATGCATGCGCAATAGCCTCCCAATGTTGTCCTGGGGGAAAGCATTGGATTGACTGAGATCATCAAGATTGGGAGGAGGGGTGCCGATAACCTAAATAGTGAGCAGGTCACCATACCGTAAAAAATACATGTTTGTATTCCTAATGCTGTAGCGTTCCATTAATGTAGAACATGCAAAAACTATAAAGTCTTAATAGTCTTTGCATTTTGGTTTTGTATTTAAAATACTTATACATAATGTGTTTCACAGTTCTAGTACAGTTGACTTCCCCTTTTTTGCTGTAAACTTTAATTATAGCATTTGTGTTTCAACAGTTGGACCAGTTTCTGCTCCGTTACAGCACAACTATGGATCTGCAAATGAGACATCGCTTGGTCTGAGGAGACCATTACAAAGTGGAGCTCCAAAAGTGACCGCTCAGAGGTCTCTTGGCAGAGTGCGGACCAGATGGTCACAGGTATTGTGTTTATGAAATTTTTGTAGTATATACTTTTAAACCTACAGTATTATGTACATGGCCATGATTTCTCACCAAACTGCTGGTCTGCCCTTCATGTAACAGGTAACCATGACAACTTTAAAATACAATTCTCTTTTAAACAAACTGACATGATAGACTATGTAAATGTTCAAAATTTCCGATGTTCGACACACACAAATGATAAAAGTAAAAGTAGATCCAACTGTCGCCTAGGTTTTATTTTTTTTTGGACAAGCTTTTAAATAATTTTTTCAAAAATATTAAAATATCATACATAAAATATATCAAGATTTAAAAAATAAAGATATCTTTTTCAAATTATTAAATCATTTTAAAAGTTTATTTAAAATATTAAATTATCTTAAAAAGTTTTAAAAAATAATAAACTGAGACCTATATTTGCATCATATAATGTGTCATTAACCTGGAGATTTAATTTGCTTGTCTGTCTTTTTGGCCGCATTTGAAGCTGTTTTCCAATTTCTTGACTGATATGCAAGCAGTGATTTAATATTTGCTTTGTTTGTGATTTGCACTGCAATAAGCAATATTGTTATTAGTCTATACTTTTTTTACTGTTTGACATTTGCTTTCCTTCTCTGTCTTTTAATTGGTAGTTGGTCATAATGCCTTTATATATTTTGGGCAGCTGAGCGCTAAGCTCTGTTGGAAGTATCCTCATCTAAAGGGTTTACATGTCCTTTACGTATTTAATTTTTTTCCACGAACCACTCCATGTAGTCTGTGTTTTTCCAACATCATCTGTACCTTATACAATATGTTAGAGCTGTAAAGGTTGATAGAAATGGAGATGTATTGACAGCTGTCATTATAGTGTTATTTAGAAATAAAGTGTGATGTCTCACAGGCATTCAACAAAAGATGAGCACTACTCTCAATTGGACAATGTCAGTGTGGGTAGCACCAGTCTTCCCAGGTCATGAACCCAAATATAAAATTGAATGAATTAATTAAAAAAAAAAATAATAATATATATATATATAATTATACACGCACTCACACACACGCACTCACAGGTCTTCAGTAAAGTGGAAACTGGTTTATTAAGTGAAAAAAATCTTCAATACATCCGGGAACAAAATCGGGTCTTTTTCAAGATCTTGAAAAAGTCAATATTTTTTTTTTTTTTTTTTGGCTCACAGATGTATTGAAGATTTGTTTCACTTAATAAACCCCTGCTAGTAGATAAGAAATTACAGACAACAATACTCTCTAAAAGTAGTGTGATAGATAAAGGTATAGAGGAGATTCCCAGAAATGGCTACAGTGTACTATACAGACTTTATTAAGTGCAGTCACATGTACAAGGTAACAGCTAAATAATGTTGTATAGTGGTAGAGACCTATATTAAAATCAGTAAGTAGAACACAGGGGCTTAAGAATAAAAGTAGATGGATACCAGTTTTCTCAGATAATCCTCTAAATAGAGGAGGGGGTCAGTATCTGTGAAACCGTGAGCCCTCCTCAGTGAAATTAGGGTTTACACTCCCTTTTGAAAAACATGTCTAAAGGGGTTTCGAAAAGGAACCATGAATCTCCAGGCACTGCAATAGTAGGAGAAAACAGGGAGACGAGGTGTGTGTGTGTGTGTGTGTTATATTTTATTTTATTTTTCTTTTAATTTAGAATTTAATTTAAGTCCGGGTTGTGTCTAATCTAACTTTTCTACTATACTTTTCCTCCTAGGTATATAGTCCAGCAATGCAGAAAAAGTTCGACAAAGTCACAGCACTGGCTAAGGGGTTCCTGACACGGAGACTTATGCAGACAGAGAAGCTGAAAAACTTAAAACAAACTGTGAAAGTAAGGCTTCCGTACTCTTCTCTTGTAATTATAGTATTTTATTAGATTTTTTTTTTTTTTAATCAAGACAAGTCAACTAGAAATGCAACCTCTGGGAGGAAAAGCATAAACCTCAAGCAACATCACACCCAAATTATACAAGAAATTGAGCTAGAGTGACAAAGATCTCTCAAAGAAGAGCAACACATTTGTAACTGATCATAAGATAATGGGAAGAAAAAATGTCAAAGGAAGATCAGAGGATAGGAGAAAGATTATAGGGCCGTAGAGAATTTACTTTTTTTTTTCCAGTCATTTTCTAAAATCAACGAACTTTTTTGTTTTTTTAATTTACCAAATTCCATGTTGTCTTCCTATGTAGGACACCGCAGAATTCATGAGAACGTTCCATACTGAACGTGCTGTAAACAGGGGCATTGTGTCAGCCCAAGACGCTTCACTACGGGAGAGAGTCCTAGCACAAGTAAGGATATTTATGGCACAAAGGTCTCTGTTAATTCAGTATTTTAGACTACCATTGATAGCTAACATTTGCCATGTGCCAGTCTGTGGTAGGTAATCACAGATGAAATTTGTAGATTAAACTTTTTTTTTCTAGATGTAGTTTGTAAAGGAGATAGTGGGCATCCCCTTTTACCTACTGTTGGAAACTCTCTGTAGAGATTTGAAAAGGAGCCACCATGAACATGTTTGAACAGCATTTTAGTGTTGATATTAAGGTGTACATGCTCAATGCCTCTTTGCAGCCTTCAGGTGAGCAAGAAGTGCATTCTTAGGAGCTTCCCTTAACTTTTGATTAGTGGGGGAAGAGCGCCGTAGTAGTTATTGTGCTTGGTGTGTTCATTTTAATATTAAAGATTTGTATTTTATAAAGGTCTAAATTGAAAATTCTGTATATCTTTTCCATTCATTTCATTTTTGTTTAACAGTTAAGGGCTGCAGTGTTTGAAATACATGACATTTTCTTTGCAATGGATGTCACAGAAAGAATGCATATTCTAGTTCATGACCGTGAACTACGTAGAGAGAAGCTGATCAGACAAATGGTATGTTACGGTTTTAGTATTGCTCATGAATTATTTTATGTATTTTTTTATTTTTATTTTTTTTAAATAATATCCAAGCTATGGCATAATTGTAGGTTCCTTGACTTGTTGTAAAGTGAATAATCCATATATAATTTGGGAGGTTGTGTATATGAGTGATGAATTGGTCATTGTTTTCGTACCTCATAAGGATTTTTCACAATGTTTGCTGTTGAAATTTCCAAAATTTACATGGCATGATGCCCCTAAGTGTTCTACATAGGTATGGTTATTTAATTTATGGGTTGTCTTTGTCCCAAATAGGATAGTCTCCAAAAGTTTTTCTATTGTACCAATTCACAAAGTAGTGCTTGGTGGCGTAATATTGTTAATACTCTGTTTACAAAACCATTTATTGAAAGGTTTTCAGGTGCGACAACACCAGTTTGGCATTTAACAGTATAACTGAAAACTCATAACAATACTTTGTAAAACTAAGCATGTGTTTTGAAAGGCTTGAATCTCCACCAATGTTTGTATGTAGGGCCATATGCCAGATGTCAAAATATCAGCTACTATCTGGCATGCTAATACCTAAATACTCCAACACTTAAAAAATTTAATTCATAAAATCATTTTTTTTACAGGAAAAAGTGAAAAGTCCTCGAGACAGAGTGAACATTTCATCTGCAACCAAGAAATCCTTGGACCGTAAAAGGTCCTCCAGGTACAGCTTGTGCTCACTTGGTGCTAGTTTTTAGATAAACCATCCTTTAAAATGCGTAGATTTGTCATAAATTAAATGTACAGCAGAATGTGGAGCTGGATCAATGCACTGAGCCAATGTATGGAAGAACATGATGTAGCAGGACCATTTAATACATATTCTTACATATTCCCTGTGTGCATTTTCAGTAGATCTAATTTGTAGTTCTTTTGGACGCTGCAACTGAATGTAAAGTAACCCCCTCAGAAAACCAAATAAAGTTGGAATGCTCTTATTATACAAGATTTGAAAAATACAAAGCTTTTATGGTTATTGAATAAATATAGTACTTAATACACATTTCCTTGTCAACAGAACAGGGGTACCAGGGGTTTCCAACAAAAAACTCCAATCAAAGCCAAAAGTTTCTGACACCAGGTGAGAACATATTGTTTAAAGGGACACTATAGGCATCAAAACAATTTTGGCTTCATTAAGCAGTTTTTGTGTATAGATCATGCCCCTACAGTCTCGCTGCTCAATTCTGCTATTTAGGATTTAAATCACTTTTGTTTGTGTTTATGCAACCCTAACCACATCACTCCTGTCTGTGACTGACCCAGCCTGCAATCAGATCTTGCTTTAACAGTTTCTATCTTCTGCACTGTAAATTGAACTTTAATCACATACAGTAGGCTCCTGCAGGGTGTAGCAAACTATTTTCAGAGCAGGAGATAAATTCTTGTTTCTGTTTTATTTTATGGTGAAGCTATAGCAATGGTTTTCGCCTGGTAAAATAACAGATTATTTTTCTGCCAAGACTCCATCTGTGCCTCTGTAATTCTGCAAGGGGGCTATAAATGGGAGACTCCTCCCAAACTACATCAATCTCCTTTATTTATTTATTTATTTTCCCTCAAACTTGCGTTCTAGCAATTAGAGAGGAGTAAGTTTTGCCTTTGTGAACAATGATTACTCTAAAGCCGTGTTTCCCAAACCAGTCCTTAAGACCCATCAACAGTCCAGGTTTTGTCAGTATCTCCATTGGAATAAAACAATGAAATTCTTAAATCCTGGATTGTTGGTGGGCCATGAGGACTGGGTTGGAAGCACTGCTCTAAAGGATTATTTGGAAGTAGTGATACACTGCATTGTACAGATAATTGGTGTTATTGTGCATAATGAAAACCAAATAAAAAAAGTTACCTGCACACTAGCCCAAATCCCTATGCATATTTAAATAAATGGAGATTATTTAGTAACTCCAATGACCATTAGAAGCAAGGCCACCTTTCACGTCAAGGCAAACCTCTTAGGTGGGTCCTATACTAACATTTCTGTGTGATACAAAAGTGAATACAAATACAAGTCATGTGCTCAAACTCCCACTACTCCTGGGCGGCATATATGTATTCACTTTTGTATTACACAGCCATGTTACAATGCTGCCACCCATCCCATGTGTTCCATATTAACCCCTTAAAGCCGTTACGGCGTTCAATGCCGTCCCGCATTAAATGGGCTTTAAAGCCATTGCGGCGGCATAGAACGCCATAACGGCTTTCAGCCCCTGGAGGTCCGCGGTACTCTCCTCCGCCGCGATCCTCTTCGGGAGGTCTGCCTGACAGCCCAGGCAGCCCTCCCCCGGCAAATCAGGCCCCCTATAGCTGGCTGTGGATCTGCCAGCAGGGGGACTGTCTGAAATGTCAGACAGTCCCCTTGCTGGTGGGAAAGTAAAAAAAATAAAATAAAAAAAATTAAACATGTTTTAAAATAAAATAAAGTGTGTGTGTATATATATGTATGTATGTATGTGTGTATATATATATATATATATATATATATATATATATCTTGTATATATGTAATGTCATTCTAAGTGTATTTTAATACTAATATATGTACTTATATTAACATTAAAATACATTATGTATCACGTTACACACACATATATATTATATATGATACATCTATATATTTTATATTTATATATACACGTATAATTACAATAGTAAATCAATAAAATAATATACATATATATATGTGTGTGTGTGTGTGTGTGTATATATGTATATATATATTTTATTGATTTACTATTGTAATTATATGTGTGTATATATAAATATAAAATATATAGATGTATTATTTATATATATATATATATATATATATATATATATATATATATATGTGTGTGTGTGTGTGTAACGTGATACATAATGTATTTTAATGTTAATATAAGTACATATATTGGTACTAAAATACACTTAGAATGACGTTACATATATACAAGATATATATTTATATATACCCGTATAATTACAATAGTAAATCAATAAAATAATATAAATATTTTAATATTTTTAAATAAATTCTATATACATTTGTAATCTCATTCTAACTGTATTTTGTTATTAATACATATATTGGTAACAAAATACACTTAGAATGACATTCTATATATATATCTATATATAAAATACAAATAACTGCAAATATTTATAAATATATAATTACATAAATAACTACATAAATATACACGTAGAATTTAAATGCATAGATGTGTGTGTGTGTGTGTGTGTGTATGTATGTATGTATATATATATTTAGATGAATGAAAAAAGCCAGCACTCTAGGTCTTGCAAAGAAACTTCTTGTTTATTCCAGCAATCAGTCAACGTTTCAGTTCTGTTTAGAACTTTCCTCAGGACATAAATTTATGTCCTGAGGAAAGTTCTAAACAGAACTGAAACGTTGACTGATTGCTGGAATAAAAAAGAAGTTTCTTTGCAAGACCTAGAGTGCTGGCTTTTTTCATTCATCTATTTACTGTGCAGCCGAGCACCAGGCAATATTCTAAGGATAGCTGGAGTGCAAAATTATTTGGTTGTGTATATGTGTGTGTGTGTGTGTGTATGTGTATGTATGTATGTGTGTATATGTATATATGTATGTGTGTGTATATATATATATATATATATATATATATATATATATATATATATATATATATATATATATAATATATAAAACAAGAGGGGGTTGGCTGCACTCACCTTAACATGCATAAATGGGGGTGCTGCTGGGGGCCAAATAATACAATACACAAGATCCAGCGCACTCACCTATCCACTAAACAGCAACTTCAATGTTGAAAGATTTTATTTGTTTTTTTAAAAACACCTAATCTAGGCAAAAATAATGGGGGTTTAGTTACATTATATGATCATACATTGACGTTGTGGCAGGCTTATGCAATGTATGATCATATAATGTAACTAAACCCCCATTATTTTTGCCTAGATTAGGTGTTTTTAAAAAAACAAATAAAATCTTTCAACATTGAAGTTGCTGTTTAGTGGATAGGTGAGTGCGCTGGATCTTGTGTAAAATATATATATATATATATATATATATATATATATGTGTGTGTGTGTGTGTATATATATATATATACTACGAGTATGCTTAAGTAATATTTTAACATAAGGATGTGATTTAATTAAAATTAGATTGACGGGCCTGACAACCCAGGCAGCAAGTGCAGAGAATTAAATTTGCATGCGCTATATTTAACCCTGTAACTTTCCAAGACACCATAAAACCTGTACATGGGGGGCACTGTTTTATTCGGGAGACTTCGCTGAACACATATTAGTGTTTCAAAATGGTAAATTGTATTACAACGATTATATATTTAGTAAAAGTGAAGTTTTTTTTTGCATTTTTCACACACGAACGTCACTTTTACTGACGATATTATTGTTGTAATATGTTTTACTGTTTTGAAACACTTATGTTTGTGTTCAGTGAAGTCTCCCAAGTATAACAGTACCCACCCCCCACCCCCACCCCATGTACAGGTTTTTTGTTGTTTTGGAACATTAGAGAGCCAAATATAAGGCTTGCATTTCATTTTTTTCCACATTGAAATTTGCAAGATTGGTTACGTTGCATTTGAGAGCGTATGATAGCCCAGGAATGAGAATTACCCCCATGATGGCATACCATTTGAAAAAGTAGACAATCCAAGGTATTAGTAGCCACTTAGTCTCAAACACTGGCCAAATATTAGCTTTTTTCACACAAAAACAAATATGAATGCTAACTTTGGCCAGTGTTTGTGACTAAGTGGCTACTATAAAAGACTGGACATACCCCACTTGCAATACCTTGGGTTGTCTACTTTTGCAAATGGTATGCCATCATGGGGGTAATTCTTATTCCTGGGCTACCATACGGTCTCAAAGGCAACATAACCAACCTGGTGAATTTCAATTTGAAAAAACTGAAAAATGGAATGTGCTATATTTGACTATATTTAACTTCCCAACACACCTTAAAAACTGTTAATGGGGGGTACTGTTGTACTCGTGAGACTTTGCTGAATCCAAATAATACCAGTTTTTGTTTACATTTTGTTTTGATCAGAACGTGTACTATTGACTCCGTCCTGAAGGGGTTAAGGGTTAATAAGTAGGTAGGGTAGGGCTTTAGAAAAATACCTCTCTATCTCAGTAGAGATTTTGTTAGCTGAATGAAGCCAGGTGAATTGTTAGGGTAGGACCCACCTAAGAGGTTTGCCTTGACGTGGCAGGTGGGCTTGCATCAAATGGCTATTGGAGTTACTAAATAACCTCCATTTATTTAAATATGCATTGGGATTTGGGCTAGTGCACCACTGTAACTCTTTTCTTTGGTTTTTATTGTATGTACTGGGGCTGATGTGCACTATGGTCGTTGCTCGTTGCTGCCGCCCAGAAGTAGGAGTTTGAGCACAGGACTTATTTTTGTTTATTTGTATTAACTGTGCATAATGCCCGTAGGCATTATGACCACATAAAAGAAAAAATGAGAACACTGGAATGGGAAAAACTTTGTCCGGCCCAGGTCTCAAAATGTTTTGCTCACTTGTGCCATTTTAGAGAGAACCTATACCATTTGTATATTAGACTGATCCCACCCATAAGGGCATTCCAGGTCTGAAATGCTGGCAAGTTCCCTTTGCGCAAGAGATAGTCACCCCTGATGATTAGTTTGCCATTCTTTGGGTCTCATCGGCAAGGTGTAGCTGATCTCTCCCTAGGCTCTGTGAGCATAGAAACTTTAAGCAAATGCATTGAAGCAAAAACAAAGAATTTGAGAGCACTGAAATCTTATGAATTATGACCATATACAGACAAAGGATACCTTGAGCTCCTTGGTGTGAGCAGGGATTAACCTTGTACACATCAATACTTACTTGCTAATGCCAATAAAGCCCATTATAGTTGGGACTTAATGACATGTCTTTAAGGGGTTAATAGACCACCATATTTATGTGTGTGTGTGTGTATATAGATTGTTTAAGTATTTACTTTAAAATACTTTTATGTTTTGTTCAGAATTTTACAGCCAAATCAAGTACAAAATGCGCCAATCAATAAACTTCTTTGCAGACAAGGGTAAGTTACTATCATTTTTCTAAAAGTGCATGTTACTTCTCTTGCTTTAAATAGACACAGTCAGTGCTTCAACTGATTTAAAGGGGGTTATAATGTCTGGAATCTCCTAGTGCCATCCTAGCGTTAAACCATGTTTAATGCTAAAATGAGAGTCCACAGCAGTCTATCCCCTTTGTGCTGTGTGTGCTAATTAGCCAGCAAATGGCTGTTATCATTGGCTGAGAGTATCAGCTAACCATTTGCATCCTATTACACCACCCATTATTAGTATGAATTGGTATGGCTAGAAATATGTAATCTCTGTATTCGCCATACCTCCAACAGGGGCCAGGGATCCTTAATTATAGGGTAATTCACTAAACTCCAAATGACCCTATAAATTGCGACTGAGCCGGAATATAGTGTGGATTTCAGCCGGACTGAATGTTGAAATCTGGGCATGGATAATTTAAAACAGAGTCTGGATTTTAAAATTTCAAACTATTTGCCCACTGGCAGTGCTAGCAGCCAGCAGGCAAAAATAACAATCAGTAGCGCCTGCTAGCCATCTGCCACATTACAATGTAAAATAAAGGTTAGAATTATGGGGGCTATATTGACTCTCGTAGGTTCATATTATGTTCATTTGTTTTGACACTTTTTAACGTGGTGGCTGGCTAGCAAGCGCTGTCCAGCCACCACAGGATTAATCCTCAGTGGCTTGAGTTGTTTAACGATTTGCCCACTGGCTGCTAGGCCGGAGTTATTGAATTTGAAGCATAGCTGATTTAGAGATTTTATTCCAGTTCAGCTGATTTAGCTTTACATTTTAAATTCACTTCGAATTCTCACTTTAGTAAATAACAAATGGAAATAAACATGGTTTTTAATTTATGTATGTTTCAATTTAATTTCAGGAGCATTTATCAGAAAAACCCCAAGAAAGAAGCCAAATGTTGTGACAATCTAAGAAGACAACACTCTTTGGGATAAGCATCTGCATTCCTTTTATTCGTTGTACACATGGACTCTAGTTAATCAGACACTCATAGCATGTGCTATAATTGTGCTGGATTTTCATTAAAAAGCAGGCACTAAACTTTTACATCCTCCCCCATTTTACTTGTTAAAAGCAAATGCTTTTATAACATGATGATTTCCATTTTATCAGTCTGTTAGTATTCAATGTGCTGCAAGCTTTATATGGCCATGATACAAGCCAGGGATCTTCTTGATTGGTTTTTGCCCGTTAACCGCTGGGAAATCCATTTAGATTCCATCAACTAAAGTACTAAAACAATATATCCCTTATTTAAACAAATGTTGTGCATTGAATTTCTGCACGGATTGTAATAGAGCAGATTACATTGAATATTAATCTTATGTTTAACATTAAAGGTTTTTCTAAGATTATAGTAAATTACCAGTAAAAAAAAAAAAAAACAACCTAAAAATACAAGCAGTGTGTGAACTGAAAGCCCATATGGGTTCTTCAGAATGGTCTATTGCATGTTTTCTGGTGTGTATTTGCATAATCTATTTTTAGGAAACTGGACATACTAACTCAAATAACTGGTGACTTGTTGGGTTGTCACGCTTTATTGCAAGTGATTTTTATAAATCGGATTAAGACTATTTTATGGAATTCCAAAAGCAAAGTCGTTACTCGTTACTTGGTTTTATGATGTTTAGGGTCATCAAGAGGTTTACGTTTTTTAAATGAGTCAAGTTGATTTTGCATTGTTGTTGAAATGAAGTGTGCAACAGTTTTGCACCATCCATTAATATTGCAGACTGTTCCATATATCTCTAAAAACACGCTTTGCTACCATGGTCCGGTATATTATTCTAAGCTAAACATAGTAATACTACGAGACATACAAAATAAATTATTTCACATTGTGCAAACATACTCAAATCGTGTAGGTACATCTAGGGTTTATTCACTGAAACTGCCACTTTTGGAACATTTACAAAGGATTTAAAACTATTAGGCCATAATATTTGAATTTGCAAAAAGTATTGAATTGAAAATTTCATGTCAAATGGGCAATTTGGAGGAAAAAAGAAAGCTCTCAAATTCCCTTGTCAATTACTTAAAATACCCACTTTAGTACATATGTTCCATCCGTGGCTCAAGACATTGGTAAAATGTCATTGCTCTTACAGGCAATGAGTGCATTGTATTTACTCTACATGCCAAGGTGCAATGATTATTACGTAAGCAAAAAAACATCATAGAAACTTGAACTGTTTCTATGGTTATTCCACATATGCCTTATATTTGTGGTTTTATAACTCTTCCCTTACAGGTGTTAGGATAACAACTGTTTGGTATCATGGTGAACTACCTGATATTATACTTTGCACTGTTTAATTGTTTTAGGCCACGTGTTTTTCATTCAAAAAGGCCATTAATAATTAGTTTATCAAAACTGGATACCTGCATGACCTTTCTTTTTTATAATAGAGGTGTTGAAATCCAGTAATCAAGCACTTTCAGTCTAGTAGTCTGACTGTTGAAGTCATTTAGATTTACTGGCAAAATATATACTTGCAGATAAACTGAAAAAAACCTTGATGCTAAAGGAATACTTCAAGCACCATAACCACAAGCTTGCTGTAGTAGTTATGGTGCCAGGAATGTCCGGACACCCACCAATGTAAGAAGTTGGACTGTTTTTAGAAGATGGAGAGCTGGGAGCTCTTAAGTAGGAGCTTCTGTTAGCTCTCCTGCAATGTTGTAAGCCCTAAGCCTTTCAATGTAGAGCTAGCTCATTGGCTGGAAGCGTCTGCTCCGACAGCGCTCCTGCCCTTTCATCATCTATAATAGATGCTGCTCTTTGCCTCCAGTAGCCCTCAAGTAGATCAGTTTGACTATTTGCAATGAGGGGGTCCTCCAGGTCACTGCTGACACAATAACCACAACAGTGAGCTGTAGTGGTTATGGTGCTCGGAGTGTTCCTTTTTAAAGACAAACTGTTCGGCATCTTGCAATGTTGTCTTTTCTAAATGTGCCTAATGTAGTTAAAGACTAGTTTACATGTCTAGGTTACACTCCTTATATATTATCTAACAGTAAAGATGTTTCTATACAACTTTTAAAATTATTTTTGTTTGTGTCTACAGATTTGTTTTCTCTTTGAAAGGCACCACAGCAAACTGTCTTATCATACCCTTTTTATCAACAAGTGCCACAGTTTTTGTTATATTATTTTTTTGTACATTTTTTTTTATTTATACATATTTAATTTTCAACTGCATGGAGAAGGATTTGTGGATGATAAAATGTATTTATTTTTGTACTTTATTTCATGTTTGTTTTTTTGTCTTCTGCATTTTGCTGTTTTGTTAATGTTAATAAATCTTTTCATCTAATATTTCACAGAATTTTTTTTTTCTCATTAAAATAATTCTGGTAATTGATATGTGGGGAATTTGTAGTTTTTATGATTATCAATTGTACCAAAAAATGTCTCATATTTAGTTGGGTACAGAAGGGGTTAGTTACTAAAATATATAATTTTAGTGAATGTAACTATAAAAGACATGATATTGGCTAATAGAAGTGATTTGGAATTTTTTCAGCTTTTTTTGTAGTTACAAGCTTCTCGTTTTCTAAAAATCCAAATTGTAGTGACCATAAGAATGGCAAAATATAAGTCAATGGTCAATTGGAGATCACTGTATGTAGAGTATTTATGCCTCAAACATAAAGTGTGTGTGTGTGTATAAATACAGCAAAACTATATATTCTTTCTTAAAACAAAAACTGATGAGGAGGATGGGAGGTCATGTCAAAAGGAAGAGCAAATGTAACTAACATTTTTCTTGTGAGCTAGTAAGCATGAGGCACATAAGTCCCGAAGAAGGGATCAAGCATCCAATCACACTGCAGGTAAGCAAAGTTTCACCAGCGAGTATACATAACCTCCGTCCTTAGAGGGAAAGATGGTAAATTGGGAAAAGAAACATAGAATGTGACGGCAGATAAGAACCATTCGGCCCATCTAGTCTGCCCAGTTTTCTAAATACTTTCATTAGTCCCCAGCCTTATCTTATAGTTAGGATAGCCTTATGCCTATCCCACGCATGCTTAAACTCCTTTACTGTGTTAACATCTACCACTTCAGCTGGAAGGCTATTCCATGCATCCACTACCCTCTCAGTAAAGTAATACTTCCCGATATTATTTTTAAACCTTTGCCCCTCTAATTTAAGACTATGTCCTCTTGTTGTGGTAGTTTTTCTTCTTTTAAATATGGTCTCCTCCTTTACTGTGTTGATTCCCTTTATGTATTTAAATGTTTCTATCATATCCCCCCTGTCTCGTCTTTCCTCCAAGCTATACATGTTAAGATCCTTTAACCTTTCCTGGTAAGTTTTATCCTGCAATCCATGAACCAGTTTAGTAGCCCTTCTCTGAACTCTCTCTAAAGTATCCGTATCCTTCTGAAGATACGGTCTCCAGTACTGTGTACAATACTCCAAGTGAGGTCTCACCAGTGTTCTGTACAATGGCATGAGCACTTCCCTTTTTCTACTGCTAATACCTCTCCCTATACAATCAAGCATTCTGCTAGCATTTCCTGCTGCTCTATTACATGGTCTCCCTACCTTTAAGTCATCAGAAATAATCACCCCTAAATCCCTTTCCTCAGATGTTGCGGTTAGGACTCTATCAACTATTCTGTACTCTGCCCTTGGGTTTTTACGTCCAAGATGCATTATCTTGCACTTATCCACATTAAATGTCAGTTGCCACAACTCTGACCACTTTTCTAGTTTTACCTAAATAATTTGCCATTTGGCTTATCTCTCCTGGAACATCAACCCTGTTACATATCTTAGTATCATCAGCAGAAAGACATACCTTACCATCAAGACCTTCTGCAATATCACTAATAAAAATATTAAAGAGAATGGGTCCAAGTACAGATCCCTGAGGTACCCCACTGGTGACAAGAGGAGTGGGATCTTGTTGGGCACACATGCTTGGTCTAGGACTAACAAAAGTGAAAATAAATCCTCTGGACCTGGTTATGTGGGATAGAAAAGCTTAGAACGTAATTTGTTTGTGAGTTGGTATTGGGTAACTGCTTAAGTTTTATGTTTAGTGCGCTCTTATGTAAATGGTAGTTTGAATAGTAAAGAGACTGGAGTTCTTAACCTGCATGTGTTCAGTATAAAAGCCTATCTCCATGGGACAGCCTCTGAAATGGGTATTCCCTGAGTGAGAATTGTCGGGAATTTTAAAGGAATACTATAGTGACAGGAATACAAACCGGCATTCCTGTCACTATAGCTGTAATAGCAATATTTATGCCCCCGGCTCCCCTGTATCCAAAGTAAGAGGTAATTTTACTCCTCTTTAAATCCAGCACCACTCCATCTCTGTTCTGCCTCATTGTCTTAGATCATCAAAACTGACTATTTCACCCAATCAAATGCTTTCCTATTGGAAAGCATTGGTAGGCTTACTCATGTGCAGCAAAACGTTGCTCACAATCAGCATCTCCTCATAGACACATTGAATCAATGTATCTATATGAGGAACATTCAGTGCCTCCGTGCTGCACATGGTGCAACACTGACCTAGGAAGCACCTCTTGTGATCGTCTGAGTGACTTCCACTAGAGGTGTTACTTTTTCTCTGAAAAGGCAGTGTTTGCATTAAAATGCCTGCAAGGACAAGCTTTCTCATAGGAAAGCATTGTATTCAATACTTCCCTATGAGCTTCTGCATCAAATGACATTTTTACATGGTTAGTGCAACAGAAGCACCTCTAGTGTCTGTCAGGAAAACTGCCACTAGAGGTGGATTTAACACGGTAATAAAATAACTGAAGATTCTAAAACAAAAACAACAAAAAACCCTGCAGTTTTACATTGCAGTGGTAAAAGGACAGGACCAATGCATCCAGACTACATCAATGAGATCAAGTGGTCTTGGTGACTTGACTTTAGTGTCCTTTTTAAGGCCAAAGCAGTCAAGCTAGAAGCGTAGCTGAATTAAATTGTTATTCCACTTCTGTTTTGGGTTTAAATTTTACATTTGAATTTTTGACAATTCATGCTTTAGTGAATAACACTCAGTCTTCTTGGAGCCCCAGTATAAATTAATCATATTGTTGCCCAAGTGAAGTTACCTTTGGCCTTTGTGAGAGGTAATCGGCAACTTTTTGATCTCCGCACCCAGATTTTCCAGAGACTGTTAAGATCAGCTGGACCTTGATATTTTATAGAATTACATCAACAGATTATCATTGGGCATAAATAACAAGTCACTGTCTATAAGTTGTCAGGGTTATTCAACAAAGTAATGGAGCACACAATTGTTATAATTGCGTCACAGTAGGAAATGGCAGGTTAAACCTATATAATACAAACATAAGAAACCATCATTGTGTAATACATAAAACACTGTAGAATGGTGAAGTGATAAGGAACACTCACATATTACAGAGCCGATTAGTCGGCTCTAAACTATGCAGGCATTTCATCAATCGGTTGATGAAAAGTAAGATGTTTCAAGCTCAGGTCCCCCAGACAGCAACAGCAGCACCTCTTGGTTGGATATTCACGAGCCAAAATAAAGTAAATTTATATTATTTGATTGCACACAACAGGAGGAGTATGCAGCATGTGTTTATTTGTAGTGCAGAAAAATATTCTATTAAATTTGTTAGGGACTCGTTATAAAAAGATATGACATGCCTCCCATTATTATTATTATGATATTTATAGAGCGCCGTCAAATTCCGCAGCGCTTTACAATGGGTGGACGAACAGACATGTAGTTGTAACCAGACAAGTTGGACACACAGGAACAGAGGGGTTGAGGGCCCTGCTCAATGAGCTTACATGCTAGAGGGAGTGGGGTAAAATGACACAAAAAGGTAAGGATAGTATTAGACTAGTGACAGTTGCAGAAGATGAATCAGTCAGGAGCTATTAACAGTTTAATTGATACGCTTTTATGAAGAAGTGGGTTTTTAACCATGTGAAATAGCCTGAAGTGTCTACTTTTGTATATGTGATATTCCACTGAAGGTGCACACTGATTTTGGGTGATGCAATTCTGCTCTAATTGAGACATGAACCCATTAAAGTAATTGAATACAGAAATTGGTATATTCACTCCTGTCACTTTATGGCCATTGCTGTATCAAGGATATCACCTTAGAGCAGGCTTCCCCAAACTCCGGCCCTCCAGATGTTGCTGAACTACAACTCCCAAGATTCTCAGCCTATCTCACTAATAGAATCATGGGAGTTGGTAGTTCAGCAACATCTGGAGGGCTAAAGTTTAGGGAAGCCTGCCTTATATGGCCATGTTTAAACATAGAACAGTTTTGTATGATTTACAATAGTTAGGATGCAAAGAGTACCCGGTACAAGCTCTCATGTCTGAGTGACGTGTAACTAGTGATTAGTGATGTGTAAAATAAAACTTTCTCCTTGGCTGTGTCAGTTTGTTGAAAGAAGTTTATGGGATAAGATATGGCCTGTAGAATGCAAGGTTCCTGGTTGATGGTCATACAGGGTCTGTTTTTACCCCCACTGAATACGACTCCTCAGGTAAATTCTGGAAAGATTGATATACAGGTGTATATGAAAAGGAATTTGATTTGTTCGTTCCAGCAGAAAAGCATTTGTGGACAATTCTATTTATTAGTGCATTCTTGATACCTAATAAATTATTCATTGATTCGACACACACTGTTGTTCATTAAAGGGATCCTGTAGGCATCCATACCACCTCAACTCATTGAAGTGGTCTGGTTGCAGTGACACTGTCCCCTTGTAATTGCAGTTCCTGAGAAACTGCAATAATTACCTTGCAGGGTTAAGACACCCCCTATTGATCGACTGCCGCTAGAGGCACTTCCTGGTGGTAAGGCAACTTTTGGAAATCCAGCGTCAGTCAATTCCCATAGGAAAGCATTGCACCAAAGCTTTCCTATTGCGAGGGCCATTAGCGAAACCCCCCCTCCCCCTCCTCCATCAGGTGACGTCACAGGGCGCTCTAGAGCTAGAAACCAAACTTTAGAACACTCCAAACACCATAACCACTACAGCACATGTGTGTGTATAAATTTGTAAATTACAAGTAATTGCCAAAAAACCAGGGAGTGGCAGGTAAGGGTAATGATGGTTAACTCATCACTCCATATGTTTTTGAATGATTATCCCCATTTCTGGCTGAGCATCATGGTCAATGTAGTTTTTTGAAACATTAATAAATGCAATGTTCTAGCACTCTAGCTAGCCATCACTAGGAAAGGGCACACTGGGCTAGCCTATGCATGCTAAAAATTCACATCATGTTATAACTCAAACTAGAACCTTTTTGTTACGTTTCTTTTCTCATGCCGATGCTCTAACGTTGTAAAATGTAATAGTACAGTAATCCCAACAGAGACACAGACACACATCAGCACATTATTACAATCTCAGAAGGCGAGTTCTAACACGCATGCGCAGTAATGCCTGGCAGACAGTCACGTGTTACGGGTTCCGCCACCAGTAAGATGGCGCGGGGTCAGAGGTGAGAATTGACAGGCAGAAGTCACATGACTGAAGATGGCTTCAATACAGTGGTGAGTGTCTTTAAACCTACATTCCTTTATACACCGGTTATTAGGTCGCTTCCCATTAATTTATATCCTTTCCCGTTTGTTTATTGATGGACTAATTAGAAAATAAACATCAAGCTTTGTGCTGTGGATAGCACAGTGAGGGCTAGTGATGGAAGTAATGGGCTCCTTGTATGAATTCTGTGTGTACCCTAATACAGATACCCTAAATAATTATTTTATTTCTGTTGCTGCAACCCCCTTTCTGCATCTCAATGCATATCTCATATATTTACACACTTCACTTACAGCTGCTGTGTTGAACATATAACTTTCATTTATATATATATATTTTTTGTTCTATTGCTACTAAATCGGTAAATCATTATTTTCCACTAATATAATGTGTTTTATTAAGACCTGATGCACATATTATCCATATACTATGAATGCAATTCCTATTACAATAGCACGTGCAATGTTTGTATGATTTTTAGAAGCAGAACAGCCTTTTCTGTGTTTCAACTATATTATGACATTTGCTTGTGTTTACACTGCCTCCTGTAGCTCTGTGGAACAGGTCAATACAATCAATGTTATGGGTAAATTTAGGTTTTGAACACCTGCAGCAGGCACTCCAGACACCTTAATCACTTCGGGGTGTTTTTTTTTATTAAAGGGACACTCCAGGTACCCAGACCACTTCTGCCTAGTGGTCTGGATGCCTACTCCCACTACCCTTAACCCTGCAAGTGTAATTATTGCAGTTTTCATAAACTGCAATATTTACCTTGCAGTGTTAAGTCCTCCTCTAGTGGCTGTCTAGTAGACAGCCACTAGAGGGACTTCCGTGTTCTTAGAACACGAAAAGTGTGTTATACGACACTGGACGTCCTCACGCTATGTGAGAACCTCCAGCGTCGCCAAAATCCCCATAGGAAAGCATTGAATAATGCTTTCCTATGGGGAGGTCTAATGCGCGTGCGAGGCCATTGCCGCGCATGCTCATTCGGTCTTCCCCACCGGCTGATGTCGGCAGGGGAGGAGAGTAGGCGGAGCGCCAAGGGATATAAGGTTTTAACCCCATCAGCAACTTGGGATGGGGGATGTGAGGGAGAGGGGCATTACAGGGAGTCCGTTTAATACAACACTCACACACCTGCCATGAAAAGCTAATTACATTTTTTTATTTACTCCTGTGTTTAATACTGGTTTTGTATTTTACTGTACCGTATTGTAATAATTCAATGTATCCTTCCTGGTAATATATTTTATAAATAAATAAAGAAAAGATAAATTATTTCATTTGCAATTAGATGTAACTTACTCTAAATGGTTTTATCTAGTGCACTATAAATTGAACTTTAATTACACACAGGAGGCTCTGGCATGGTCCAGCAAGCTATTAACAGAGCAGAAGATAATAAATTATAAATGAAACAGAATTTGCAATAAAGGAAGTGTAAACATTAGATGACTCTTTACAGGAAGTGTTTAGGAAGTATGTGTAAGTCACATGCAGGGGAGGTGTGGCTAGTGCTGTATAAACAAAGTGATTTAACTTCTAAATGGCACAGAATTGAGCATTGAGACTGCAAAGGCATAATCTTAAACTCAAAACTGCTTAATTAAGCTAAAGTTGTTTTAGTGTCCCTTTAATATGCTTCTGAGTGAATAAATATATTTAGCTTTATTAGCAAACAATACCAGCGAACATCTAGAGGATATGCTACGGGCTGTTCTAAATTCACATCACCCTTTGGCAGATGCATGGACTACACAGTATTGAGCCATAAACAAAAAATTACATGCCTACTGTCCCAAATGCCAATGTATACTTGGGGGAGTCATGAGCGAGTCTTATGCCAACACGAAATGAAAACTTTATATTCTTCCACTGGCTTGCGTTTAACCCAAAGGAAGAAAAGTTAAAGCAATACTGTAATTTCTTTAGAAATTGTGACATCATCCTTGAGTTGTCAGCCTCATTTCAAGGTGCGCGAGAGAGCTGGGCAGCCAAAACACTGTGCAATCAAGGCTCCCTCGCCGCTGGTACTTTGAATGGACAGAGTAGACAGCTGTCAAATGGCACCCCTATCGGAAATGTGCCAGTGGGCAGGTGTCTAGTCTGTGTAATCGGAATGCCTAAAATGTTACTCCAAATTGTGGCCATTGAAAGGCTCGGAGCATCACCTGATGCTCTGATCGTAGCACCTGTGCCCAATACAACAGTTCCCTTTGGGTAACACAGTCAAGTAGAGTAGGGAGAGGCAGTTCAGATGGGTGCCTGGGACCCACCTTACGGTAAGATGGCAAGCAGAGACTCCAGTCCCGAAAACAACAGTTGAAATTAAGTTGTTTTTTCCCCCCAGGATTTAAAGTCCATTTAAAGGGGCACTATAGTCACCAAAGGAAGTTTATCCTATTAAACAGTTTTTGTGTATAAATCATGCCCCTACAGTCTCACGGCTCAATTCACTGCCATTTAAGAGTTAATTCATTTTTGTTACTGTTTGTGTAGCAATAGCCACACCTACTCTGGCTGTGACTGACACAGCTTGCATAAAAGTTTGCAAATATGTTGTGCATTAAAGGAGCACTATAGGGTCAAGAACACAAACGTATTCCTGACTCTATAGTGTTAAAACCACTATCTAGCCCCCTTGGCCCCTTTTGCCTCCATAAAGATAGTAAACTCCTACTTGTATTCAAGTCTGAAGCTGCAGCCTCTGCGTGTGAACTTCCTCTGACATCAGCAGAAGTGGTAGCCTGATCCACAGTGCTTCCCCGTAGGATTGGCTGAGACTGACAAAGAGGCAGATCAGGGGCAGAGCCATTCAAACACAGCCCTGGCCAATCACTGAATGAATTGAATCTCTGAATCTCTATGAGGAAAGTTCAGTGTCTGCATGCAGAGGGAGGAGACACTGAATATGTGGATGCATTTTAGGCAGCCATGACCCAGTAAGGATCTCTAACAGCCATCTGAGGAGTGGCCAGTGAAGTTATCACTAGGCTGTAATGTAAACACTGCATTTTCTCTGAAAAGACAGTGTTTACAGCAAAAAGCCTGAAGGTAATGATTCTACTCACCAGAACAAATTCAATAAGCTGTAGTTGTTCTGGTGACTATAGCGTCCCTTTAAGCATCACAACTAATAAATTATAACTAAATAAGTGTTTATTTATTTTGTTCTTTATATTTAATTTAAATAGAGTAATTTACTAAGCTTTTTTTTTTTTTTAACATTTGAATCTCTCCTTCACACATACTTTCTTAGGGATCATAAGTGATGTAAGATTTTAGTATTTCATATGTCATGGCATCTCCTCATTTATAGGCACTCCAAGGAGCGGAACTACACTGATGAAATAGAATCATGCAGACTGGAGCGAGCTGCTGTGGAGTATGGAGACTATCATCCTTTAAAACCCATTACGGTGTGTTTCCAGTGCGATGTGTGTAGAGCTATGAAAACCTCTACGTTTTCTGTGTTATTGTGTGCTTTTGGTACTATTTGTAATCTGATCTTTAGCAAAAATCTAACATTAGACACAAGTTCATAAGATCCACAAGATCAAACAACTTGGCATTTTGATAATTTAATTATGAACATGTAATTACCTCCTTTAGACTAAGTATTCCTATTTTAAAAGCAATAATTACAGACAGGTTTTGTAGTTCCTGATTGTTTTTATTCGTCTTAATTTTGCACCCAACAAATTCCTTTAGGATGAGATGCCCCTTTCACTATCATAAGCATCACTAGCACATCGCAAACCATGTTTCCCCCATGCCAAAGTTGGCAAGTATTAATGCTGCCATTGGCCCTTTCTGTGGTGTGTCATCTAGTGCCTGCTATACTTCCTCGAGAGGTGGTATGGAAAAGTGCCTTCATGGATTTAGTTTTGAAATCTAGATGTCTTAGAAATAAACACTGCACACTCTGATGAAATTGCATTTTGGGCACTTTTTACTTCCACACTCGGTTCATTCACTGAACCGTGTGATCAGAAAAGCATTGGTTTGATCTTCCTTCTAACATTTCTAGCCAAGAAATCAGAAAGTATTTGCAAGTTTGACTTGGTTTCATCATGGATGTGGCTTAGCTGCTGCCATGTGTTATACCAGAAATCCAGGGACTTTAATGTAAAGGTAGTTGGAAGTAGTGTACCCATTCCAGTTTTAACCACAATGTAATCAGTCTCTTTAATACAGCTTGAGTCCGTTCAGTACATTCAGGTTTGCCATGGAGTGACGGAAGTGTTCATGCTCACACATGTCAAAATGCAGATATAGATTGTCTTACAAAGGCTGATCAATGTTGTTTGTGTACTAACAGCTGATATGGGTAATCTTCATGTTGTGCAGGTTACAGAATCGAAGACCAAGAAAGTGGGACGCAAAGAGAGCACTTCTTCAAATTCTTCCTCGTGCTCCTCCAATTCGGTTGTAGATCCTCTGAGTAGCGTGCTGGATGGGACAGACCCTCTCTCCATGTTTGCAGCTACAGCTGAACCAATAATCTCAACTACGGTAAAAACTTCTTACTATAATGTGTTCAATTGGTAATTCGTTTTTTTTTCCTTCCTTCCTTCCATTTTTTTTTTTTTTTAAATAATTAAAGAGAATCTTAAATACCTAGAACCTATCTACCCATATCTAACCTCCTCGGCTTGCACCAGACCAGATTGTTCCAATTTTACCATCTCCATCTACCAACATCTGAGTTCCCATTCTTATTCTATTCCCCTGACTTTTAACTTGTGTGTTTTACTGCTTTTTTACTGCAGAAACATATTACTTTATATTTTCCTGTTACCTACTCTATAATATTTTGCACTTAAAGGTGCACTCCACTGCCCAAATACAAAAATAAATAAATATATATATCTCTCTATCTCAAAAAACAAGAATCTTATGGTGGGGAAAAATTGTGATTGAAAACCCCTTCCACCTGAAGTCAGTGGATAGTCAATATTTTCTTAAACACAGAGTTGCATACCAGTCAAGCCATAAGACTTGCTTTTCCCGCAGAAAAACAAGTCTTATGGCTTGGCTGGTGTGCAACTCTGTGTTTAAGAAAATATTGAATATATATATGTATATATAATGTGTGTGTGTGTGTATGTAGAAAGGCCATTAGGCCTGAATTTGTGAGAGGAGTAAGTCCCCTACTTAAACTCCCAGCCCCTACTCATCTCTGACGTTCAAGTTCAAGTGTTCCCACCCACCTGCACCCTTAAAACAATACAATTCTCCTTGGTGGGCCCTCTTTTATTTACAGGCCTGCTCGGATGTTGGTTTCGGCACACCACAACCAAACTTTCATCTCAGACACTATCCATTGCATATTAAATTCCGAGCACAAATCTATATATATCAGAAAATCTGTTTAGTATATATTTACCCCAAATGAAAACTTGCAAGCATGCATTTAATTATGTATTTTTCAATGGAGTTCTATCTAAAAACCACTTCTGTAGAAATGGAAAGGACGAGAACACACTCTTCACACGCAAATCATTTCAGCATGATAAAGTGCTTTAGGGTTCTGGAGTGTCCCTTTAATTAAGTTTTTGAAACTTAAAGGGACACTGTAGGCACCAAGACCACTTCAGCTAATTGAAGTAGTCAGGGTGCTGTGAACCTTTTGCACTTAGTCCTGTGGGAGGTGGGCTCCGAGGGAGGCAGGGGGCCTATTAACCCTATAGTACCAGGAAAATTGCTTTGTTTTCCTGGCACTATAGGATCCTTTTAAACACAAGAAAATCCCATAGAACTTTTTTCTATATAGGCTTGTCTATTTTCTAAACACATGGATCCAGGATATCCGTATAATCATTAACAGCATTTTGTTGAAGAACATGCTTTCTGTATTGAGCTCCATTACACTGAATCAAGTTACACAAAAAATTCTCATTAATATCTGACATGGAATTTACTTTACATTATATTTGTGCATGCGTTTACTCCAACATTATACCTCTGTTAACCTTGCTGTACTTATAATATGTTGCCTGCATTGATGTTTGACCTGTTTCAAGGCACTGCAGTTATGTTTCCTGGTTGATGCCAATTACTATTTTTTTATCTTACCGTTCAGGAGAGCAGCAGAAAGAAAAATGACAACGAGGAGCTTGTAGGAAGTGATTTTGAGCCCTGGTCAAGTAAACGTGGCGAGATCCTATCCAGATATACAACAACTGAGAAACTCTCCATTGTGAGTCCATCTGTTTCTGCCAGTTTGTAGATATTGCTGTTAACCCCTTCCCTACTATTTGATTGAAAAAATGTTAGCATAACATTTATTTGAAGCAATGGATGCATTGCTAGCACATAAGCATACAATAAACAGCAATTTTGGATATATAATGATTTTGCAGACAAACTTAAAAAAAATACACAATTTAAAATTTTCTCTTATTCGTTCAGCTTTTATAAACATATTTAGCAAAAAAAAAAAGCTTTCGCTATTATACAGTGTCTTTAATCTTGCAATATTTCACGCAGGGTCTGAAATGTTAGTATAAAAGCATAGATGCTCTTTATTTTTTACATACAAAAGGTTTAACAAAAATAGATAGATAGGAATGGTCAAGTATCTACTTGTCAATTCACTATAAACCTCTTCCAGACTGTAGGAATTATTTGGCCCATTGAAACTTCCTTTACTGTTTGAAAACAGGAAGTGAGATGACATTGTCAGCACACTTCCAGGTATTACATCAGTGACTTCTGGCGGAGCGATTACTAGTAGTTCCTCTACAAACTGGTAAACATAACTAGAGTACACATGCAGGTGTGTGAGGCTTTATGGACTAAATTTCATTCTGCAAAATACATTAACAAATAAAAATGTTTATACTGGATTCTGATAGTGAAGTCGTTAATAGTAACCCACAAATAAGAATCACCTAATTATCCATGAATTTGCTAAATATTTTCCTACACCTATTTATTTCAAACTGGAATATTTATTTTCTCTTCTAGAATCTTTTTATGGGATCTGATAGAGGTAAGGACTATTTTACACAGACTTTAATATGTAGATTAGTGGTTGTTATCTTTTTACAAACCAGTTGCAACTGGAAACTGATTTCTCAGCCGAGTCCTGCTAATATTAGGCTTTCATCCGGTGATTACTCTTAATATCAGCTGTCACTTCAGTTGGAAATCACTTTCTGAGAGCTAGCTAAAAGCTTGAAATGGTGCCCCGTCAAGGAACATTCCCGGCACCATAACAACCTCATCTAAATGAAGTTGTTATAGTGCCCGCAGGTCCTTGACCCCATCTTACCTCTTACCCTTTTCTTCCATTTAAGTACTCTTCTTCAGTGAGGAAGTGTCGGGCTGGGCGACAGTAAAAGACTAACGTCCAATTGAAAATAAATGTGTGAAAATGTACCATTCATAATCTATTCATAAGTGGTTTAACCTATTAAGGTAGGACAGTGACCTTCATTTACATAAAGTTGCTAATTAATTCTGTTCCTTTTTGTTTTTGAAGACCTTTACCTATCCTTTAATGGAATGTACCGCTTGCTTAGCAGTAGCAATTCTGTACACTTATGATCCTTTTTTTTTTTTTTTAAAGAAGCAGGACGTTCTAGTTTGTAATCGTACATTTAAAGCCCAAATTGTTATCATTACCTAGACCAGGTCATCATATTGCCATAAAGTTTTAAGCAATCTTCGTTTTTATAAAAGTCAAAGTTACATTAAAAAACAAGGCTGCTGAGAGTCATAGATATGTCAACCTTTAGATAATTCTATGTGCCAGTCAGCTAGCAATAAGTGGTCTGTGTGGTTTGAAATGCTTTTTTTTTTTTTATCTTAGTCAAACCCACAACACCAGGATCAGCAGTGTCTGAGAAAGTGAGGACTAGACTTGAAGAACTTGATGACTTGGAAGAGGTCAGGAAATGTCCTTTTTTTAAATTATTTTGTATTTATTTGTAAAAAATGTTTTAACGGATCACCATGCAGTCCAAATATAGAAAGTATTTGAAATGTGACTTTAAGCCCTACCACCACAAATCACCAGCGTATTGTTTAATGATTAATTCTCTCTCTAAAACCTAGCTTTGTAGTATTTAAACGACTTGCATAAGGTGTCATGCTTCCCGCTCCAGTCTTTTTTTTTTTTTTTACCTCCTTTTTCCCTTCATCAATATTTTATGCTTTTCATCTCCTTTCTCACTATTCCTATCTGTTCTTTCCTTTTTTCAAATTTCTCTGGTTTGATGTTTTTTCCACAGTCTCTAATCTGTCATTATTTCTTTTTGTCGCTTATAATCTAGTGTTCCATAAACCAATCCCTCTGGTCCAGAATTGTTTTATTTCTCTATAACCGCCTTTTTCCCCTTATTTCTTTCTCTCATATATCATTTCCTTAAACTCTTAACTTTTCATTCTTTTTTTCATTTACTATATTTCTGTCACTCACATTGGTTTCTTATGCTCATTACTGCCCGCTAACTATTCTTCCCCTCCCCAATTTTATTTCTTCTTTCAGTTTTCCCCCCATATCTATTCCTCATCTATCCATAAACTCCTATTTCTGTTACCATGTTGTTTCTTTCCTAAATTTCTAGTGTTTCATGTCTGTTTAATCAGACCTTCTTCTGCCTGGTGTTTTAAACATAAATATCCAATATATCTGTACCTCCCCCTGATTACTTACCATTTCTGACTTAGAATGGGAGCACCCACAGGGGAGGCCCAGTGGATCAAGACTCATGATGTGTGGCATTGGCCTCTTTTTGCTCACGTAGAAACATAGAATGTGACGGCAGATAAGAACCATTCGGCCCATCTAGTCTGCCCAATTTTCTAAATACTTTCATTAGTCCCTGGCCTTATCTTATAGTTAGGATAGCCTTATGCCTTCAGCTGGAAGGCTATTACATGCATCCACTACCCTCTCAGTAAAGTAATACTTGATATTACCTGATATTATTTTTAAACCTTTGCCCCTCTAATTTAAGACTATGTCCTCTTGTTGTGGTAGTTTTTCTTCTTTTAAATATAGTCTCCTTCCTTACTGTGTTGATTCCCTTTATATATTTAAAGCACCACTATAGTGCCAGGAAAACAAACTTGTTTTCCTGGCACTATAGTGCCCTGAGGGTGCCCCCACCCTCAAGGCACCCCTCCCACCAGGCTGAAGTTGGAGGAAGGGGTTAAACACTTACCTTTCTCCAGCGCCGGGCTCCCTCGGCGCTGGGGACTCTCCTCCTCCTTCCGATGTCATCGACTGAATGCGCATGCGCAGCAAGAGCGGCGCGCGCATTCAGTCAGTCAATAGGAAAGTATTCTCAATGCTTTCCTATGGACGCTGGCGTCTTCTCACTGTGAAAATCACATTGAGAAGCGCGGAAGCGCCTCTAGCGGCTGTCAGTGAGTCAGCCACTAGAGGCTGGATTAACCCTATTGTAAACATAGCAGTTTCTTTGAAACTGCTATGTTTACAGCTGTAGGCTTAACTCTAGATGGACCTGGCACTCAGACCACTTCATTAAGCTGAAGTGGTCTGGGTGCCTATAGTGGTCCTTTAAATGTTTCTATCATATCCACCCTGTTATGTCTTTCCTCCAAGCTATGCATGGTAAGTTCCTTTAACCTTTCCTGGTATAACCTTTCCACTGGATTAATAGAGTCAAACCTATAACATTGTATTATATCCCATCCTATATACGTAGCATGAAACCTGTGCCGTTAGTACATAATACATTATGTTATGCATCCTTTGTGTGCCTTGAGGAGGATGTGCCTGGCTGTTGAATCCTCAGATCTTCCTAATCACCACATGGCTGTACACTATGGCCAGCTTCCCTTCAGCTTCATCAGTCCCAAAGATTGCCTAATGGGAGATCCAGTTCTATGAAGTTGCAAGTGCAATTTCCTGAACTGGGCTTGGGATTTTCGCAGTTAACAGACAGTATTATGTTGATTGTTTTTGCTGTTATTTATTAGAAATACCCGCGTAGTCTGAGTTGCGATATTATGCTGAGTGAACAATTCTTGTTTGTATATCAGGATATGCATTTGACCATTTGCATTTACCCCTCTGTGCAGGGATCGCAAAAAGAACTCTTGAATCTGACTCAGCAAGATTACATTAGCCGAATTGAGGAGCTGAACCAATCTCTGAAGGATGCCTGGGCCTCTGATCAAAAAGTCAAAGCACTGAAAATAGTCATACAGGTCTCTAGACTTTGCGAAATTTTGTTACAAAGCCAACACTCTAATATTTACTCACAAATAAGAGTGGTGCCTTGTTCTAGGTCCCTGTAAAAGATCCACTAGTCAAATGCAGGGAAAGATAATGATGAACTTAGCAACACCAAAACGTTAACATGACTGCTGTTGCTTTCACCCTCATTGTGAACCTGGCAACATATCGACATGTAACAGACTTTGTCAAGCCTTGACACCGACAGAAACACGTTGAAATATGAGTGTTGCAAAGTTTGTCTTTTCCCGAGATCTAGACTTTGACCGAGACATACTAAGATTTGGGTTCTTGGCTTTAGACCACTCCAGTGTACTATTAACCTGCTTATGTCAGACACAGTACATTTGGATAAATTTATGTTTATTTGTGAAATTATTATTACTCTGGAATGCAAAACAATGCCATTTAGTTTGTTAAATATACTGCATTAATTTGTGATTTTTTTTTTTCATGTTTTTATAAAATTAGAAATCTATATTTTTTATTAATAATTTTGAAAATGGAAGGAATGGTATGAGAAAATACTTATTTTATTGAAAGGCTATGCTCGGCTATTCATTATTAATGTATTTAAGGGTGTCTTGAAATGCGGATTGTAAGGTATTACGGAAAATAAATACATGGTATTCAAAAATACAGACACACAGTTGGTTTGTAACTGTATTTATACTTTGCTTTTCTGTGAAAACTGAATAATAATTTCTAAAGACAGGACACTATTATAAACAGTAGCCTGTAATTTTGAAGGTTTAGTTATACCTCAGTTGATCTATTTTGTTTGAAAGTTTTTGTTTGTTTTTTGTTTATTTTTATTATTTTGTAAGTCACAATTAGCATTTTCTCAAAACATGACAATCTGTATATCTTCATCTCCTGTTCCAGTGTTCAAAGCTCCTGTCAGACACAACAGTGATCCAGTTTTACCCGAGCAAATTTGTCTTGATAACGGATATCCTTGACACATTTGGTAAGTTTAAAAAAAAAAAAAAAATGTTTCTATCTGTTATATCGAGGTCCTTGATGTGACGATTGCTAAAACATAGCAATAACAAAATATTTGTGGAATACAAACTAGCCTCTAAAAAGATTTTAAAAGCACAAGTTATAAATATACCAATTGGGGAACCTTTAGCACTTTCGAAAACTGTAATTGGTTCTGTTTAAATGTTGTGTTGAGTGTTTTACCTGGCACTACACTTTTGTATGAGGATGAAGACTGTTCCATAGTAAAACATCAGAACTGTAATTTCATTACCATTCTTCTGTAGATGGAATTCTAATTTTCTAGAAATAAAAAAACAAAAACATTTTCTTGTATAAATCTTTGTGTTAGAAACAATATATATATATATATATATATATATGTATATATGTATGTATGTATGTATGTATGTATGTATGTATGTGAAACACAAACACCGTCTTATGAAAATAACCCCTGATTGGTGCTTTCACATGGTACAAAACCTCAGCTTTCCATGTGGATGGTTCTCAGGTACCCCAAGATCCCATATAGTATAAATGTGGATCGCTTTGTGGACTGGCATTGAAAAGCGGGGCTCTAAACTTACTCTGAGCAGCCATTATTGAACAAAAGCTGAAATTAATATAAAATTGGTAGGAAGGGGGGGGCTACTAAAAGTAGATCATGCTAGACGCATTTCGTGCATATTCTACACCTTCTCAACATTAAATCTTGTGCCAGTACTCTAGAATGATTGGGTATTCACATCTGAATTAAAGTAACAATATCAGTACCATATTGGAGAGCAGTGCAGTTTACTGTTCTATTGTGTGGTGCTAAAAGGCATAGGAATATATTTAAAAAACAAATGTAGAACTGTGTGACTCTCTCACCACTACTTGATGCATTGCATTAATGAACCTTAAACGTTGAGTAAAAATCATGGTTTAGAACTTAAGAAACCGGATTTTGAGCAGTAATCGAGAAGTGGAGTGCAGGTTCACGTTATCTCAGGGTAATTTTAGTTTTTTGTTTATTTATTTGTGCAGGTGACATTGAATGTAAAAACTCCCAGTATATCAATTTTTAATTTGTTCCTCCTGACAGCACGACTAAACCCCCCTACAAAAATAGAAGTCTGTCTGGAGACCTTATATTCAGAAGGGCATAGATAAATAGACTAGAGAATATACAAGAAGGGATTTAGGGAAACTAGAATGGTCACAGTCTGCACAATAAAAGCCGCAATAGTTATATCTTGGCTATACGAGTATGTTAGGGAATGTAACTTCACTTCGATGCAGATCAGGGGCTTACAGCACGCCGCATCTTGAAACCCAGATTAACCTAAGCAACCCTAATCTTACACAAAGGCATTGTCATAAATATGTAAACATGTTCGAAATAGTTAAGACGAGTGCCCAAACTTTACATCGCTTTACTACTTCAATAGATCGATTGAAATATATTCTAAAACTATCTAAGCTGCCAAACTTTTCTTGTATTGTTATACTTGTGAATTGAACATACAAATTGTTTTCTATTCCTGAACAACAAGGTTTCAGATATGTAATGCATTGTAATACCGCTATATTCACTCGTCATTTTGCACAGTTCCAAAGAAGACATGTATCCACTGTTTTCTTGTCTTGCAGGGAGACTTGTATATGAACGAATATTGTCGATGTGTTCAGATAACCGTACCTCCTTACCAGGTAATTAAATACCGAATGAGTTTTTCATTTACATCATTGTGTATGTTTAATTCTTCACTGTAGATACGCATGTATCCTCATCTTGGCTTTTTTGTAGATTGAAATATATAAGAATTTTAAAACGTTTAAAATTGTTTTGTTTATGTGCTATGCTTTTGTAATTTGTGGTGACCTATGGTTTTGGCTTGCTTTTCTTCTTCTTCTTTTTACAAAATATTTTTTTGTATTTTATCAGCAAACTTCTCTCCAGACAGCGTGAATGATACGGCTAAGGAAACCTGCTTAAATTGGTTCTTCAAAATTGCTTCAATTAGGGAGCTTGTTCCTAGATTGTATCCTTTTGTGCAAGTGCCATGTGGTATTCAAACCTTCTTTAAACATGTATTTAATTCCAATACATTCATTTTCTGCAACATCACCCAAGTTCAAATCTTGTTCATTCACCTACAATATTTTAGAAATTGGGCAATGTTCCCAGATCAGATTCCAATAAACGGCGTATAGATTCAGATTGTGAGGAGATAAAGTAAGGTACAAATAAACCGATTTTTAAAGCTGATGAAACAAATAAAGATTTTTAAACGCAAGCAGTTTGCAAAGAAAAGCGACAATTAAAGGCAAGCAAAGTAAGGATCGTAACCGATACAGGAGAGTTATGTTGCTAATAAGAATGATTATAATTCCCCTTTAATCATAGTCCATCAGTTTCCTTGATGTAACTCATTTATAATAAAGGCACAACAAGGCCAAAATTAATCCTAGAGGTCATTGTGGAAGAATGGGGATTTGTGAGTATTGGCACCATGGAGAGAGTTGCTTGAGAGTTGGTAATTGGATATAAGCCCTTGCGATGGAAGTTGGTTTATGAAAATGTTATGAGAGCTCTGGATCAGGGTTGGCATATTTTTGGACATGCTAGTAACAGTGTGTGTTTGTCAGGTGTCGTGCTCCGCGAGCGGTGGCTCCTGGCGACTTCCAATGCCCGCTCGCTGCATCTCACTTAAGCTTACCGCTCGTGGCAGGCTTACAATGACCGCGCGCTGCTCGCGGCATCTCCTCACTTCTGCTTACCGCTCGCGGCGGCTTCCAATGCTCGAGGCTGTATCCATTCCCCCCAGTAACCTTCTGGACGTGCAGCGTGTTTAAATAGGCACCCGAGTCAGTCACCTGACTCGGCACGCAATAGTGACATCACAGGTTAAAGTGGGAGGTACAAGTACCTCCCACGTGTGATAATTAACTCTGATTGGAAGTTAGCCAATCGGAATGGCCCTAAGCAAATATAAACTTACCTTTCCCATGTCACCTTGCCCTGTTGTGGTCTTTGATAGCCCAATAGCGCGTTATACTGTGTCTAGTTATCTGGTTACCTAACTTTGGCTTGTCTCACGTTTTCTCTGTCTTCCTTGATCCTTCACCTCGACTTGTCCTTTTGTATTCCTGTTGTCCTCTGTTTTCCTTGATCTCGGCTTGTACTCTGACTACTCTCTCTCTCTTTTGCATAGCCTGGCCACTCTAAGGACCGGTATTGCAATGCTGTATGTCTGTGATCTGTCTTCTTGTTTAGGTTCCCCAGATAACCATGACAGTTGGAGTATCTGAGTTTTAACATGGGAATTTGGCATGTTAGGCATGTGTGCATGATTAATGATATTGGAACAGGTGGCTGTATTATAAGAATTTAATATGTTTTGGTGTTTTCAGTTTTCCTTTCATTATGTTCCTTGAATCATTTTCATTACATTACCTCCCACCACCTGTTTTTTTTTGTTTTTTTTAACCTCAAAATTTGGGAGCCACCATTTTGTTTGTCCCTTTCCATGATATGTGTTTTATGCTTCTGTGGAATTCTTTTAAATGATTGATTCTGGGTAAATTAGCTTGGCAACTGAAACGTAATTTTCCCTAAAGTCCACGCTTTGTCAAAGATCCACACTCCCCATTAGAAAAAGTAGCACTTACTTTATCTCATGTTTTACAAAAAAGGTGACTTTAAAAAAAAAAAAAAAGCGTGGGGAATTAAAGGGGCAAAAAAACAAATAATTTAAAAATAAAAAATTACAATATGACAGTGCCGCTTTAAGTAAATGGCTGAGGATATTAGGTGGTTTAAAATGTGTATTATTTTGTTATGGGAGAGGAAAAATAGGCCGTTTAAAAAACAATGTGTAGCAGGAATGATGAGTTAGTGTGTTTTCCATTGCAGTCTTATTAACAACCTGGTTTTGATTTGCAGTAGTGTCCATATATTCAGTTTATGATGGTGATAAGGACATTTTCAAAGCCTCAATCGGTTTCTCCCATGTTAAGTTGTAACTGTTAATGGAATATCCTCACCCTGTTGCTTAATCTCCTTGTGTGCTGTTTAAATGTTCTTAACGGCCATTTTATCCAGCTATGTGGAAGCGGCCATACTGAAATGCAACAAATTTCTTTCTAAAACGTAAGCAATACTAGACTGTAGAACTCCTATTTCAATTTTGACTGTCTTTAATGTAATTAAATGGGTCCACCTCTGTGTTTCCTTTCCTTCATGTCATTGTCTTCTGCTTGTATTGATCTCCTCTCCCAACCTCCAGGATGGTCCCATCACTGATGCAATGAAAAATCTCCTACTTTTCACTCTATGGATTTTATGAATGTTATTCATGGAAATCTGTTCCCTTCTGGATATGCTGTGCTTTTAAATTTGTGTTCTAACACCCAACTTTCTTTATACTAGGAGCTCATTTTAGCATTTTACTTACGTGTCTGGTCTCCCCCTCTTTTTGTATCCCAATATCCTTCCACTTTAAAACAATTCTAATGCGCTATCTTTGTATATTCCTTACCAGGGGAATATCTGAGAGTCTTCCGCGACTCACATCCATGATCAAAGGGGTGGGCGATCCTCTTGTAGCGGTTTATGCCAGAGCGTATCTGTGCAGGGTAATAATACATATTGATTTTGTGCATTTGTATTTAGTTTTGGAAGATTTCCCAAAATGAATCCCCCTTGTAAATCTTGTGTTACAGGTTGGCATGGAAGTAGCTCCTAATGCCAAAGAAAGTCTCAACCGGAACTTTTTCGACTTTTTGCTCACATTTAAACAAGTAAGGGAAACAAATACTTTTCAATATTATTAGAACATTGTACAACGCAGAATGTAAACCTTTCTTATCTGGCTAATGACATCTAAAATAAAAGTAGGCATTCAGACGCCACTAAACCATTTCAATTTTTATTTTTATTTTTAAAACCTAAGCTGGTTATATTGGAAAAATATCTATAAACAACAGTTGAAACAAATTAGGATGGGAAGAGGATGAGTAAGAATGTATGGAGGTAAATAATGAATTATTTTAGAAAATAATTCTCTTATAGCATTTGTTTACTGAAAATTATAATAACAAAGTATTTAACCAGGAAAGGTACATTCAGATTGCTCTCGTTTCCAAGAACGTCCCGGGGATGTTACCTTAGCCCAACATCCACGGGTTGTTACTATTACCAATTTAATGGTTAAAGGAATAAATATAATGGAGACATTCATTCTGTTTTAGTTGTATTATGTAGCGATTAAAGTTCTATCATTATTGTGAGTTTTATCAAACTTTCAGAAGTAAGCATTTTGGAAAATTTTATTACACATGAATTTTGTTGAATATGTAATAGAAGATGCAGCCTGTTTCATAGTTCTTGCTTTTTTTTCCCTCTATTTATTATAATGCTTTTGAGAACTCAATCTTGTTCCCATTGTATGCAAATACATCTATTAATTTAACAGAGCCTTTGGTAAACACGATGTTGCCATGACAACAGAAGCATGTAGTGGGCTTAAATGGGCACATAGGCTGCCCAGGTTGGCTAAAGTAGACCTGCTTAGATTAAAGGATGATTGGAGTGGAAAATTGCTTTTTGGTTACTTTAAGAGAAAGATAAGCGTAAATAAACAATGATGAGAGTCCATTTACGAAGGATGCAAGATGGGTCCTTCCTAAACCCACCTTCTAGTGTGAAGCCACATGCATTTTTAGAATGAGGTGGACAAAATCGTTCCTGTACATAGTGGGTTGTGAAATGAGATCCTGCAGCCATTTTCTTCAAAAGGCATAATTAACAGCAATGATGCCAGATAGCAAGTGTGCAACAATGATATATCGGTAATGAAGGTGCCTCTTCCACTCGTCATTGTACGGCCTTTGTGTGTCTTTGCAGTCAGGGTAGGTAGAAGTCTGAATGGAAACTCACAATACTTTAAACACATGTACCACACCAGCAGAGTTATTCACCCAAGTGAGAATTCAAGGTGAATTCAAAGCGAATCTCAAATTTAAGGTCAAAATAACTGAACTGAAAGAAAATCTATATGTCAGCTATGCTTTCTGTTTGGATAAACTGGCCTTAAATCTGAAATTCTATTTGAATTCTCACTTTAGTAAATATTGTACATGTTTTGGATTCTCTTACTTATCAGGATCTTCTCGAATTTATTGATTTAAAAAAAATTAACAGTCCCTGAAACAGCTTGTTATCTTCTAATACTGTAAAATAGAAACATAGAATGTGACGGCAGAAAAGAACCATTCGGCCCATCTAGTCTGCCCAATTTTCTATATACTTTCATTAGTCCCTAGCCTTCTCTTATAGTTGGGATAACCTTATGCCTATCCCACGCATGCTTAAGCTCCTTCACTGTGTTAACCTCTACCACTTGAACAAGGTTAAAATGAGTAGACAATGAGAATTAAACTGATTTCCCAGATCTGCTTTTTTAGGTGTTTTTTTTTTTTCCATTCTATCCATGTAGTTAATTCTCTATTACATTTGTTCTACCTTCCTCAGATCCACAGTGACACAGTACAGAACCAGCTGGCCGTGCAGGCGGTGGAAATCCCAATTTACCTTACCTTGTACTCCCCAGCTATAGATTGGATATTGCAATGTATTGCTTACCGTGCTCCAGAGGTAAATATTTATTGATGCAGCATGTTTCATCGATGTTATGGAGTGACTTTGTCTGAACATGAGTGAGGGGTGGTATAGCTAAAAAAGAGAACTATAGATCCACAGGTATTTAGTCCAAAACATCTGGAGTACCGAAGGTTGTCTATGCCTGCTCTAGAATATACAAACATGTATTCCTAGTACTTGATTGTTATTATAGCTATTTAGACTCATGCCCCCCGTTAATTTTACTTCTCTTGTTACTTCTGGCTTGCCAATCTCTCTGCAGCCTCCCCCCTCCTTCTCTGGCTGAGATCATCACCACTGATTCGATGCTTCCCTGTAGGGAGGCTATTGCTTTGCCTATCAGCATCTCCTCATAGAGGAGCATTTCTATGGGGAGTGTTCACACAGGGTAGCTGATTACTATCAGTGTTTTAGGGGAACAAGTTCAAAAGCAATCCACTCTTGCATTCATTCCAGGAACAGAAGCGAAATGGGATTTGAAGTTAAAGATCTTGTTCTCTACCACTGATATATACAAGGCCATAGTGTCTGATCTACTATTTGTATTATTATTTAGTTTTAATATTATAACCTTTTATTAATAAAGAAACACTGTACAGTGAGTACAGGTATAGTTCAATTGAGAAATCTGGATACAACAGTTGCCCTGAGCCGCGAGAATTATATTAATTATGGCTGACGAGGAAAAATTGTGTATTTTATGTATTTTATGTATGTGCATGGTAAAGGATGCTTTTGACAATCACTTTTTCCTCTAGATGGCAGTGGAGCAGAATAAGAGCTCATAAGCCGACTATTCTTTGAAAAGACTTTATTGGATGGTACAATGACATAAGTAGCATGCTCCCTGTACCTGCTGCCTAAGTCCCATTTTACAGCAGCATGTGCTAAGCCACAAAAAAAAAAAAAATCAGTTTATAGTTTGTGTCCATAATTCACTGTGTTTCAGCCTCAACCTTTTTCATAAAAAACATTTACACCAAATGTTCTACTTGATGATAGGCTTAACGCAAGGAAGAATAATTGGCTATTTCCTGCACAGTTGAGATGTCCTTTTTTTTAATTTATTTTTTTAACACAATCTTTATTGACAAGTACAATGTGCCCAAATCATTGTAAAAGTCTAAATGGTAATGTGAATGAGATGGTAACATGAACATACTCAAAGTAGCTAATTATTATTCATAAGAACCTCTGTTGTTTTGCATGACGTTATTGTATGGCTGGTAAGAAATACTGTGTTTGGTCTCTGCACTTTTTTGAGGAGTGCTTCAACAATGAATCCAATGAACAACCCTATGTATACCCAATGTAATCTGTTTTTTTTTTTTTTTTACCTTCTTCATGTGCAGGACGCAGGGGTTAGCTGTTTTAAAGCAGCATTCTTAACTTTTTTTATTTGTTGAACTGATAAAAAAAAAAAATGCTTAGAGGGAACAATTACAAAGATTTAAAAATTGGTTCAGTCCGAAAATCTGAATGAAAATAGAGGAGTGTTTCATTACACTATATTGTACTTTGCTTTAAAATTCGTGGGTTGTATTTTTTTTCCTTTCTAAAATTGATGTTAAAACTTTACGATTATTGTTAAATGTGATGTGTTCATTTTTCTGCACTTTTCAGTGTATGTAATCTGGATGTTGAAAGCGCAAATAAAGTGTTATTTTAGTATCACTATACTTTGATGTTTGCTAATCCTCGTTAATGATATTCTAGGCCCTGCTGACCGAGATGATGGAACGGTGTAAGAAACTTGGAAATAAGTAAGTATTGCATACGTGCCTCCATGGATATACAACAATATACACAAATACATATATAGTTGTTTTTTAATAATCGCCTGGTAGATCCATACAACTGGTTCTTTTACTTGTTCTACCAAAGCGAGGGAGTTGAATGTGCTTTTATTGAAGATTGTATAGCTATGATGTCTAGGTGAGTGACCATATCCACCAAATTTTCCTGGACATTATTGAATTTCCAGTCTTCCCTTCTACATATGACAGACTACGTTTACCATAATTCCCTGCCAAACCGCTTTAGTATGACATTTAGAAGGCCTCTGTTCTCGATCTTGACTTTACACTAATAGCTGTGAATATTGCGTCTCAGAATTATCACAACGTGAAATTATAATCCAGGAAATGGTCAGTTGAATTAGGCATGTTTACAAGGTTTTAAAGTTTGAACTGCAAATGATTGCCTGTCACTGCTCTCACTTTTTCTTCTCCACCGCAGACTCTGTTAAATATCCTTCATAGATTGGCAAGTTTTGATTGCCAATCTAAATTGGACAAAATGTGGTAGTTTAACTTTAAACCCAAACTTTCCAGACTTGAGCAGATGCATTCAGTCACAATATACATTGCTAATGGAGAATTGCAAAGTCCAAGCAAGGGACTCTGATGCAGGCATCTGGTAGTTCCTCTGTTTGTGTCAGACCACTTGAAATTGGTTTGATGCAGAACTGGGGTGGGATGGTGCGAGTAACCTACTAGCTTCATAACTAGTGATGTCCCGAACGGTTCGCCGCGGACGGCAAACATAAACATAAACTTTGACCCTGTACCTCACAGTCAGCAGGCCCATTCCAGCCAATCAGCAGCAGACCCTCCCTCCCAGACCCTCCCACCTCCTGGACAGCATCCATTTTACATTAATTTTGAAGCTGCATTCTTAGTGAGCTGTCCAGGAGGTGAGAGGGTCTGGGAGGGAGGGTCTGCTGCTGATTGGATGGAATGTGTCTGCTGACTGTGAGGTACAGGGTCAAAGTTTATGTTTATGTTCGCCGTCCTCGGCGAACCGTTCGGGACATCACTATTCATAACCACTACAATTGGTTGTAGCGTTTATGGTGCTTAGACTGCTCCTTGAGACTGTCTTAATGATGACCTGTGATTAATGTGCTCTGCGTTAGAAAATTTATTTTTACTCCCAACAGTATTCGGTTATGTAAATCAGAATTGCATCTTTTCAGAATGTTTTATTTTTCCATTATTCTTTGGCATAGTGGATTATGTATACATTGTGGAGTTTTCGTGGAAACCTGTAGAATTAATCTTTTCTGCGATCTGAAAAAAGACAGCTCAATCAGTCAAACATACATGGATCGTTTATTTTGTGGCCAGACAAGTAAAGGCCAATAAGTTAAACCGTTCTCATGGATTGGCCAACACCATCCTCATATAGAGGAAAACATAACGTTAAAGAGCAAGAAGACGACTTCTGCTATGCAAACCCAAATTACAAATGTATTTTTCATCTATAGCAATATTAGGGGTGGCGTATGGAAATGTTCATTATTTGTTAACGCATAAGCCTTGTCTTGATTTATGATTGCAGAATTTTTGACCTAAGCATTCAACAAGGGACAATCTGTGCATTTGCTCTACAGCTTAACATGTTATGAGATATGCCCGCCCTAGTAACAACTGAAATAGTATGTAGATATTTTTCAGGTTGCTTCCATATTTATTGAACTTTTCCTTATTTCCCCAGTGCTTTGCTGTTGAATTCTATCATGTCTGCCTTTAGAGCAGAGTTTATTGCTGCAAGATCGATGGACTTTATCGGCATGATTAAAGAATGCGATGAGTCTGGGTTCCCCAAGGTATTTTCACTAATCGCTATGACCCTGTTCACAGTGACTCACAGAGATACATTTTTAACTTTACAGCCAAGAATCCCCTTGATTGAAAAAAAATATGCTTTTCTTGCCAAAATTCCACACATGCTCTTAATTAGGACTGTATCCCAGCTTGCGTGTGATAATGTGAGATACATTATCGTTGGTGAAAAGCAGGAGTTGAAGTTTCAGAGAATAAACCTATTTTTTTGCTCCATAGATACAGTGTATCTAAAGACCTTTGTGAAGCAATGTTTGGCCATAACATAATACATATACAAATTCTTCATTAATGATGTAAGGCCCTTCACCAAACTTTTCACCTTACATGTAAAGAAAACATGTCTTCGCATGGATAACGAGGAGGTCCCATGATAGCAAGAAGAATGAGAAGGGAGGCACACGCTAATAAAAAAGAATAATTTTTTGCTGATGAAATCATACACACGTTCCTTTTTAGAATTCTGGTTAATAATTTGTATGTTTCTTCTACAGAGGAAAATTTTATTTTTGTAGATCACATTTAATTAAAAATATAAATAAAATGCCAACACTCTCTGGACATATCCCACACTATCCTTTTTACCTTACATGCTTGTTGTGAAAGCTATACCTTAAAGACTCCCCTGGTGGGTTTCGCTACTTTGTTTTTCTTAATCAATTACCTTAAATATATGCAAAAATAATAAATTAAAATAAATAAAACATGAACCACATTTGAATGTCATGTTCAGATTTCTAAAATGAGCTTTCTCCACACCAGGAAGTGACCGACATTTACTGTACTTTCTACTGAGCTTTGCCCAAAGGCAGTGCTTGATGGACATAGCAAGGGTTTCTGTGAGTTGTAGTTCATTTTCCAGCCTTCTGCTGCAGAAAGCGTATTGCTTAACTACCACTCCCAGAAATTGATGGTGAATACACTGGAATTTAAAGGAATCTCATCAACCAAATGCCGGAAAAATGAGTTGGTCAACATAGATGTATTTACTATAGCATTTTTGGCATTTGAGTGGTCTGATTGTAGTTAAGTGATTATGTTACATAAAGAGTAGAGATAAAAAAGGGACGACACTCTACACAAGCAGCTAAGAAGACTTAGGGCTATGGGATCCAAGGAAGAACAAGGACATAATTGCTAACTACTACATACATTATTTGGATAATGAAAATGTTATTATATTGGTTCTTTCAATTTTGCCAGAATTAATGTTTGGGATTAAGACCATAAAAATAGATAGAGGTTAATGTTCTTATTATATTCCTTTTAGCATCTACTGTTCCGTTCTCTCGGATTAAATGTAGCTCTGGCTGATCCGCCTGAGAATGACAGACTCCAGATTTTAAACGAAGCCTGGAAGGTGATCACCAAGTTAAGAAACCCTCAGGTATTTGTTTTATAAAATGATTTATATTGCTATATATTCGGTTTACTATGGAAATACCAGTGGCTGTTGGTTTCTTGTCTCTCTGCTCCATGTTTAAAAGCCCTTGTATATCTCTGTTATAAGTCCAAAACATAATAAACTGGTGACCAAAGACAATGCATGGGATGCGTGTTCACAGTGTGTATTTAATCTTGGTTTTTAATTTATGGTATTTTTCTGTCTGCAAATACAATTTGAACAAAGTGGGTAAACATCATTATTTTAGATCCCTATGCTTCTTTTACATAAAATTCTACTTCTTTAACTTTTGTAACAGCTATAGCAGTATACAGAATATATCCTTTTATATTTGTATTCTAATCGGTTTTAAATGTTTAGAAACACATGAAAACAGAGATATTTGGGACTACTCTGTGTCTGCATAGTGGGAGGATGAGGATGATTTGTATAGTTCTATAGTAATCCAGATCTGAAAAACCTCATGTCCAGCAAACCTTTGACACAGCTCTGTTTATAAAAACACAGAAATTAGCTCAGCGCTGCCAGCTCCCTCTACTCTTGGTGGAAGCAGTGGTTATGGTATTTAGCCACAATGTATAAACAAAACCACGTGCCTTTGCTGTTTGTCCAAAAGCAGATGAAAAGCCAAATTTTAAGTAATTTTGAGTTGTGCCGCAAAAAGTAACGTTTGAGAAGTACAAAACAAAACCTTAGGGACCTGCGAACAGGAAGTGGTGCTCCAGAGACTGGGACCAGTACACATTTCCAAATAACCATGCTCTAATTTAGAATCCGGGCATACAAGACATGGAAATACATTTTTAATAGAGCTAAACAACTATTCAAATAAGGGTATTAACCCCGAAGCGTTCACCACATAGACAGAGAGTAACCCGCCGCAGGTGGCGATTAAACACTAGGGCCCCCAGTCGCCCACATGATGGGCTATGCTTGGTCTCCCTGAGCCTCCAGGTCCGTGGCTCGAAGACTTTGGCCCTCATGCCGGCCTGGGGCCGAAAGGATGGACTGTACTGCTCCCATCGCGCCACAACTCGTGTTGCACCACCTGCCCCCTTCATGAACATCCCCCACGTGGGCATTGGCTAAAACTGGACTGGCTGACTGGGGCAAGCTGCCGCCGGCCATACCAATGGTACAGAGCCACGACAAATTTACGGGATTCAGTGGTCTTCCCCTTGAATGACTCCGTGATGTGCATTACGCAGATAACCTTTTTGTACATGCTTAGTTAGTCACGCTTCTTGCTTAACATGTTTAATTTACTATGCATTTTTATGTTACATTAGTAAATTGCACTAGCATTGACTCCAGCAACCCTTGCCTGCCACGCGGCATCGCTTCCTAAGGGCAACATCGGTATTATGTCCAGCACTATCCCACATGCTTAGCCTGGAGGGTAGCTTTCTAATTTGCAGCTATCTCTACCTCTAACCTATCAGACAGCATTACTGTTTAGCAGCACGCTCAGTATGTTATGGGAGCTCCCTAAAGCAACTACACCCTGTTGTGCAGCATCGCAGTCTAGTGGCACTCACAGTAAGGTTACAGTACTGACTAACGTGGATTTACCTACTACTAATCTACCTACCAGTCGTTTATAGGACAACTGTGACAGGTCAATGTAACCTGAATTATTCATTCTGTCTACTCAACATAAAAATGAGGCAATGCTAAATGTAGGGGAATTGCTCAATACCATATGTACGTCTTTGCCACCCTGCAGCTACGCATCCCTACTGATGTATCTTGAGTTTACCTCTATACCCAAGCCTGTTAACGCTTTACTGTTATTCTTCATTTATTTTATTTTATTTCTATTTTCCTTATCAGTCTAGATAGTTAAACTCTATGTGAGAATATGTCATACTGCCAACCTAGACTTGTAACTGTAGCCTGTGATATGCACTAAAACAAAAAAAAATGAGATGTCTTTCTTGCACAGAGCATTATCCGACTAATCTTGTATATTGATCTTGATACCTTGATATTCCTTCTGTGTACAACGCTACCATCTCAATAAAAGAAAGATTGAAAAAACAAAACAAAAAAAAAAACATTTTTTGGACACAAAATCAAATTTCTTGCCTAGGCTTTGCTATGCACTGCTCCCTGCCTTCACTAATAATGCCAGAGATCCAGAGGTTCCTAAGCTTCTGCTAGCTCTCCTGAACTAAGCCGTGCAGTACAGGTCTGGGCTCATTGGCTGAGAGCCTCAGCTGCTTAGGAACTTCTGTCTCTCCGGTACCCAGCGGACTCCCGGTAAGTTTGACTTCTTAAACTAAGCTGTAGTTGTTATAGTACTTGGAATGTTTCTCTAACAGTTATGTTTTCAAAGTCAGATATAACTCCAAAAAAGAAAGGCCTTTTTGAAATGGTTGTCTCCTTTACCTGGCTAAATTCCATTTCCAAGTGTGTTTTTGAAGTCACATTTCACATCCATAATTGGTTGTGTACTGTGTTGTAAATTGTACTTCTTCGGTGTGTTCTATTCTCTCTGCAGAATCTACTATTCTACCATAACTTTTTTTTTCCCCTAAAGCTTTCCTTATGTTATTTTTTTGTTTGTTTAGGATTACATTAATTGTGCAGAAGTGTGGGTGGAGTATACATGCAGACATTTCACAGTAAGTGTTGGATATTGTAACTGTGTACACAACTAAAATACATTTTGTAATTGAGCTAATTGTCCCAACATTTGAAAGGGGTGGAAATCTAAATACTCTAATTTTGCGCTTGTCTTTTTCGTAATCCTCACCCATGGACTGCTTTCATAGAAGATAATGTCCTTAGACCTACACGTTAGTCCCACTGAAGCTCATAGTGATGTCCCAGCACTCCCCCTGCCTATTGTTAATCTGTGTTGTTTACTTTGCAGAAGCGGGAGGTGAATACTATACTGTCTGATGTCATCAAACATATGACTCCTGACCGAGCATTTGAAAATGCATACCCACAGGTAATTATTGAAGCATTGTTTGTACCCCAGTTTTAATTCCATTGTTCTGCATAGTAAAACATAGCCGTAAGACTCTTGAGAATGACCAAGAACAGAGCTCTGAAAATACCATTGACTATTGGTATAATATACAAGTATATTCTATTATTATGATTATTACGCAAATTAAAGGTCCTTGTTTTTTTGGGAGCTCTTTTTTTTTTTTTTTGATGGAAGATCAAAGTCCGGGTTGACCTCACTGAGGAACCAACCTGAGACCCTGAGTAACTGCAACTCGAATACTAACAACTCCTTAGTCACTTACCCCAGTAAACTCTATCAAAGAGTTCACTGGGGAGATCAATTCAGTTTAGTTACATACAATACACATTTACCTTCTTAGCACCGTGTCCAGGCAGACATCACCCCATGAAACTTTTGTCTGAGCTTTTTCATTGCTGGTTTTGTGACTTGCGCTGGCTTGCCTGACCTTTCATAGTTCCAGAGTGTTTTGATCACAGCGCTTGTAGACATGTAGTCAATGATGTGCATGCTGGGTAACAAGAAAAGTTGAATATTAAAGTCAGATTTTAGAGATACTGCCTTACATGCTTTTTTTATATCTTTAACTGATTTGAGCCTCACGCTTGCTGTGAATATGAATCCTGGAGCACTCTTGTGTTTTCAAAAGGCAATTCTTTACCTCTCCAAAAAATAATCAAGAGGACAAAAAAATAAGTTTGGTCTCATTAATGAAAGTGAACAAAGATCTAAAGCCACACAAGGATTTATCACATTTTTAATATATATATTAATATTTCTAAGATGGCTAGAATTGCAGGGAAAACTAACGCTGGCAGAAGTGTAATTCTTTTTTTTATTGGGATATAAGTTTCACGGTGGACTGAAACCCAAGGCTATTTTATGGTGCGTGAATAGAATGAATATTTAAACATTCCATACACTGATTATTATATATACATAAAGGCTGAGTGTGTGAAAACCACCAATTAAAGCCGTGATCTGCCAACTTCCATGTGCTTCCTTCTATTCTCCAGCGACAATACCTCACTATTTATTTTCATTTTCTTTTTACAGCTACAGTCAGTAATCACTAAAGTCATTTCTCACTTTCATGATTTCTCCATCCTTTTCTCTGTGGTAAGTATGTTTTTCATTTTTAACATTTATTTTTTTTTCTCTCCAAAAGTGTCATTTATAAAAGTAAACAAAATTCACGTTTTGCTCGTGTTCTAGGAGAAATTCCTTCCGTTTTTGGATATGTTCCAGAAAGAGAGCGTTCGAGTTGAAGTTTGCAAGCGGATAATGGAAGCATTTATTAAGTGAGTGTGTTGGCTCTTATCTTTTGTTGCATTGTTATTGTTCTCAGTTACGGAAAAGGGGTTTATGAAACGGATATTATCGCAAACCTGATCTGTAAATTTTTATTTGTAAAAAATATTTTTCCAATTCAAAAAACAAACAAAAAAAAGCGTATATTCAAAGTTATATACAGTATAAGGAAAAGTAGGGACTACTTTTCTTTATATAGAACTAACAGGTCTAAAAAAGGGTGCATTTGTAGTCAAGCTCCATTGCCTTTGTGAACTTTGTCATTGGTCCCTCATTCTAGTACGCGCATCCCTCGAGTGCCTCATCATGTCCTGTTGCAGTGCGTCAGTGCTCTCCATGCTGACTCTCGCGCATGCTCAACTATGGTCAATGACTGACATCCGCTGCCACCATCTTAGAAAATTAAAGATGGTGGCACCAAGGAAGAAGACCCGGAGGGGCCGGCGATCTGTTAGTAATGTTAAGTAAAGTCCGTTCCTTGGTCTGAAAATGGCTGGGTGCATCAGGGGTCACATATCGAAAAATCCCTCGGCTTTAAGCTGAGAGATAAATCGAGTGACAGACAGGACACAGATGGTGATTTTGTTGGGCAGATGTACAAAGCAGCGATAAGTAACTTTTACTCTAGTGAGTGACATTTCTTGATTCAGTGTTATGAGGTCACATTTCACTACTTTGTCTACTAGTAACAATACTTTTATATATTTCTTTTCTTTTTGTAAACACCAACTGATTATATAAAAAAATGCAAATATAAGATTAATTGCTATTCAATGTATTTGCTTGATTAGGCACCAACAAGAAGTAACAAAGGACCCCGTTATTCTCAATGCTCTCCTTCACGTTTGTAAAACCATGCACGACTCTGTAAAGTAAGTCTCTGACATGTTTTTCTTTTGGCTGATTATCACTCTGGTCTGGTCCTCTCCATAAGCATGTGCAAGGCGTGTGCCCAGGCTCATGCATGACCAAACTGTACTCCTATTTTGTTTCGTTAGTCCTGTAACACACTTCTTGTCTTACTTTAGGTTAGCTTATTAGATTAAAGGGAAACAAATTCTTAAAATTGATCGCCTGTGTGTAGGCCAGGGTATTACTAAAGAGAAAATGTGTTATTCTGTGCCTTGTTTATTAAGTTTATATTTGAAGGGAAATGGTGCACACTTCTGGGTCACCTTTTGTCATTAATATTTAATTAGTAAGCATGCGCTACTGCTCTTAGTTAACCATTGACTGCCTCTGCTGTCTTTTACGCAACACTTACAGATGTTAATGGACTATGTGATTTCTGAGTCACATACAGGGCTAGTTGTACTTTTTATGACTTGTGGGAACTTGCAGGAACAGGTGAGCAAAAGGGTTCAAACCTATGTTCTGTTTTATTTATTTTGCGCTGTTTTTATTATCCAAATCCTACCAGGTTTTTGGGATTCTAGTATAGAGAGGTTTTTTTGTATCCATGCATTATACACTGCTACTTGCACAATCCTTTTCTTCTTACGTAAGGAATGACTAGAACTATAAATTGTCCAGAACCATCAATATTAAAGTTTCTCATGTCTCCTTATTTTTCTAGCATTTCTGATAATGTACATTGGGGACGTCACCTATTTTTATTCCTATTCTGATTGTACATTTCCAAGATTTCGTTTGACATTTTCATAAAATGACATATGACAAATTGCTGATCATATTCTCTGTATCCTGATACATTTACCTGTTGTCAGAAAGAGTAGTCATGTAGTCACATTCACCATGATAGTTACAAAGTTACATAACTGAAAAGAGACATGCATCCTTCAAGTTTAGCCTTTCTCACTTCTGTTTTTGCTGTTGGTCTAAAAAAGGCAAAAAAACCCCCCCAAACCCCAGTTTTGAAGCACTTTCCAATTTTTCAGCAAACTAGGGGGAAAAATCCTTCTTGACCCCAGAATGGCAGTCAGATCTCTCCAAAGATCAAGAAGCTGTTAGTTACCCCACAAGCATGATTCTCGAAAGACCTCACCGAGCATCATTAAAAATATAGTTCACAAATATTTTCGGTTCCTAGGTTAACCAGGGTTGTCAGGTCTTAACAAAATATTGTTCTTCTATTTACACTGTCACATGCTTTATGGAACTGGAAAGGTTTATATAGACTCTGTTTGTCCACGCAGTGCGCTGACTCTAGAGGATGAAAAGAGAATACTGTCTCAGCTCATTAACGGATTCATTCGAATGGTGAACCTTTTTCACTTTTTTTTTTTTATTCCTCTATTTTCACACAGTACTACTGTTTAATAAATTGTTGATCTCGTTAACATATTTCCTATGTTTAACATCTATACGGTTTAAAAGGACGTGTGAGATATTTGCATAAACTGCTGTTACACTGCAACCATTTTATGTGGCAGACCAGCATAAGATATTTTATAGGCACTGGTACCCACAGTTAGATATTTAGTTTTTCAACAAATCTACAGATATTTAAAAACCTCCCGTCTCTTTCATGAAAAGGAAAGAAAGCTAGTTTTACTATATTTTTGTAGTCAATTACTTTTTATGAAACGCTGCAGTTCAAAAACAAGTCAGTAGATGGCGTGGTGTACCAAAAATAACATTTGCTTTTTTTAGACTTGGCATATGTTTATTATTATTATTTTTATTATTATTATTTAAATCTGTAGTTCATCTTAAAAAAAATATAATATTAAATGGGGTCTAATGGTGCTTTAAAATGGGTCTCGCCCATCTTCCTGGATGTGGTTAATTTTGAGAAAGCAAACATAAATGTGATTATATGGAGATATGTCTCCTGTCCAGTCTTCTGCCTATCCCTCTTAGTTTTTAGAGCTCTGGGATCACAATATTATATAAAATTATATAAAAAGTTAATAATTTGGCACTTTTTTTTCAGTGGGGTTGTTTAAGATGCAGTCATTCTTGGAACAAACTCAAGCCATTATGACTGACACGAATTACTAGGCCCAAATCAACTTACTGATTTGTCAGTCTTAGACAGACACATATTGCAAGAACAATGTTGAACGTGACCATGTTTTTTTTATATATATGTTTTGTTTAATTATCTTCTCAATTCAAGACATGACTGCCTAATTGCCTTCTTTTTGTGTCCTATCTCAAGGTCTCGTTTGGGCGGGATTTTGAACAGCAGCTTAGTTTTTACGTGGAGGCCCGATCAATGTTCTGTAATTTGGAGCCTGTCCTGGTTCAATTAATTCATGTGAGTTATTGTTACAATCCCCATAGTATTGGTCTGTTCAACAGCCAATTTACTTATTCAGAGAAATATGTACTATCTAAGATAATAAATGTATTTTTCTTTCTCTTGTGAATATGCGTCACTGCTGACATTAACCAGTTTATATAATTTTATCCTTTAAAAAAAATTTGTTGAAAATGATGTAAAGTTAACCTCGTCCGCCGACATGGCTTTTAGCATAATTAACTGTGTCACTGTATACCATCTTTAATTTGTTTTGCTTTCAGTGTAATTTCTTACGTTCAAGGCTTTTCGTTTTAAACGTTTTCCCTCTGCAAGCCACATTTTGACGACATGTCAGGCAAAACTTGTTTCCAGATGAAACCATGGGAGCTTTGACTTATATGTCATTCCTCTCCTCACAGCACAAAGGACAGGAACCTGAACTATTAACCCCTTAAGGACCAAACTTCTGGAATAAAAGGGAATCATGACATGTCACACGTCATGTGTCCTTGAGGAGTTAAATTAATATAAATAGCACTGCCCACTCCCTATCATGCCGTCATTTCCCTGTCCTTCACAGTAGTTAAGAAGGACCTGATTTAGAAGGCCAATATTTTACTTGATGCTCACCAGGCCCATCCATTTTCCTATCTCATCCTCCTAGAAAAGGCCAATCACATTCCACCACAGGAAGTGAATAAGTTATTAGAGATATTTTTGCCAGAAGCTCAAGGAAGCAAGGTGAAGGGTCAGAGTAGGACCCGTCTAGGGGGGTCTGCCTTGGCGTTGGCAGGCGGGCATTCCCTCCAGTGGCCATTGGAGTAACTAAATGACCTCCATTTGTCTAAAAATACATAGGGATTAAGGAGAGAGCGCAGGTAACTTTTTCTTTTCTTTGGTTTTTACTATATGTATTAGCTGATGTGTACTGTAATCATTGCTGCTGCCCAGGAGTGATGGGAGTGAGCACAGGACTTTTCTTTTTGTATTTGTATTCACTTTTTGTATCACACAGCTAGGTTACAATGCTGCCGCCCATCCCGTGTGTTCCCTATTAAGGGTTAATAAGTATATAAAAAATACCCCTTTCTGTCTCATTAGAGATATTTTTGCCAGAAGCTCAAGGAAGCAAGTTTAAAGGTCAGGGTAGGACCCGTCTAGGGGGGTCTGCCTTTACGTTGGCAGACGGGCATTCCCTCCAGTGGCTATTGGAGTAACTAAATGACCTCCATTTGTTTAAATATACATTGGGATTGAGGAGAGAGCGCATGTAACCTTTTTCCTTTATGTCCTCACAGTAACTCATACATAGAACATTTAATGGAGTTCTATTGATGCTGGGTTTCACACCAGCTCATATACAGAGATAATATCAGTCACATATAATGACGCCATGTCTTCACACCAGCACATATAGAGAGGTGATCTTGGTCTTAAATGCTGATTTAGATATGAAAAAAGATCCAAACAATCTATTACCTTCTGTTTTCTAGAAGTAGCCGGCTTATATGCTAAAATGCACACGTATCATCAATAAATGCCACATGCCTTGATAGGAACAAGTGTCTGCGTGGAACATGTTATGCAGTGTACTTCAAGCAGTCACCCAGGGAATTCCTTACTGTGGTATTGGCCACTTCTCTGTCTTCAGGACTGTGATATTTAGGCAGACTTTATACAGCCAGGATAACCATTATCAGCACTCTTTTGTAAAATGCATCATTAAACTTACCCAAATGCTCACCAAAAACCTCCTAAATGTGACCGATTTGCAAGAAAGAAGCCCAAATGTAAGCAACAGGGAGGAACTGAAAGAACAGAAAACCAAGTACATATAGTCTTTAAGCTAACTTACTAATGTACTTACTTGAGTTGGCAAACATTCTGAACTGCCATGGAGACAGATGACCTGCTGCAGGCCTGTATTTAAGCAGAAAATGTGGATTTGAACAACTGACAGCCTAAGCTGGTTAAACTATAGGCTTCCATCTGCACTCCATGTGCCATTCATCATCACCAGTGGGGGAAGGTTTAAAACAGACCACGCACATGGTTGTATACATAAAATACCCAGGTAATCACGTTCTATAAATGCTACTTATTGGATCTTTAGGGAAAGAGGGTAAGCCCTGGCTTGGCCACGTGTATCCAATGGACTGCTTTCATCCCCTTCAGGGAGAGAGTTAGGTCAGAACCCCAGTCACTAAAGGAGGTACCCAGGTAGGCGACTCTTACATCTGTGCTGTTGTTAGGTCCTAAGTGATTAGAGTCTAAACCCTGGCTGAGCTTACAATAATATTGGCCTGGTGAGCATAAAAGAAAAATCTAGGCCTGAGATTCATTCCAAAGTGCTGTGAGGGAAAGGGAAAAAAAAAAAAGACTGTCTGATGGGGAGGGTTATAGTAAATAGACGTATTCATTGAATAAGAAAAAAGAAGAAAGAAAGAGGACTAAAATAAGTCCTCAATGGGAGAGTAATAGTAAAGGGGAAGGGGTCCCTACCTTTAATAATCCTAAAGGAAAACACAAATTAAAAAGGACAGATAGGAGAAAGGAATATAAAATGGTGAACCACCTAGAGACAATTGCACAGAACAGGTGTCTACTATCAAAGAGAGACTGCCTGGTAATTTCTAACCTAAAGGTTGAGCACATGCATCCTAAGTCTCATGGGTAACCAATCCAGGTGTATAGAGATGGCTAGTACACTGAGCCTGTATATGGAGGTGAAAAAAGACCCTCTATAGGAGGAGTAAAAAATACCCCAAGTGTCCCAAAGAGCAGACTTCCTATCAATAGAAGACTTCCTCTAATTACCTCGGCACTGTGTTGCCACAAGTGCCTACCCGGATACCTAGTCCCTATACGTCCTAAAAATTACAAAGATTAAATAACTAAATCCATAAGTGCTACCAAAAAGAGGTGGACAAAAAGAAAATAATTAAATAAAATTAAATTAGCTCGACGCGCGTTTCGGCGTTTCAGCACGCCGTCGTCAGGAGCAATAATTCATTGAATAAACTATTTTGACATGATTACACTGAACCAGAAAATTAAGAACTGTTGTAATGTTTATGTTCATGGTCAGAATCTTGTAGACCGGAAATATCTAATGCATTTGTGTACTTTGATTAGCAAGATGTAGTTTGAAGTACATAATAACCTAAATGGTGGGATTCTACAAACTGTAAGAGCAAGCTAATATATGTTGTATTTCAAATCCACTCTGGAGTTTTAACTCGGCAGTTCAGCACCTTGAACATTAACACAAGCCCACTGCCCCACTTAAAAACCTCTAAACTTGTAAAATGGTTTGCTGTTTAAAAATCCGTTTGGATTAAAATCTGAGAATTTAGGTAAAGCAAGAACTGCTCAGCAAATTCCTCAGGGAGATTCAAGATAAACCAATTTGTTCCTGTATCTAAATATCTGGGTCCAGTAAACTCCCCAGCAGCAAACGGAAGTTTTCATCGGTTCTTTGTTTCTTCAAATTTCTAGAGTGTGAATCTTCTGGCCATGGAAACCAAGAAGGTTATGAAAGGAAATCATTCAAGGAAGACTGCTTCCTTTGTTAGGGTGAGTGCTATGTGGGTCACCTCTCTCTTGTGTTACAATTTTTAAAATGTCTCAAGTACACTTTCCACCACAACCATATAAAATAAAACTTATCTAACCATTCAAGAAATCCATTTCATCTGCCTGTCTCTGTCTGTCAAGTAATACACAGGGTAAAACATTATCCTTCCATAACCTACATGGCTAGAATATGTCTTCTTTAAGAGCTGTTCCTGGGACTTTCACTGCTGTAGGGTTATTCCCTAGCGTTTCCTCGAGAAATGTGTTTGTTTTCAGATTTTTTTAAATGGGGTGACCCTCATATACTTTCTTTTACCATTGATCTCAAACTGGCTAATGTGGTTTGGTGAAAACAAGCATATTGATTATATATATTTTATTTTTTTTTTTTTTAAAGCTTAGAGCAAATGGTGATCCTTTGTAGAAGATTTGCTTGCACTTCAGACACTTAGCAAAGTGACACTTCGGTTTTATGTGCGATAGTTGTCTTACTGTCTTACACATCAAAACCAAACCACGCGTTTACTGTATTCCAGTCATTCAATTTAGTTAAAAAAAAAAGGGCCAAATAATGTAACAAACCATGTTCCTCAAGGTCCCCTCTGGAAACCTTACTGTTCTTGTGCAAGAAACAAAAAACTTTTTTGTTCTCGCTTTCATCGATCTTATTTTCTTATTTATCATTGGTGGTAGGGCTTGTAGGCATGTCCTATTATGTTTCATCATATCTATAATATTTTTTAGAAATACCTTTTTTTTTTTTTTAGGGGAAGTATGTCACAAAGTTTTTAAAGATCAAACTATCTGAAACCTATCAGCTAGGACATGCCAATATGTCAGGGTTAGGCCAACATTTTTACTTCTAACAAGGCATGTTTTTGTATACATTTAATTGGCTGTCCAATTACTAAGTTTAATTTTATACCGTAATACAGTAGAGAAGTGGCGGTGCTTTGTATAACTCATATCTTGGTAATTGTATTTCTATTGATGTAGGCTTGCGTTGCCTTCTGCTTTATCACTATTCCATCACTGACCAGTATCTTCACACGGCTGAATCTGTACCTTCATTCCGGCCAAGTGGCTCTAGCAAACCAGTGTCTTTCACAAGGTGAGTGTCTTCCAGATGCCTTTGATACAGTTTTATTCTTTGCTTCTTTGCATATCGTGCTTCTTGGGGATCATCAGTGGAGCATACGTGAACCCTCAGTACAGATGTGCTATGCAAATACAAATTTTGTAAGAAATAATATTAAATGAACACTGTAGGAATCATAACCACTAAAACGTATTTGAAGTATGAAGCCTTAACCACATAGGATTATTGGTCCACAGCAGCCTGATGATGATGAAGATGATCCATGATGATATGGCCGAGGTGAAGCTATGCACACCTTCATGATGTACAAGGGGCAATTGGCTGAACACTCTCAGCCAGCCTCTACCTCAATCCCTGGTATGAACTGGTATGGCACAAAGTAGAATCATAACTCTGCCTCCCCCATATCATTATAGACTGGGCTTTGGCTGCCTGGGATTGAGGGAGCAAAGGTAAGTAAAGTATATACATATATTTTTATTTTTTTTATTTTTTACTCACTACAGGTGGGGGCTGGGCCAAAAGGACACTATACTGCCAGGAATACACATTTGTATTACTAATGCTATTGTGTTCCTTTAGCATCTAAAGCTGTGAATGCTCTATGTCTGTAACAATTACTTTTTAAAATTTAAAACACAATTTTTAGGTTAAAGCCCTGTCCTGCAGCCATCTCTTAACCAAAATAAAAAAATTTGTAGCTTTTGCCTACATCTTGGTTTTAATTGATGAAGACATCTATGGTGAAACCATTACAGCTGTTGCTTTGGCAGTAAAGCATGAGACCCTACAATCACAAGATAATGATTGCTTTGCTGCTTTCTGATTCTAACTCAATATTACCTTTAGCTTTTCAAGTAAACCTATGCCAAGTTCCCCTTTCTTCCATCAAACAGAATCCGAGTGCCATCTTGCAATACAGAAAATAGGCTTATTAAAGGAGCACTATAGTGTCAGAAATAAAAACGTGTTCCTGACAATATAGTGCTGAAGTAGCTGTTTAGGTGAACAGCTCACCATTAGATTGCTTTGAAAAGGTGATTTTACTCACCTTTTCTCCCTCGTCAAGCTGGTCTCTCTGTGACTGGCTCCGCCACCATTGTTGAGGTAATCAATTTTGATGATCTCAGCCAATCCAGTGCTTTCCCATAGGCTACGGCGCATGCACAGCAAAACGCAGTGCTGCACCAGTCAACATTTAGTACTAAGGTTGCATTGAATCAATGCGTCTCTGTGAGGAACGTTCAGCGTCTCCATGCGTCTCCATGTAGATGGTGGAGACGCTGAACGCCAGTGCTGCACACTGTGCAGCACTGGACTTGGACACACCTCTAGAGGCCGTCTGAGTGACTGTCAATTAAGCTATAGTGGTTCTGGTGATTTATAGTGTCCCTATAATGTAATTATACCAACAAAAACTTGGTTTATAAGAAATTGTATAGTCTGTTTGCATTGGCATAAAGGCTCGTATCACAGAGAATACTGGGCATGGTGTAATTGGTCAGAAATTAAATACTTCCCAGGGAATTAATTAATTTATTTATACCAATATTTTACCAGGAAGGATTGTTTTCAAGTTTGTCCTGGGAATGGGTGGCTACCATGAAATTGTGTAATAATTTTCAGTTTCTCAGTGACGCTTTCTAATCTGAAGGATGTTTGCCATCTTGGGGTCTTATATCAGTAGCCAGAAAGTTTAAATGATTAGCTTTCAACATCACAGTATGTATAGACGTAAAAAAATACTGTTTGAACCTTGATGGAGTTGGCTAGAAATATCTGATTCAGTTGTTTTTGCAGTGACCCTCTGAAAGGTTTTGAAATCTGTCAACAAATGGCATTGGTAGCCTTTGAAGTACTATCTACTGTTAAGGTCATTTCTGACTTTCTTCAGAATGTTTGTATTGTTAGGGACCGCAAAATGGTTGGTTTTAGATGTGGCATTATTATAACTGTCATTGGAGAGACAATTTTGTAAAGGGCCAAGATCTTTACTTAAAGGACCACTATAGTGCCAGGAAAACATACTCTTTTTCCTGGCACTATAGTGCCCTGAGGGTGCCCCTACCCTCAGGGTCCCCCTCCCGCCCGGCTCTGGGGAGAGGAAAGGGGTTAAAACTCCAGCGCCAGACGGGGAGCTCTCCGCCTCCGATCCTCCTCCTCTCCTCCCTTTTTGCTGAATGCGCACGCGCGGCAAGAGCTGCGCGCGCATTCAGCCGGTTTCATAGGAAAGCATTTACAATGATTTTCACAGTGAGAATCACGCAAGCGCCTCTAGCGGCTGTCAATGAGACAGCCACTTGAGGATTTGAGGGCTGGATTAACCCATTTATAAACATAGCAGTTTCTCTGAAACTACTATGTTTATAAAAAAAATGGGTTAACCCTAGCTGGACCTGGCACCCAGACCACTTCATTAAGCTGTAGTGGTCTGGGTGCCTAGAGTGGTCCTTTAACTGTGACTGCCACGTTCACCTCTCAATAAATGACTAGGTTTGAGATGCCAAAGTGAATTTCTGTTTTTCAAAAATTAACTCTTCCCATAATCGAGATGTTTTATATATGTTTCTATAGTATTTCCTTGTAGATTGGCTGTGCACGGTATTCGGCCCAGTAGGTTCTCGTGCCTGCCATAAATGAGCTGACACAGAGAGCTGATTCTGGGTTTGGAATTAGAATGCTCAGTTGCATGATTCTTTGTTCTGACCATTATGTCAAGGCAGGGAGGACAAAAGAATTTATAGCAAAGCAGTGCTGTTTTACCGTGCATTCTACGGGAACAAAACAAAACTGCAAAGTCAGGTGGTGCGTATTTATAATAAACTTGCACACCACATGACAATGTTTGCCTTTTACAGTGTTTGATATCAGATGATAAAAATCACCTCATGATTTTGTTTTTGCAGTGGAAGCCTCTTGTTAACGGTTAATATAAATCATAAAACAATATCTATAACCGCAATGTCAGATGGTATTATTTTTTATTATATTTACGCAAATGTGTAAGTGGGGCAAGTGGGCATGGACTTCAAATCTTGTGTTTGACCATCTTCCTTTAATGTTTGTAGTAGAGAAGCCCGTTAGAAAGCATCTAACACTTTGTTCTAGATGTGAAGTAGTGGATCCCAAAACTGGGTACCAATACTGCCTCTGCGGGCCCCCAAAGGTTAGAAGAGGCTCATCATATTCAACACACAACTACGTGCGATAAGTTGTTAAATTCAGCTTCACTGCCTTTATTGCAAAGAATATTGGCTAATAGTGTTGTTGTTTTTTTTTCTTATCTATATGTGCTTTATTTATATGTTTCTGGTCTTTCCTCCCTCAAGTGTTGTTACTCCTGTGTCTGTCTCCCTCCAAGTCAACGGTGCTACCATCAGCTCCACCACGCAGGCTCGCTGCCTAGGTGTTCTCTTTGACTCCGACCTCTCCTTCAAGCCTCATGTTCAATCTATCGCCAAATCCTGTCATTTCCATCTCAAAAACATTGGGCGCATCCGCCCCTACTTAACGCCAGATGCGACTAAGGTGTTGGTCCTTTCTCGCCTTGAATACTGTAATCCGCTTCTCAGTGGTCTTACGTGCTCCCAACTAGCGCAGTTATAGTCCATAATAAATGCGGCGGCGAGGCTCATCTTCCTGTCCGCCCGCACCTCCCATGCCTCACCCTTCTGTCAGTCCCTACATTGGCTTCCTATAAAATATAGAGCTCAATTTAACTTTCTGGTTCTTGCTTTCAAATCTCTACATAATGCTGCTCCCACCTATCTATCCTCCCTTATACACAAGTATGTCCCGTCTAGGCCCTTACGATCTGCTGAAGACTTACGTCTATCTTCTGTCAGTACTCCCACCTCTGATGCTCGCCTTCAAGATTTCTCGAGGGCTGCACCGTTCCTGTGGAACTCGCTTCCCTCCTCCGTTAGATACTCACCCAGTCTCCACTCCTTCAAAAAATCGTTAAAAACACACTTCTTCATAAAAGCGTATCAATTAAACTGTTAATAGCTCCTGACTGATTCCTCTTCTGCAACTGTCACTAGTCTAATACTATCCTTACCTTTTTGTGTCATTTTACCCACTCCCTCTAGCATGTAAGCTCATTGAGCAGGGCCCTCAACCCCTCTGTTCCTGTGTGTCCAACTTGTCTGGTTACAACTACATGTCTGTTCGTCCACCCATTGTAAAGCGCTGCAGAATTTGACGGTGCTCTATAAATATCATAATAATAATAATAATAATAATAATAATATGTGTGTTTGTATAATTACATCACAGACTGCCATATTATGCCTATGAGCTTATGTGCTGAGTATGTGATCTTTGGATATCCCTTTCAGATTAGTCTAATACGCTGATATCAGGCCTCGGCTAAAGCAGGCAGAAACCAGCTGTTGTTGCTATGGGTGTTAGAGATCTGTTTTATGGCACTCACTCTATACTCGTTTTTTTTATTTTGACTGACGTATGTTTAGGATCAGGAAATTATTCATAACAGCGATGTGCCAAATAAAGTGAGTTTCTTCTATAGAAAGCCAAGGATTCTGCATAGGTCTCCAGCAGATTACTGTATAGTATGACAAGGGATTTTTTTTTTTTGCCTACAGAGCTTAATCTGGAGTTATTATTATTATTATTATTGGTATTTATATAGCACCAACTACTTTCACCGCACTTTACAATATTATGAAAGGGGGGAAAGTTTACCATAAATGAGACAATTACAATATGACACAGGAGCAATTGGTAGAGAAGGACCCTGCTCAAACGAGCTTACAGTCTAGAGTTAAACCTGTCACGACCACACTACTCCAAGCGTGCCTGCAATTTGGGTATGGGGGATGAAAGGGTTAAAAAAAAGGGGGGGGGGTGCGCTATTTGTCTTTACTAGACTGAAAATAATAATTAAAAAAATAATTCATCTTAAAGGGAAACTATAGTGCCAAGAAAAAAGTGCCCAGTAGTACCCCCGTCACTCCCGTGGTGGAGAAGGGGTTTGAAACCACAATGCTTTCCTATGGGGATTCAGGTGACGCTGGATGTCCTCATGCCTATCATGAGGACGTCCAGCGTCAGTTAGGCGACCTAAGGTGGTAGACAGCCTCTAGAGATGGAGTTAACTCATAAGGGTAATTATTGCAGTTAATTGATAACTGCAATAATTATTTTTGCTGGGTTAAGGGACCTGTGAATATGCACCCAGACCACTTCAATGAACTGAACTGGTCTGGGTTCCTATAGTGTCCCTTTAACACCACCCACACCTAACATTTGTATCAAAAGCTGCCACCACCAAGTCAATTTATAAATAGGTGTCTTATCATTACCCACTAAATAAGATATGAAAAACCCACAAAACAGAATTTAGCAAAGTATCTGTTTAGTCTATTAAATAGGTCTCTTCTGGGAACTGGATTCTTTACTAGACAAAGGCATAACTTAATAAAGGAACATTTATTCTGAACAAAAATGATCACAGTGCATAAGGCTAGGGAGCCGGGCTTATGCTGCAGATAGCTGCAAACCTCTTTCTTTTTTTATTTATTTATAAAAACTAGACAGATTTGAACAGGGATGAAACAAATGGAGCAGGAATGTGAGACCAATACCTGTCAAATGCACTAAGTTGTGTTAGTGCCACAGTGGTCCTTTAAGGTGGTAGCCATTCCCTAATCATGTCCATATGAAACACAGTAGGGGAGTTAAAAGAAACAATGTTTCAAAAAGTGCCTGAAACAACCTTCACCAGGAACTAAAGGGACACTTTAGGCACTATTTAATCTCATTTCAGTGCTTATAGTGCTTGAAGTCCTCTGGCACTGTCCCTCCACTTCAAGGGTTAATCTCTTCTTTCCTGCTATTTATTTTATTTAGTTACTAAATGCTGACGCAAACATTTTGATCTATTTGCTTCAACCCCAGTGACTTCTGTGATTGATTGTCTTACTGATGCAATATGTCTTCTCTGACGTGCTCTTCGGGCTGATGAACGATCTGTCCTATAGCGATTTTAGACACGTCCACTGAAACCAACCGATGTTGTTGGATAATTCCATTCTTCATCACAATAATATAATTCTGATCGTGTGTATTCCTTACCCAATAGATAAATAATCACTACATATTCATTATATTCAAATAAAATCTGCTTGAGAGGACATTATTCTGATTGCTTTTCATACACTCTTTATGGAACATGTTTGTCCCTGTTCTAAAAGGGACAGTACTTACATCGCTCCTCTAGGCAACAACTCTTGCAAATTACACATTACACATTTTTATGAGTCATCATCTGTCTTTATTATTTACAGCAGGGGTGCCCAAAAGGTAGATCCCCAAATGTCTTCAAACTACAGCTCCCATAATGCTTTGCATGTCTTTTAGAATGCTTTTAAAATGACAAAGCATCATGGACGTTGTAGTTTGAAAACATCTGGGCATCTGTCTTTTGGGCACCCTGAATTACAAAAAAATATAATCAGGCTAAAAGAACCTTTCTCTAAATAAATAGAAATGTCCACGTTTCCTATCAGTTCATCCCTTGTGACATGTCATGAATCCCTTTTATTACAGAAGTTTGGTCCTTACGGGGTTAAATATCTATCTATCTATCAATGCAGTGCAACATATGTATCAAAGTCTGTAAATGAGCTGTGCTGTAGAGTTGCAACTGTGATATGGTGCTCTGGTAATAACCATAACTACCACAACTTAATTTATTGGTTATGGTGCACTAATCCAGTGGGAGATTTCTGCTTCTCTTGAATACATTATCCATATAAATCCATTCAAATGTGAACAGCAGTGATAGACTGCAGTTACTAGAAGTAACCTATCCCCTCTGCTCAGCTTTTGCTTCTAGTTGAGCCTTATTATTTTGTTAAACTGTGCAATACATATCGACACAAACACTTTACCCTAAATCTACTTACACCATAACTACTTTAATAGTTAATAGAATGCTTAGTGTTTCCCCTAGAAACGTATTCTAAAGTTCATTAAAGTGTACCTCTAATGTTATATGTAGGTTGCCATTGAATTAAAGAACATGAAATGTCATCTTTACATAAAACTAGCAAATGTATAGATTTTAATTTTAAAGAGCTTTAAAACCCTCCTCATGTAAATCAACTCTTGGCACTGACTGCACTCTTCCAGTATAGTCTAGGTTGAAAAAGAATGAAGTCCATCATATTCATCCCTGAAACCTCTTTGCAACACAAAAGCTCCCTCGGTGCTGTCCAGGTCTCCTCATCCTGCAACGTCACAGTAATAGGGGGAGCTAATGCATACGCGCAGCAAGAGTCGCTTGTTCATTAAAGCTTCCCCATAAGAAAGAAATCAATGTTTTTCTATGGGAAATCTGAAGACGTTCGATGTCCTCAAGCAACGTTTGAGGAAGTTCAACATCATTTAACGTAGTAAAACTCTGTTAGGGACCTGGAAGCTCCTCTAGTGACTGTCTGGAATAGTAAACCCTGCAATGTAATTATTGGAGTTTCTCAAAAACATTGCTGGGTTAAACATACAGGGGCACTGCACCCAGCCAGTTCAATGAGATTAAATGGTCTGCGTGCCTATGGAAAAAAAAAAATGTTTTCGACTTAGAAATAGATTTAAAAATATATATGTTCCCTAAGCCTGTGCAAGTCTTATGTGTATAATGTGAAAATTGAGGGTAGTGTTTAATTATTTTTTTCTGTATATGGTCCCAAATTTGTGTAAAAAAACAAAAAGTGGGGCAAAATTCTGAAAGGTGATCAGTCTACCATGGGAACAGTTATTTTTTTGACATGTCACTTTCAGCCAAATTTGACTTTGTGCATTTTGTAGTTGTAGTTTGCTTTTACAGACAATACCTGCTGTAAAACCAGCCCTGTTTAGGATGAAGAATGTACCTAATTTATCTCTGTCTAAGGGATTACAGAATGAAATCAAGGCCCAGCCTTGTGAAGGTAAAAAAAATAAATTAGAAAACACAAAAAGTGAATTTCTTCCCTAATTATGTTCATGTAGAGAGTCTTCTTTCTGGCAATGTTTAGATCATTTGACATTCGGTCTATTTTTGTTCCATGAAATATTAATGGCTTCCACATGAGTTGTGTTCATCACATAATTATAGAGCACATTGAAATGGAGTCAGCTGCTATATTACCAGTCGTTTAATCCATGTAATAAAACGTTTGCTATCAGAAATCTTTCCCATCCATTGAGTCACAGCTAAGTGACTTTGATTCCACTGTACAGAGACAGCGGAGACATTTATCACAGTGTTCTCAAATCTGTTCCAATATATCAGTAATTTAAAAGATGTGGGACAAGTGTCACCTTTCTTCTGGATATTCAGACGATATTGTGGACGATTTTTGGGTGTCTACAATTATGTCCCATTAACAATGAATAACTAATATTCTGAGAATGCTATTTAAGTGCAATGAAATCTGTAATTGTAACAAATGAAATGCCTTACACAAAATATAATGCTGGGGGGAAAAAAACAGAACATTTGCAAAAGTAAGAATAATTGATAATTCATCCCACAAAACTAACAGATGATTCAGCAATCATTTGATATCCCTCCTTGTTCTAAAAGCAAAGCAGTATCATTCCATATTTGTGATAAAATGATTTGTCTCATTTTTAAGAACATTTTGACATTTTTCTTTATGTAGATTATATTTATTTATTTGACTTTACTGTTTTGACCCATTTATGTATGGGATTTAGGGTTTTATTCAATAAAGAAACTCTACAGCACTTGAAATATAGGTTTGTATTCCTGTGTGCCATAAATTGATTAAAGGGGAGAGAGGAGGGGGCTATAAACTCCCTTGTTGCTGCTTACCTCTCCTCCTCCTGCGAAGTCATGGAGCATAGCCTTCTCCTGTGTGCTTCGATCCAATGGTCTTCAGAAAGGAGCATTGGGATCCTGGGGTACATGCATGCTCCCCCATGAAAAGCATTGAATCAATGTCTTCCTATGGGACTTTCGTATCACATGACAGAGTTTTACTCAATGTAGCACTTCATTGCTATTTCTACAAAACGGCAATGTTTTACCTTGAATGGTTAGAATGAAAGGATCACTTCATTGAGGTGAAGTGACCTGGGTAACTTTATTGGTCCTTTACACAATGAGCTGTAGAGCAATGAAATTTGAATTGCAAACTTTAGGCGAAAATATCGGATTTGTTTTTCTTTAAACTCCGCTATCGGCTCCTGCTGATTGCTATATCTGAATCCTAGACTTCAGATCTATACTATACCACCATATGCTGTAAGGGCTCTAGTAAAGTGCTGAAAATACCTGTGCTCTTCTACTCGGTGAATACAGGTTTTATTTCTTGTAAACACCTGGCCCTTGTATCCTGATGCTAAAGAAGTTATATCAGGAAGTCATATCGTTAGATTGAAAGTGGATCTACGGTATTACTTTTCTTTTTTTTTTTCTTTTTTTATATCATCTGGTTGAAAGTCATGAATCATATCATCCTATGTGATTGTTACCAAATTCTCAACATTCCTTTTGTTTTATATGTGTTTCTGTCTGCAGCCGACGCCTTCTTCAAAGCCGCTGTGAGCCTCGTCCCAGATGTCCCAAAAACCATTAATATAGATGGAAAGATGAAATCTTCTGAAATGTATCTTCTGGAATTCCTTAGTAACTTCTTCTCTACATTACTCATCGTCCCTGTAAGCATGATATTCGTTTGTATCACAGATACAATCTTTTTATTTATTTCTTTTTTATCATTTGATCTCTAACACCTGATATTAGACGGAATACTTTATTTTTTATTTATATATTGTGTTTGTACTCAATGTAAGCGGCGAAAGGAAACAATGGAGTCATGCGCTACTGATATTGAAGTGCACACCCTGGTGCTACCACGTTTTGTAGAAGGACATTGGCATTGATAAAGGGCTACTGCCCAAAACGTTTGCATTCTGTACGTTGTCCTTCCAATAAAATGTGGTAGCACCAGGGTGTTTTTCCTTTTGTTGCTATTATACACTGGCGGAACTGCAGTGTGGGGCTGCTGCAGCACTGCTCATTTTTTATTTGCTTTAATATTAGTGCAGGCAGGTACTTTGCCTCTACCTCATTTTTTGTATTGTAGTTAATGTAATTAAAGGGACACTCCAGGCACCTTGACCACTTCTGCCCATTGGAGTGGTCTGGGTATCAATTCCCATCACCCAAAACCCTGCAAGTGTAATTATTGCAGTTTTTTATAAACTGCAATAATTACCTTGTAGGGTTAAGTCCTCTTCTAGTGGCTGTCTAACAGACAGCCACTAGAGGGACGTCCAGCTTCTTAGAACACGAAAAGTGTTTTAAACGACGCTGGACATCCTCACGCTATGTGAGAACCTCCAGCGTCACCGGAATCCCCATAGGAAAGCATTAAATAATGCTTTCCTATGGGGAGGTCTAATGCGCACACAGGCATTGCTGCGCATGCGCATTAGGTCTCCCCTGCCGGTTGAGCATGGGAAGAGCCTGAACCAGCACTGAGGGACATCGGCGCTGCGTTTATGTAAGTCACTGAAGGGGTTTTAAAGTCACTGATTGGGGGGTGGGAGTGAGAGGGGCACTGCAGGACACTGGAGAGTCCCTTTAAGGTAACAAATGTAACCATAATTATACTGTGCTGTGTATACTCTGCATAGGATCATCCTGAGCAAGGAGTTCTTTTCCTGGTTCGGGGACTTTTAAATGTGATTGAAGATTACACCTGGGAAGATAACAGCGATGATAAAGTTCGTATTTACACGAGCGTGTTGCATCTGCTCGCTGGCCTTAGTCAGGAGAGCTATCTTTATCACGTAGACAAAGGTATGCTGTTCTTTTTGTTCATTATATTCTCTTAACTTTTTTCACTGCTAATGTTTGTGTTTGTTGTAGGGCTTGATCTTTGTTAACACAAAATAAGCTTTCTCTAGATTCGACATTACAGGAACCAGTGGGAGTTTTCAACTAGAAAATTACAGATATGTACACTACTGACTATTTTTAGTTTACTAAACCACAGGGAAAAAAAAAGGTATAATTTCAGAAACTATTTTTAAAATAAGGTGCAGCTTCTAGTCTAAGACACATCTACAATAAAATTTGCCGGGCTGTGGAAAAAGACTGCTCTGACATCGTACTAGAGCCAGTTTTCTAAAGTATCTTTGACCCAGGCCCCAACTTTCACACATGTTCATTTTATTCTAAATATGTACGTACCTTCCTCCAGACAGAGCCTTGGTTGTAGAACTCGTTTTCACATTTGACACAAATTGCGTGTGCTCTGTGTCTTTTACCTCGATACATCACCGATTAATTTATATCTTAAACAATGAGTGTATAAATGCATTTGATAATCCTTATAAAAATGAAGAAATCTGAACTTCGAATATGTGAATGAATAAATGAATGAACGAAGAAGTTACTGGGCTAGTTATTGTTTAAAATACACAGCATTCAAATATAGGCTATTGAATATTTGGCATTGAAAGGAGATGCTCATATGTCCGTTCCCGGTTTTCTTCCATAATATATTAAAGTTAAATAAATTTAAAAAAAAGACGACAAACCACACATAATATATTAGATCTCTACATATAGGTTGGTAGTGAAAGGTGTCACTGCTATGAGAGTAACATGGGGATTTAAATTGAGAAGAGGACAAAAACTTGGTGTACGGGAATACAAGATTGTTGTCACTAACAGAGTTGGCATATTGGGAGAAAAATAGCCGGTAAAGATAAAAAAAGAGATATGAGAGAATGACAAAAAAGGACAGTTGGCATAAGAGAGGAAATATAACAGGAGAATTAAATAAGCTTAAAGGGAATCTGTAGGCTCCATAACTGTTTCATCCCTTTGGAGTGGTTATAGTGTCTGGAGTCCCTTGGCACTGTCTTTCCATTCGACATAAAACAATTTTTATTTGTTTTAATCTAACTAGGAGTCCCCAGCAACCTATCCCCTCTGTGCTGCTTTGTCTAATTAGGAAGCATTAGCTTGAGCAATGAGAGGCTGTGATTGATGGAGTGTGTCAGCTGACAGTATTCAGCCTATCATAGTGCTCATTGCTGGTATGAATTGGTAAGGTTAGAAGGAAGTGTGTAATCTCGGCCTTAGCCAGACTTCCAGTGGGGATCGGGCTGTGGGAAGCCAGGGACCCTTATCAAGTGTTAAAGTGCTAAAATATGGTTTAACACTGAATGCAAGGGATAGTGTGAGGGCACTGTAGCGAATTCAATAATATGAAATGGTTTTAGTGCCTAGTGTCCCTTTTTTAAAAGCATGAGGCACAGTTGTAAAGAGAACAGAGGGCCTGGGATATATGGAATGGACAGCATAGGGGAGCTAGCAGGAATGGAAAAGAGCTGACAGTAACTGAAAGGAACAGCGTATACAGACTGGCATAGAAGGGTGGGGCTACATCAATGAAGGGATGGTAAGGGAGACTGGTATACAGGAGATAAGAGGACTGATATCAAAAGAGTTGCGACTGGCATACTGATAAACTAAACTGGTGGTGACAGGAAAAGGGTGACTTGAGAACAGTAGCTTGAAATAGAGACAGGAGGGGTCAAAACAATTGGGGCAGAATGGGACAAATTTGAATTCTCACTTTTTTAAAAAATATTCAGACTTCCAAGTGAAATTCAAATTTAAAGGAAAACTAACGTTAAGAATCAAAATCTGTATTTCTAACGTTATAGCGTCCTTGTTTATAATAGTATTAGGACTTTCCTCCCCCGTTTGGGAGAGAAATGTTTAAAACCGTTATTTTTTACTTGCCTTGTTCCAGTACTGAGGCTTTCTTAGCTCTCCACTCACATGGACATCATGGAGGAGGACCAGCCTTGATGGTCTAATCCAATGTTTCTCACAGAGGAACATTGGGGACCCAATGCGCATGTACAGTGAGCGCTTTGCGTGCTTGCAAACCTTCTCATAGGCAAGTATTGAATCGATGCTTCCCTGTGCGGCTTCTGCATCAACTGACCAAGTATTACTCTCAGTGCAACTGAAGCTCTTCTAGCGGTTGTCATACTCTGAAAATGTTTCTGAAAGTAGATGTAGTGAGCGAGAAATCTAAAAAGTAATGGCATTCTATACTTGACCTGCCACTCAGGATTCTACCCATTTTTTTACCCTGTATTATACCATATCATTGGAAGAGGTTTAGATTGTTTGTTCTCTCTGAGTTCCCAGGTATGCTAACGCAGCCTCTCTGATCTGGTTCCAAAATACATATCACTGTTACACATATACTGACACTGATTGGATTATTATACGATAAACAGCCCTTCAGTTTCTGTCTTCCAAATTCACTGGGCTGATCATCACAAGGGTTTCATATTTGGCAGGACCATGTAACAGCTGGTGCTTAATGTTGACATATTCGTAAGCACCCTAAAATAAAATGGTTTGTAGTTATCTAATCTCCCAATAACATAATACGACCTCGCTGTACTTCTCTAATCCTGACTTCGTGTTCCTTTTAGTGGCTTTTGTTCTCCTCTGGAAAATCCTAAATCTGCAGACAATGGTAGGCTTATTTACCAATGCACAAAACAGTCAACAAGGTTGTTAGAACAGCTTTTTACTGTCCAAACAGACACAAATATGTTGTAAGCCAACGAAGATGAAAAGAAGGCATTTGTCCAATAGATGTTTTTTTGGTCAGTGGACAATTCTAAACAATGTGACTCTTTGTGTGCCAGATGCACATGTTAATGCAGTATTTCAAAATGTAATTTCAAAATAGTACATTAACATGTGCATCTTGCCTGTGTATGTATGTATGTATTGATCTCTCTCTATGTATCTATCTATCTATCTATCTATCTATCTATCTCTATCTCTCCTAGACAGTAGAAACTGTTACTTTATCTAGATCAGGGGTTCCCAATTAATTTTTCCCATGGAACACTTTGACATAGTGTATCAACATCGTGGACCCTCCTCCCCCCAAAAAACCCCTGTAAATTAGCAAAATATATACACACGTATTTCTACAGATAGTAAACAGATTGTAGTACTTAGGAGCAGGTGTGCTTTTGTGTGTAGATGTAATGTTTGCATTTGCGTTTAGGGGTTTGTTTAGATATAGTGTTGGCTTTTAAATGTGTAGTATTGGTGTTTGTATGTAATGTTTGTGTTTTGGTATGTTGGCATGTTGTGTTGGCGTTTGATTGCTGGGATGTCTGCTACATACGTACTTACACAGATATACATAAACACATCTTGACACACAGATACACTCACTGGTGCAGATTCACACATATACACAAACACAGACATACACATACTGGCGCATACACACACTCTGATACACACAGTGATACACGCACAACTTAACAGACAGATACACACAGTGACACTCGGATACACACAGACACATTTAGATACTCACACTGAAACACAGATACACACAATGGCACACACAGATACACACATGGGCACATACATTAACATATACACACACACACACACACACACACACACACAGATACACTGAAAGATATACACACTGACCCACAGATAGACACACTTGCACATACACACAAATACACAACCTGGCACTGACACTCAGATACACACAGTGACACATACACACACGGAAAGATACACAGTGACACACACTGTTAGATACATACACTGGCGCCTGACACAGATGCACACAGTGACACACACACACACACACACACGTAATTTTATATATATGTAGTCACCCTCCTGTTAGCATACCTGTTGTCTGCAGGAGGGTGACTTGCTGGCTGAGGCTCGTGTGTGTGGGGGGAGCTGCTTACTCCTGGCTGCTGCCTCTCTCCCTCCAGCACAGTGTTTTCTATATGAAACTGGGAGGAAATGACCATCCGTCACTTCCTCCCAGCATCCCATACTACGGGGACCTATTAATCGCCCACGGCCCTGACTGGGTCCCTGTGCAGCAATGCCTATCGGGTGGCCGTAAGTGTATGGCCAGCTCGATGGGCAAATCACTGCAGAACCCCAATTGGGAAACGCTGAAATAGATTAACCATTACATTACACTAGCACATTACAATACACATTAAAGTCTACATTGTCCTAACACACTAACAATAAATAGTAACATCTGATCTACAGATGAATCTTTACACTAAACATTAAAACACTACAGTACCCTAACACTAAGCATTAATAGTCACATTAACCTAAAAATGTAATAGAATAGAAAGTATGTAAAATATAAAAAATATAATGTAATAGAATGTATGTATCTATGGGGAGGGGTCCTTTTTATCTCCCTGCTCATCGCTCCAAAGTGTTTACAGTTCTACTTGTTGCTGTCACATGCCAGCATTCTCTCTGCCAGCAGCCTCCTGTGTGAGATAAGATTAGGCTCTAAGACTGAAAATAGTCTGCAGATATGGAACCCCCTATACTTTTCTTTTTCTAATATTTGTTTTCAATATTTGTCTAATATTTGTTTTCAAGTATGGTCTTATATCTTACAAATGTGTTTCTGTGTTCAGGATTTTGGAAAGAAATTCTGAAAAACTAATAAATGCATATTATACCAGCATTTTATTTAAATGTACCAAAATATGCATTTTATGATCTGAATATTCTCTTTAAAGCTTGTAGCTCCTCTTTGGGTCAGTTTCCCAGCTAGATATGTCAAACAGGCTAGTGGGCCTGCATTCACCTTGTAACCTATTTGGAACACTCATTATGGCAGCCATGCAGTTATTTTAGTGAGTGGATATCATCAAACATGTTAGAACCAAGTATTCCATGTAATTTCTCCCAACCATGAATTTCACAGATAAATGAAGCAACATCTTTAATGTGTATATCTATTAAGTCTTAGTAAGGTTTCTTTTCCTTCCAATTTACACTCCAAGTACCTTATCCACCACAACCCACTGAAGTGGTTATGGTGCCAGGAGTACACTCGTTAAGTAATCAAATTACTTGTGGTACTGGGCTTAGTTCATTTGTTGATTCAGCTCGCAGACAGTTTGACTACTTAGTCCCGGACTGCACCAGGGCACTTCTGAGAGGGTAGTGGATGCATGGAATAGCCTTCCAGCTGAAGTGGTAGAGGTTAACACAGTGAAGGAGTTTAAGCATGCGTGGGATAGGCATAAGGCTATCCTAACTATAAGATAAGGCCAAGGACTAATGAAAGTATTTAGAAAATTGGGCAGACTAGATGGGCCGAATGGTTCTTATCTGCCATCACATTCTATGTTTCTATGTTTCTGACACCATAAATACTACAGTGCTTATGGTGTTTGGAGTGTATCTTGAAACCATCACCACATAGGTTACATTTTATTGTAAAAGTGCTGCCAGATTGTTGTATTAAGTCATGCGTTTAGGACCTGTACGCTTGACAAAACATTTTCTGTATTTTCAACTTTAAATGTATTATTTTCTCTTGGCAGTGTCCAAAAACGGTTATCTTTAGCTTGACACACTTTGCTGTGGACGATAAACAAAAATCAAAACATAACTCTAGCCTGCAGACAATGTTTAAAAATGCCTCCTTCTTCTTACTTGATCTGTATGGCAGGGAGTGAGAGTACACCCAGAATTGCAAAGGCTCTTCACAAGAATCAGCAACACCATTGTTATTACATAGAAACAAAACTAATTAAATGATTTCAACAAATAATAATTAACAAACTGTCTAACGTGTAATATTAGTTAAAAATGTAAAATGGAGTTAGGATACGAAATCAAGTGAGGAAGCTCTGACAACTATAAATGGAATGTGCCCATATAGACTCGACGTGACTATGCGTGTGTATATATAACTTAGCGAAAATTTGGATAATAGTGCTCTCCTTTTATTTATTTTTTTAGTTGATTCTAATGACAGTCTTTATGGTGGAGATTCGAAATTCCTAACAGAAATCAACAAACTGTGTGACACGTTAATTGGACAGATTCTAGAACATCTCAAGGTGCTTGGGAAAGAGAAGGTATGAATGGCTCCACCTAAATCTGTGTTACTAACGCACTGTCTGATTGATTACTTAAGTCTGGAAGATTATTTTTTATTTTTGCAAATGCTACCCCTTATAGCAGTAGTCACTATGGATTTGGATACTTTAGTCTCGAAGGGGCTGCTTGTCTCCAATGTATTCAAGCAGTATGATTATGAAAATAACACACTTAATTGCTAATATTGGCATTAAGAAGCATTGTTCTAACGCTGTCAATACAATACTCTCCACACTAATAAAAAAACACAAATCTTTCATTTTTCATTTTTCATGTTTCTGCCCATAGATGTAAAATGAACTAACTGGCTAACCCACTGGGCATAGGTAACAAAACTATTCTCTTGTAGGAGTGCTTTCATTTCATCAAAATGTGCTTACACTGTTACTATTTACCAGATAGGGAGGGAGGAGAGACTATCTTTATGGACAGTGATCAATGTGATTTACATTATTTTAGCACTCACCCCCCCACAGGGCTGTACGTGAGATAATTAGTTAACCCAGCTCTGCTAGTTGTATTGCTTTTGGTATTTTATTATGTCATCACTTTTGTCTACAAAAATAACTAAATGCCATCTCCTCTGACATCTGTGGGGTCCTCCTCTTGACTCATCAAACTATTCAAATTCCAGCCTTCACATGTAGAGGAATGCTCGTTCATTCCCTCTATTTCACAGGTCTACTCTTATTTAAAATTACTGTAACTGTAAAAAAAAAATTGTATTTTTCTAAATGGGAATTTTTTTTATTTATTTTTTATTTAAAGTTGTTTTTAATAATAATAAAAAAAAAAATTCACCCAAACTATTGTAAAATCTGTAGTGACCTATTAAAACATTTGTAATAAAATAGCAAAGTGACAGAATGCTACAAACTGATCAACCAATCAGGAAAAATTCGAGACGTTTTATTCTCAGGAAGTTAATTTTCTCAGCAAGAGAGGCCTGAACCTGAAATGCAGCTGTTCTTTAAGATGGCAATGCTGCTTTGCACACGGATTACAGTGTAAGAAGCCACATAGAAAGCCACAGCCACTGAGTGACATGCGTTGAGTGGTTGCACATTGAAGACATTATCAGATGGGCCAACAGTCTTATGTTAAAATCTAACGGCTTAATTTATTCACCCCCACAGGGATGTTAGAATTCAAAACAATAGTTCTTGTAAGAATTTGTCTTGTTAAAGTATAGTTTTAATGCATAACATGTAGACTTCTGCTGTCCCCAGATTTAAAGTCCCTATGGGGTAAATAAAGCCCTACAATTTTAATATTAGACTGTTGGTCCCTCTGCAATGGTCTTCAATTACTTTGGACAAAAATATGTGTCGCCTCGTTTATATGGAAGGTCATTATATTTTATATTATATTGAACTCTGCGCTACTAGATCTGCTCAGGAGTGGGGTACATGTGCCCGAGGGCCACTTGTGTTGGTGTTAAGTGTTCATGTGGGTACCTTATTTATCAGGTAAGTACATTTTTTATTCTGTGCATTTGCTGGGGATTTTGCCAGCACAACTTACCAAAAAATCTAATCTTCTTAACGAGCCCCCTGTACATCCATGTGCTTTTATGAAATATGCTCTGTTCCAATGAGCAACAGAATTCCTAGGTATTAGTTTTACAATAATTAAGAACAATCTATTGTTTTTTTTTAAATATTTTAATTGATAATCAAAGATCCTAACAAGTTGAATTCCAATTGGAATATTGAATTCCATAAAAATAGTAGTTTGAAATTATATGTACTTTTAAGTGTGTTGTTTCAAAGTAGCGTAGGAGTGAGCAACACATAGTATGATCCTTGCTCACCTATGGCACATGTAGCGTTAATGGACTCATCTGGTGGCTAGAAGTCTAGAAATCACGCTCAGGCACTTGCAGTTGCTATGTACATCTGGGTTAATTTGCTATATTACCATACAACAAACCGGACTAAAGAGAGAACAATGTAAGTGCAGCTGTGTTTTCCAGCTCATGACCTAATCAGATAATCGGAAACAGATTGTCCTTTGACGCCTGGAGCGAGCAAAACAGAAAGTGAACTGTGAATGTACGTCCCTGCCCGAGGATCCTGTGTTTGTTTAAATTCTCCGAGGACAGGCTCATGTTAGCTTACAGAGGTGTTTCCTTAAAGGCGTACACCCCCAGCAATCACATGGTCAAGTGTAGAATGTATTTTCTTCTGCTACAGATCCTAAAGACTTAATTTTCATCTTTCACATATTTTAGTCCTAAGGTATGCTCTTAAATGGGGCTCCCTTGCCTGTATGTTCTGGGCAATAGTAATATTAGAAAAGTTATTATTTATCGCACAAAAAAACTCAATTTATATCCACACTATACGTCACTACCTATGCAAAATTAAAGGAACTGTGTAAAGAAGAGTCCAGTTTTAGTCTGCAAGTATTTTTGTCTACAATTTGTGATTGTTAATGATTGTTAAGCACTGCAAAATATGTTGGCACTATATAAACGAGAATGATAGACTTGCCCATCTGGTGCCCTCTCTGATCTATCCAAGAATGCTCTCCTTATGGGAATAGATTACACCAGTTTTCTGTTGAGATCCAGGTATGCACAGAATTGACCTATGTCTGCCCGTTACCTCCATACTGTAGCAGTGCCAGCTAAAACATCTGCTAATCATTCTGCATAATGTATGTGTACTATTGGTGCAGATTAAATTTGGGGTTTGTCATATTGTCCCTTTAACTCTGCCGTTATGGCTGAATTATGCAAATGCACACTTAAAAAAATAATAATTTTATATATATATATATATATATATATATATATATATATATATATACACATATACACACACACACATATACCTACCTGCAGTACCTTGTAAGGTGTCAATAAAATTAATGGATGAAGGTAAAGTCCTACTTGAATGGCCAGCAAAATGTGGTTGGAAATACCAATTTATCTTTCAGCATCTCTTAATCAGATCGGCAGGTGTCTTGCAGCAATGGTTGTCATGTAGTAAGTTGGTATTGTACAGGAAGCATTAAAGCACTAGCTTATGTGTACCCCAAAAATGTAAATATTCATTATAGATTGCTCTATAGCCAAAGGTAGTATGTGTGGCGAATGTTCAGGGTGGCAATTTCCTGGGGCATTGTGTCATGCCATCCCTGGACATTCTCTACTCTGGACGATTATTCAAGGATGAGTCTCTGTGGTTCTAATGAGAATGTACCTTTGCTTTTAAAAATGCTTTTATCTGATTAACAGGCATAGCATGCAGCGTTTCTGTTTTACATTGCCATATAGTATCATGATATTTCATCTTCTTCCGTAGAATTTGTAAACAGGACATATAGCTTTGTCACCATCTCCAGGCATCCAGAACCAAGCCCTGCCCTAGTTATTTCCCTTGCAAGTTCAACCAGAGGGCAGTGTTAGAAAGCTATAGTTAGCATGTTTTCTTTATAAGTGTTTTGAAACTCTTTATTTTCTCATGCTTTGTGTATTCACCTCTGATATTGCCAAATACCGAGAAGCCAGCTCTCCAGGGCTTTGTTTCCAATGACGCTTAGCCAGCAAGCCATTAATTGCCCAACATCATGGCAGACATAATCTACAGCAGCAGACATACTGACAATGACCTCTATCTGGCATGGTATAACCTTTTGCTGTTAAATTATTGACAAACTCCTATCAAAAGATGAAAATGGGAGCTCACTATATGGGGCAGTTGCTGGACTATTGGAGGAGGTAACCCTAGGTGAGTATGCACATAAGGAAAAGAACAGAGACTACTCCAGACTAATTGGTAATAGATAATAGGAGTTAAAAGAACATGATAGGGCGGAGCCTGACCGCCAAACGGAGTGGACGTGGGTTCCATGATCTCCTGTCCGGCTGGCAGGAACAAAAGCGAAATAACGCCGGCCTCGAGGCACCAGAGTGCACTACCCACGTTGATAACTTGGCGTCTGTTGATAACTTGTAATAATCTGCACAATAAAAAAACAAAAACAAAACATGATAACGTTGGGAATACAAGTGTATTCCTAACGCTGTCGTGTCCCTCTGGTCCTCTAGATAAAATAAAGTATGTACAGATATATATATATATATATATATAAACAAAATGATAAATCAATCCTGCAAATTTGGGGTATGAAATGACAGGCTGCACTGCACAGTGTCTGATTGAGTAGCTGAACATGAAATGCTCAATTGGTTATTAGTACATGGAAACACAGTGTCAATCTGCAGGATTAGGATTGATTAATTGTTTTATATATATCTCTGTACATACTTTATTTTAATATTATTTTTCCTGTTGATTTTCTTTGTTGCCTTTTGCAACGTTCCCCCTCTATATTAACAAGAGTTTTTGGGCAAATGTTTTTGTTAAACATTATTAAAGCGGCACTGTAATGCCGAACTTGCCTTTCTCCTATTGTTTCCTCTTCTCTTCCTCTCTCATTATCTGTTCTTCTTTTCTTTATTTTTGATCTAGTTTTCTTTAAAACGTAAGATAAAGTGGGGTCTACTTTGTCTCATGTATTTTTCTTACACTTTACCTTCTTTAACCAATTTTCCCACAATACTCACCCCTCGCCCATGTTCTTGCATTGCTCCATTCGCCGAACGTCCTGTAATTTAGACCAGGGCGCCGGTGAATGTGTACAGTTTCTATTCGTGTTAGTATGAAATTCTGCATTTTTTCCAGTTTGGAATTTCATTTGCAGAATGAATTAGTCGATAGTCACCTAATTCCCACAGTTTTCATGGAACTATCTACTAAATATCTGAAAAAACAAAATTTGTCTTTCAGCCAACTTTACTTATACTTAGTATTAAAGGGGGGTTTCTACTAAACAGTGGCATTAGAGAGGTTTTAATTTCCCTTATACTAATATTGACCCTCTTAGAATGACAGGCCACTCTTCATTTCCTTAGTGTCACACCGGTAACCATCTCTACCAAGGGCCTTTTGTGAAATGGATAGCCGTCCCTATGTCCCAGCACACACAGTTTAAGTTTAAGACTGCCCCCTCTCTTATTTGTTTGGGTGAACCGCTCTATTCACACACAAAAAATGTCGCTGTGTTTGTAGAAACTGATAACAGATGTTTTTAAACTACAGCTTCCATGATGTTTTGTCATCCCAAAACATTACAAAATGCTTTCATGGGAATTTGTAGTTTCACAAAATCTGGGGATTTACCCTTTGGGCACCTATTGACTAGACTGATAAAATTCTCATTGGCAATGCCGTTTCCTGGTATGTAAGTCTATATGGTGCTGACATTTGCAAGTGCTGCAGCATTAGGAACTTTAAATGTCTTTTTTTTTATATATATATATATATATATTGTAATGCAGTGGTTCCCAAAACAGTTCTCAGGATTTAGGGATTACCCAGTTGTGTCTAAGGTGTCTGTTTTGTTTTTCTAAAACACCTTAGATACGACTGGGTAATCCCTAAATCCTGGACTGGTACGGGGTGCCTTGAGGACTGGTTTGAGAACCAGTGTTGTAATGCATTAAAGGGACACCATAGTCACCAAAACAACTCTAGCTTAATGAAGCAAATTGGTGATTAGACCAAGCCCCTGCAGTCTCAATAGCTAATTCTCTGCTATTTAAGAGTTAAATCACATTGTTTATGCAGCCTTAGCCACACCTCCCTGCATGTGACTTACACAGTCTTCCTAAACACTTCCTGGAAAGAGTCATCTAATGTTTATTGCAAATTCTGTTTAATCTAGCATTTCTTATCTCCTGCTCTGTTAATAGCTTGCTAGACTCTGCAGGAGCCTTCTGTATGCAATTAAAGGGACACTATAGTCACCTGAACAACTTTAGCTTAATGAAGCAGTTTTGGTGTATAGAACATGCCCCTGCAGCCTCACTGCTCAATCCTCTGCCATTTAGGAGTTTAATCCCTTTGTTTATGAACCCTAGTCACACCTCCCTGCATGTGACTTGCACAGCCTTCCATAAACACTTCCTGTAAAGAGAGCCCTATTTAGGCTTTCTTTATTGCAAGTTCTGTTTAATTAAGATTTTCTTATCCCCTGCTATGTTAATAGCTTGCTAGACCCTGCAAGAGCCTCCTGTATGCGATTAAAGTTCAATTTAGAGATTGAGATACAATTATTTAAGGTAAATTACATCTGTTTGAAAGTGAAACCAGTTTATTTTCATGCAGGCTCTGTCAATCATAGCCAGGGGAGGAGTGGCTAGGGCTGCATAAACAGAAACAACGTGATTTAACTCCTAAATGGCAGTGAAATTGCAGGGGAATGACCTATACACTAAAACTGCTTTATTTAGCTAAAGTAATTTAGGTGACTACAGTGTTCATTTAAAGTACAATTTACAGAGCAGGAGATAAAACTTTTATCTTTTTTAAGTAAGTTACATCTGATTGAAAATGAAACTATTTTGTCTCCATGCAGGCTGTGTGAATCACAGCCAGGGGAGGTGTGACTAGGGCTGCATTGACATAACGAAAAATAATATAACTCCTAAATGGCACTGAATGGAACCGTGTAACTTCACAGGCATAATCTATACACAAAAACTGCTTTATTAAGATAAAGTTGTTTTGGTGACTATAGTGTTCCTTTAAATATGGGTCCCTTTCACACCTGTAGTGTCCCTTTAAATTTGTCATCATTAAAAATTAGTTTAATAATAGCCTTGAAACACGTTTGCACTCTTGGCATACAGGTGAGGTTCATATATTTGAGATCTTAAGCAGTTAAATTTTATGCCTTCTCCGTAGTATGTACCCTGTAAAAGATATAGACATAATTATTCAATCTTGTCTGCCGGTTGGCATAGGGTCAGGGCAAGCTGCCATGGCATCAAGCCATTATTTTAAGGTGGAGAGATACCACATGCCACGGAAAAATTGAATTGGTCTTGCATTCATCAGACCGTTAAACTGCTTCCTCCTCAGCTCCGGCTGATACAGACTCACATGGTGCTTTTATAGAATTAGCTTTGAAGACAATGATGGGTATTCTTGCATTTCTGTTCCTGCTCAGCACTAAATCCTAATACTGGCTGTAGCAAATGCCTTTGGACCACTGCAAGCGTTAAGTGGCATATAAATGAGGTAATTAATGCAGTAGATTTGCAAAGACCGCAAAGTGGCTTCCAAGGCTGTTAAATTGATTTCATTACTTTAGCACTCTATGGTACTCATACTTCATTCTGGACACATAAAGGGAAAGTACGTTTTGGAAACTATAGGTTATGTGGTATTAAAATATTGTATACTTTCATTATAGTCCTCCCTAGCAGGCTGGATTTTTACTAGTTAACAGACTGTGACCATTGGACATTTTGCGCTATTCAGGTACACGGGACAAAGGCTCTCATGGTTGCATGATCGTGATAACCACAAAACAACATGAGACATTCTGGTCACCTCACATACCTACACGTAGAAACAAAACTCTGCTCAGAGAGGAGGCTCCGATCCACAGAACTCACGACCAGCTTGTTAACCTATATCTACACAAAAGTGAAATGTCTGACGTTTCTATTGTTTGAATTGCTATTCAATGTACCTCGTACAACCTGTTTAAAAATCCATATCTGCTCTATGTGAAATTGTGCATACTCTTTGTCAATTTATAAATAGAGATGTCGCGAACCGTTCAACATGGATGCTGTCCAGGGGGAGGGAGGGTCTGCTGGAGATTGGCCGGGATGTGTCAGCTGACCGTAGCGAACCACGGCGAGCCGTTCGCGGGAAGTTCGCGAAATCTCTACTTATAAAATCAACAAAATTAAGAATGTTGAAGGAAAAAAAAAAATCTACAAAAAAGAAATAAATACTCTAGCCGCCAGTATTATAATATGCAGTCACAATTCTACAGAGTGGTTGACATAACCTCTAGATTGAATTTAACCAGTCAGGAAAGCCAATGAAAGTATAGATGGGGAAAGAAAATAATATCTACTAAATTGTTAAATTGGAAGTGCATTGCAAATTAAATTTTGAAATATGCAAAACCTCTTTCATTTTTGTTCCTTTAAAAATATGTTGCTGGGAGGAAATATAGAATTCTGATTATAACCAATTCTTTAAATGTCAACACATAGAAATGGACTGCACTGTGTCACTTAGACACCATCTTTATTTCTTTGGAGTTCTTATAACAAGAAAAAAGAAAGTGGATACAGTTTGCTGTATTACAAAAGCTATTTATCTATATGACAGAGACGGTGCAATTCACTTCCATGTTCTGCTATTTTGTGTTATAGGTTTGAGGTATTATCATTGGTATTTATATAGCGCCAACCTATTCCGCAGCACTTTCCAATATTATGAAAGGGGGAAATTTAACAATGAATGCAACAATTACAAAATGTTACAGGAACAATAGGTAGATGAGGACCCTGTTCAAACGAACTTAAAGTCTAGAGGTGTTTTCTTATATAGGTAATGCTGCACTCACTCTTAAGAAATTCCCCAAACTTAATTTTTCTTTTGGTTGGTTACTTATAGTAATGTAATTCTATAAATATGTTTTCTTTGCAGACTCTCAAACGTCAGAGCTTTTTAGCACTGCTGTTTTTTAACAGTATCCTTGCTCACGGAGATCTTCGAAACAACAAACTGAATCAGCTGGCTGTTAACCTTTGGAATCTAGCTCAAAAACATGGCTATGCCGACACCAAAACTATGGTAAGAACATAGGTTAATCAGCTCTATTGCCATTGATTTATAAAGTGGCTGCAGAACCAGAAATACAGGACCAATCAAAAGGCCACAAAGTAGTTTTACTAAATATGATAAAGGATTACTATAGGGTCAGTAACACAAACATGTATTCCTGACCCTATAGTGTTAAAACCACCATCTAGGCCCCCCTGGACCCTCATGCCTCCATAAATATAGCAAAATCTTACTGTATTCAAGCCTGACGCTGTATCTCGGTATGCTGTTTGCCTCAGAAGTGGTAGCCTGATCCAATCACAATGCTTCCCTGTAGGATTGGCTGAGACTGACAAAGACCGATCAGGGGCAGAGCCAGCATGATTCAAACACAGCCCTGGCCAATCAGCATCTCCTCATAGAGATGAATTGAATCAATGGATCTCTATGAGGAAAGTTCAGTGTCTGCATGCAGAGGGAGGAGACACTGAATGTTTGGATGCATTTTAGGCAGCCATGACCCAGGAAGGATTTCTAACAGCCATCTGAGGAGTGGCCAGTGAAGTTATCACTAGGGCTAGGCTGTAATGTAAACAGTGCATTTTCTCTGAAAAGTCAGTGTTTACAGCAAAAAGCCTGAAGGTAATGATTCTACTCACCAGAACAAATTCAATAAGCTGTAGTTGTTCTGGTGTCTATAGTGTCGCTTTTGAAATCTCCAATCTGTGATTTATGGTATTCCAATAGTAGAGCATCAGCTCTAGGAGGTTTGAGTTTTTTGGGAGGGCTTTAGAAGATGTTCAGTTTATATGACATAAGAATGCAAGAGCTAACTCTGCCCTATTACTGCGCATGCACAAAAGGTTTAAAAAAAAGGGTCTCAGATGAAGTGATAAACATGGTGTGGTGTATCTTTTCGTGATCATGTGTGGTAGCTTGCTCTGAAGAACATATACTGCACGATCAATAGGTTGAGAGCTTCTGTTGGCACAATGAACCCTTCAACATGGACAGAAAACCAAGACATGGTTATAACATTATTTTAACCAATACAGTATGGCTGTTTGTTTCCATGCCATAAAGTATGCAATGACAACCAAAGTCATGTAATTAAGCAACCATGTATAATATTTCTGAAATAAAAATCAAGAAAGCCAAATGTCGAATCTTAGCTTTGTTTCTACTTTAAAAAACAAAACAAAAAAAAAAAACTTCTGACAACTCTCACTTCATTCTGCATGCCCTACTGATTCTGTCCCTGCCCCTCCTACATCAATAGTTCCGTATTGTTCAGCGGCTTTGCTGCAGAACTGGAATTTGATGAGAAAGTTAATGCTTCGTTTTGATCATTTTTGTGATTATTGAGCCAGTGACACTTCCATTTTCAATTCGTCTTGAATAAATTTAGGCCTACCCCTTCCATTTAATATCTCCATGTGCAAATGTTGCTTTCTTTGGTTTGTACCTTAACTTACTTTCTTCGTTATTTAGGTGAAAACCTTGGAGTACATCAAGAAAAGAAGTAAACAGCCTGATTCAAATCATCTGAATGACCTGGCAACCCGGCTCCCACTACAGTCCAGAACCTAGAAGTCTGTGCCCAGCATTGTTCATGTCCATCTCCAAGTCTCTTGTCTATACATACCTAAATACATTGCTTAGCAATTGCACAGGCATGTCATTGGTTACACATATTAGATCCAATTGCTGGAGAGCTGGCCTGTAATTGGCCTTCAAGAACAGTTATGATGTATTTATATGTCACGTTTCATTTAAGGGCTCTATGCGAGCCTCATGTTACATCAGTGCCTTCTTTAAGATACATTAGGAAAGCGTCCACATAGTAAATTTTAATCTCCAGTAGTTTGATGGAGAACCCAACTCCTTGGAATGTTTCTCCCTTGTCTAAATTCCGTGTTTACAATGACTGATAGAACCAACCAGATTTGGTGCATCAGCAACTAAAATAATGAGTAATGCTGTGATTAAACACTTAGTTACACCATTTATTCTACTTCAGTCCAATCTGAAAGGAATAGACTTCATTACAGTATTGATTATCGTCAATGCTAATTTGAGACAAAAACAAAACAGTGTTAAACAATATAGAAAAGGGTACAATAAGTACACTGCATTGTGGAACATGATAAAATGGCCTTGTAGCACTTTCATTCCTTTCTAAATTAGTGTAACTACATAATGTATAACTGCACAATTGTTTTTTACATGTTAATAAAACATATATGGAATAGTGTTCTATGTTTTTACATTACAAGAAACTACCTTCTTGCGGTCTTACATAGTCTGTTTAATGAAAGTCATCGCTGTCTGATGGGACACCAAATGAAAGTGGTTCTCAAGTTCTTTTACTTTTTTTTTTTAGAACGCTAGCAACTGGACCTCCAGCTTTGTTCCTGAAATTGAAGCTCTATACCAGCTTCTGTTATCCATATTAGTTCTATAGATTGATCACTGGCTTTATCATAGAGGTGTAAACTATTATCATGTAAGGAAAATGGTGAACACAGCCACTCACAATGCCCCTGTACATGCTTCTACGATGCAATATGTGTATCAAAAAAACATTTTAATTATCACAAACAAAAAAACATAAGCATTCAGTTTAAAAATTCCAATTATGGAGTTAAAATACAAATTTAACATACAAAAGAACAATACATAATGAAAGGATTTGTATATGTGCTATTGTCCAAAACTTGATGCTATAAATTTTGAGCATTACTTAAGATGAAGACAAGCTTGATAACAAGCCTGTGAAAGATCGGAATGATGTTTATTTCGGAGCGGCATTTTACTTTGACACTTTTCAATTCACATTTAAAATGTCACTATTTTTTTTTTGTTTTTATTGTTTTGCAATTTATTTCCAAATGCCTTTGCACCCAAACCCCAGGAGTGGTGTAGGAGACGTAGCAACATTTGCCATTTCTTTTCCATACGTAAAATTACAATCTAAGTCCATCTCATCTGCTTACCAAACATAATTTAAGGTGCTTAGTGAATGCACTTCAATACAGCTGATTCATACATCTTACATCAGCCAACTTATTATTGTCCTTCTGCCTTGGACCGAAGAAGAGTTGAGATGTCTCTGCCAGGGATAGAACCTGCAACCCTGAGACTTGCATTGGCTGAACAGCTGATACATTGAACACCTGAGCTATTTCACTGCCAATGAACCTATCACTCAAACTTAACAGATCTAGATGCGCTTTTGTCTATATAAACATTTTTATTCTGCACAGGCTGAAACCCTAACCCAATACCGCTGTTCCTCTTCCAGCTAAGGGCTTTGTCAAATTCAGCTTCCAGGTTCCTCTCTAAAACCTTCTCTTCCTCTTTGCCAAGAGCCATGTTTGCCTTTTCACTGTTTGAAGGTGGTGTGAAGGCCACCTGGTTTCCTTTCTTGAATGCACCCAGAAGTCTTAGAAACTTGGCTTGCTGGTCTGAAGATTGAAAAGAAGCAGTATTCCATTGCCCAAGCTTTGCGGCCTGTAAAAGAAAATGACATGCTTCAGTATACAAAACATCTCATTTGGTTACAATGTATACGCTAGCCGTTGCACAAATTCTATATTTTTTTAATGTAAATAAATGTTTGTAAAGTTTTCTGGTCATAAAAAAAGACAGCACAGTGCTATCGTCAGGGATGTGGTTCACAGCATGGCTTGGGTATCGACAAAGAGGTAAAAGCGAGTACAAACACTTAGACTTTCAATTTTATGTTTTAGCATGAGGAACACATTCGAAATAAGGAATTATGACAACCATATAGACACAAAAAATTAAAAAGTCCCAATTTAAAGAAAAACCTTATCGCAAAACCAAAACTAGGTCCCATATTATCTTAAAAATCCCTACATCTTCGATTGCACTTGATAGAAGTAGAGACCCTATGGGTTTTGACTAGACAGGTTGGGCATCAGCCCAGTTCCCCTACCCCAAAGGGCCTGGAATTATGCCAACTTCATAGGGAGTATCTAGTATGTCCTAATTTTAATATAGATCTGGGTGCGTCCACTGGAAAATTAGATATTTTATCCACATAATCACTTATTTGCTTTGCAAAGTTAAAGGGTAACACCAAAACCCACCTATAAATTGCATTTATTTTAAATTTATATAAAAAGATTTAGCTATTGACATCACAATCCAGTTCAATGCAGGTATATCCAGGACACACATTGCAAATGAAAGAAAATGGATATATCCTTTCCCTATGCTGACCACCAGGTGCATAGGACAGCAACCAAGGACTGTTTTAAAAACATGTCAGTTTTTCTTTTTAAAGCAGATCTGTTTGTTTTTGTTTTTTCTTCAATTTCTGCAAAAAAACGCGCGCACAAAATCCCATAAGTTATTTTAACACTGCATTGTCATGACTATGAGAATACTACACAACGCTCCATGAAAGATCTAGTAAGATGCATTGAAAAAAATCTCCATCCTCCATAATAATCACATTTCTCAATTTGTCAATATAACTTATTTGCAGGACAAATTTTTTCTGACCAATTTGACATAATACATATCAGGATATGCAAGCATTACATTAAGTGCGTGCTCTTAACTAAATTATATTGATTTGTAAATGTGCCGATTAAGGAAACACTCCAACATTTAAAAAAAAAAAAAAAGATTTTGTTTAAACATTTGGAGTGTTCCCACTAATGAAAATAATAAACTTTACTTTTTATCCCGAATCGTGTCCTCTCTCACCAATGGCCCGGAGAGACTGTTCAGTGACAACAGTCTCCCCTTCCTATTTGAAGAAAATTAATGCAAATACGCCATTTAGATGCAGTGATTACCCAATTGAATGCTTCCCTATGGAGCGATTTAACATCAGGAAGTAGTGAATTAGGAAGCCCACCTGGCTGTCAGCTTGACTGCAAGACAGGGTTCACAAATTGCTCCTAATTAATTAAAAAAGTGTAAATTTTATCTTTAAAGCAGCACTTTTATGAATAGGGACAATAGTGACAAGCTTGAAGTGCTTTAGGAAATGTCCCTTTAGGAAAGCCACCGTGACATATGTGGTTTAACCTGGGGATTAACCTTATAAAATACCATTAAACAACCATTTCAGGCACCATAACCACTTAATTGCAATGAAGTTGTTATACTGCAAGGTGGTCATGGACGCTGTCTTACCTCAAGGTTGTTAAACAATTAATGAACGGTTTAACCCCAAACGTTCGGAAACTATACACCATGGCCTTGCCTAGCTACTTCCTTACTTGCTCCCCATTCAGAAAGAAGAATAAGACATACGTATAGGTTTACCAGATACACCATGTTTTCAGGGATGCACATAATTTTGTCATAGTTATGAAAAGGCATGGAAAGGGTTACCCTGCAGTATGTATAATGCACATAACGCAGGATTCTTTATTGATTAATTACTTAATTTAATACACCTTGTGGCAAAGATGCCTCTGCCACGAGCTCCTGGAGGAGCCTCCTGCTTAAGGACTATGGGCCATGTAAAAGACCTTTTAAAAGACTTGGTTCGTGTGGTTTACCTGTATTGTTCGGGAACCAAACAAACCCACAAACTGCGGACCACCTCTGGGCTTGTTAACCCCTATTGCCCTCTCCTGACACCTCAATCATTATTCTCACACTATGTATCCTAAGTGTTCGGCTGGGTGGCCGCCGTTCGTATGCACAAACACTTGGGAACTGAGTTGGCCATCTTGTTCGCACGAATGCAGGCAGCGCTGTTTGCTCGTCGAGTGCATGAAACTAAAATCAGACACTCTAACTCGCAAACACTGCTGAACTTTGACGAAAGCCTGCTTTGTTGCTATTCATGTCAGGAGAGTGCCATTTGATAGGATTGTTCACATGAACTAGGCGAACAATCGCTACCTAGAAGTCGGATCGGTTCAATATTTTGTTCATTTTTGTACTCCCGAAATTGACCGACTGCTACCACTTTTCTTCGGTCAAAGTTGGCTTCCATGGAAAATCCGAACCACTGAACCAATCTGGGTGATTTTTGGATATGATAGTCACTCAGATCAGGGCTATCCAGGGATTTGACTCTTGAAGGGTTTCCATGGATTTTGGGGGTACTTTTGGGGTGTTGTGAAATTGTGTTTTTCTGTACCTGGAGATAACCGAGTTTGTACAGTTCCTGAATCAATTATCTATCAGGCACAGGGAGGAGTTTACTGTATGTATAAACTGCGAGTTCTTGCCTGCATTAAACAAATCTACCCCCAGCATTAAGTCTCGGCTAATGGGTGGGGGGAATGCTATACTGGCTATAATTATTTAATATGCAGCTATACTCTCTGTAGGAGAACTTTGGCCACTGGGAGCTGGATCCAGGACCCTTGTCCAGGGTGGGAAGAGATGGCGAGATCCCAGCCAAGCTGCGGCGGCTAAGAGGCTAAAGTGCTTATGGTGTTTGGTGGAGGTATCCAGTCAGGGTACCAGGCGGTCCGCCACACACCCTCTATATGGCAACCTTTTTCTTATGCTTCCCATCAATACGTATTTATATGTGTCCCTGAAAACATGGTGGGTCTGGTAACCCTAGATATGTACCCATAGGACAATGTGTTGTACTCCGCCTACAAGAGTAAGATAGAGCTGTAATTTAAACTATTGTTTGGAGTTTGCGGATCCCTTCCACAGTGTCCATTGGTCTCTATTGTGTGCAGTACATCACTTGTTTTTTGCAGTTGGAACTACAAATGCTTGGAAAATTAAAAGAGCTAGTAATTTAAATCCATTCCCATCAACGACTTGTAATACTAGACATTTTACAATGTAGGTTCTGCAGTCATAATTAAAGCCTCTCAAATAGTTCCTGCACACTTGGCCCATCCTCTCTTCTGTTTTGAGGGGGCTCATTGACTGGCTGTAGTGTGGCTGGCTCAGTGTTGAACTCTGATCGCTTTCCAAAGTCGTTATTAACTCCTTGCCGCTCTAACACACATAATTGCTGCCTTTCAGCGCCTGCCTTTTCAAGATAACTGTGGCCAATTACTCTTGCAGCAAACACAGCAGTTCTTCCACGTTCCTCCTAAGGCTTAATAATTATCCCGCTGACTTCAATCTGCAGTTTGCTAATAATCAGCTTCGAATCATGTTGAAATTGCTACAATTCTTCAGCAACATGTCACGTTCCAATACATTTTGGAGCCAAAGTGAAATTTACATTTGCAATGATAGTACAAGACTAGAGAAGGATCAATTTAGTGCTTTATTTGCATTAGAATTACTTTTTTCTTGAGTTAGATATAATTTGCTAGAGTGCTAAGTTTCTATAGAGGAGTAAAGAGGCCTCTTATCAAATCTGATGATGGCAGCGAAAGCCTACAATTAGACTACATTCACTGTGTTTCTGTAAGAGCAGTGTGACGATGATCCCCTGGTTTTCTGAACCAAATTCCTGTCTGTGAATTTGTTAGAAAGCTAAATATATTTAAAAATTATTATTATTTTTTTTTTTTTACTACGAATGCTATATAATGCAAGGGAATATACCATTATTTTTTCCCGACAGTTAAAAATATATTTATTTGCTATGCATATTTACATATGAGTTTGTTCAACCAAAATGTGCAATAATATTGTGAAGCCAGAATACATTTGGCTATTGCGGCCAGATGCCACCTTTAAATCAGGGATGCTTAGAAAATGAGTAGTGCGCATATTTGCATCAAAATCCATACTTCATTATTTTATTTGAAATATGAGATTTGACTAGCAAGCCAAAGGTTTATACTTGGGACACCTCAAGGATTCATCTCAGCATGAGAGAAAGTACAAGGTTACTGGTTAATTTGCATTTTTCTTCAATACAATCTGTAAAATATTCAGTATTTTAAAGGAACACTACAACTACCATGAGCCCGACAGCACAACATGTGATGTGTAGATAGACAAACTATTTTAGAACAGTATTTTGGGTGTCCTGGAAAGTAATGTTTCAATGTATTTTTTGTTTAAGATAGCTCATTACAGATGCTCCTCACTTACCGACCGGGTTCCATTCTTACGACCCGATCGTAAAACGAACTGGAAACAACATTTCCCTGAACATAAATTAGAGGAGCATTTCCCAGTTGGGGTTCCACGAGAACACAATTGAGGTTCCGCTGCGATTTGACCATCAGGTGGCCCATGCACTTAGGTCCACCTTATGGGTATTCTCGCTGAACAAGTGCCCCGGCTCATTAACAGCCTGACTGGGCCCTGCCCTATCGGCGTACTGGGAGGAAGTGACAGCACTTCCTCCCAGCTTCATTATAGAGGGATAGACACGCGGGAGGAATGCATTGAGGGATGAGCAGGCTGGAGGCAGCAGCACACAGCATTAAGGCAGAGGAGAGCTGGAGTGAGCTGCTGATACATGCTCATTCCCATCAGCTTCAGACAAGACCAGACCTCTAGGTAAGCCACCCTCATGGACACCAAGTTAAGCTAACAAGAGGGTGGCAGCAAATATTTTAACATGTATATGTATGTCATATTGTGTGTGTGTATGTATGTATGTATGTATGTATGTATGTGTCAGTGTGTGTATCTGTGTATCAGTCTGAGTGTGTGTGTGTGC